TTTATGCAATAAGTACAATAAACGAAGATCTTGGACGTATATCTGTCTGGAGCAAATTCTATGGTCTTGCTGTAAATCCGACCAAGAGCCAGATTATAATCATTGGTTAGGCAGGCCTAGTTACATTACTCTCTATATATCTATCCATTTTTCCGTCTATCTATCTATCCATCTATCCGTCTATCTATCTATCCATCCATCCATCTATCCAAATCCAAAAATAGTACAAAATAAAAAAATATATTATTACTCTGGTACTTACAGTAGTAGTAATCGATGACAAAAATATGGCCAATAAGTGTGATTGTAAATAAATAATTGAAAGTATTTAATTTTATTTTAATATACAACTACTAGTTAATTTTAAACTTTCGCGTTGTTTACACATATTTTAAATACACAATCGGGACTTAACGCAATGAAAAAGCTTTTACAGGTAACACGTCATTGTCGACGTGCATGCACCACGTCGTGACCACGACGTCGAGCAATCCACGTCGAAACGTCGGCAATAAAGAAGCAGATATGTAGGTACTATTTACCTGTAAAAACTTTTTCATTACGTTAAATCCTAATTGTGTATTTAAAATATATAGAATAACTAGTTTTTACCCGAAACTTCGTCCGCGTATCCGGGATATGGGTAATCAACAGCCTATATCATTCTCCATCCCGAATATATATTAATACTGTAAAGGGTAAAGATTTAAACATAAGCATAAGAAAGTTAAAGTAATTTATCTCAAGGGTTTTTAACCGTCGCCTATAAACATGAACAGTATCGTGGACAGAAACAGAATATACTGTTTCGCCCACGATACCCCCCCATGAGTTGCCATTCCTGAGGACTCAGGTGTTATTCCTTTGTACCCTGTAAATTCACTGTAAAAAATTAAAGGCATCAAAAATTTGTCTATTAAAGCTAATATAATATGCTAATTTATCTTCTCGTGCAAAGCCAGGGCGGATAACATATAAACAAACTTACTTTCACATTTGTAATATCGGTAAGGAAGTAAACATTTTAGCGTTATTTATATTAAAAAATAAATAGGTAAGGATATATATTTTTGATTAAATTGTGTACCTGACACAGGTTATATGAGAAAAACCTACTTGAGTCGAATTTTCATAAATCTAAAGCTTCAGTGCGGAATCCTTGATCTTGCATTTACAATGCAGGCTTACGTGACTACCAGCACGGTCGAACTAACAGCACTGTTTAGTGTTAAATTGTACCTTAACACAACCGCATACGATTAATTTTACAAAATGGTAATAATAATAAAATCGAAAGCGTCGTCGTTTAGTTAGTCTCTGACTACTATACAGACTCTGACTGAAAGAGAGGAGGATTGTTAGTAATAGTAACAAACGATCCCATTCCTGTCAACAGGTCTACTCCGTTAGCGCCGCTATGGAGTCCCCTTTTAAAAACCACCGTGGTTAATTCCTAATAAATTAATCACAATGAGTCAACTCACTTGACTTCATCCTCACTTATCATCCCTCACTGGTGCCCTGCTAGCTCATACTGATAGCACAGGCGAGGTTTCAATATTATTCATAACAACCATCCCTTATTGGTACGCCTCCAGCGTAAACCAATAGCGCAGATGGAGTACCGTTTCGACTTACCATTTTTAACATTATAAATACTATGGAAACATCTGCCGTAGGTTCTAAATTATAACCTGACCAATACTTTAAAATATTTATTAATTAAAATTTTTTAACAACTTGCTAACTATAATAAGAGACTACCGACTAAACCGTCTTTCAAAAAAAGCGTTAACGCACACTTTTTATTTTTATCCGACCAGTAAGTACTTTATATTATTCTCAATTTCGTGTATAATATAGTATATGTCATATATGTGTAAGTATATTTGTTATTTATATATATTTATTCGTTTATATATGTAATTTTAGTATGTATGTATATCAATAATTAGTAGTACCGCATTTGAGTATTCTGACACTTCCCTATGGTTGACTGGGAAAGAATGCTTTTAGCATTAAGTCCGCCATGTACACATATTTGTACTAATGAATAAATAAAATAAATAAATACATCATAATAATCCTAAGTATATTTATACTTAGCTTATTAGCTTAGCTTTTAATAAGCTTATTCCTTGTCACATTTCGTTGAGCATATTGAAATCTGACATTCCAATGTCCTAATAACTATGGATAATAGTGATTAGTGGGGGGAAAGGGATTGTTAGTAATAGAGACTAAGAATCCTATTGCTAGCAATATACCTAACCAGGTGGACCTCCACGCGGTTCCCCCTGGAAACTATCATGGTTAATTCCTGATGAATTCATCATGATGGGCTAATTGGCCCGTTTTCATTTTCATCGATCACCCTTCACTGGTGCCCCACCAGCGTATATCGTTAGCGCAGGCGGGGTTATCATTCCATTTTCACCTATCAAAAAAAAAAGTGATTAGTGCACTATAACTATAATATGTAGTTGACAAACTGCCTCTAACTAATATGCTAGTGTATCCTGTGATGTCCATGTTTGGGCAGTCTTTTCTAATGCATTAAAATAAATGGTTACCACATGCACTGTCGGTAAAGGCTGGTGGGGCACCGGTAAGAGATGATAAGAATGAGGATCAGTTCAGAAAGCGGGTTAGTCGGCCTATCATGAAAAATTCATTAAAAAATAATCACAATGGTTTCTAGAGGGAACTGGGTGGAAGTCTATCTTTTAGGATATATAGCTAACAATAGGGTTTATAAACCCCATTACTACCAATCCCTTTCCCCTGTCCACAATGTTATTCATGCCTACAGGTGATGGTGCAACATTTATCACTTTACATCAATGGACTTTCAAGTATCATAAAAAAACATCAGAGATTACAATAAAGTTCACATTTTTTTGTTTGTAGATTATTATTAGATAAATTAGATAGCTAATTACACACTGCGGTTTTACCACCTCTGTTACTTTAGTAGCCCTGGGAGTACCCAAAACTGAGTACATAAGTTACAAGAGATTTTTTTACAAAATTTTCAAATTTATATACTTTACGAGACTGCGTGATTACTCATAGAGCGGTAGATATTGAAAAACTTTAAAACCATACGCTGACAAGCATTTTGTCCGTAGAGCAATAGTACATTTCTCTTTGTAAACCGCACAGGCTTGTGCCCGCTATTTAATGTTTTATGATGACGGGCCAAAATGTACGCCGAGGGTTATTCATCATCTCACCAGGCCTTAACAATGGCAGATAGCAAACAATTTCAGTAGAAATATGAAAGTTTCATATTTAGGTGAATACCTATGTCCTAAGAAATTATTTTTTCCTATAAAGATCAATACAAATAGATGAAAGGCGAGTCTGTGATGAATAATATCGGACTATTCTAAATACAATGCACTTGTAAATTATGTTTATTGTTCCACAGTACTATGGAAAAATTATCTGTCGTGCAATTATGTCAAATATCTAGGTCTCATTATCCCTAGAAGAGTGGATAATTTTAAATTTAAATTATCAATTGCATGCAATAATTTTTTCGTGCGGCCTCCCGCAGGTATTGTATAATTCATATGCACCACCTTGTCAATACGATGTCAAGGTAAAAATTGGATGGAAACATGGGAAATTGTTCTCGTGTTTAGTGATGCATTACTCAATTTTTATGTTAACGATTAGTGTTGAAAGTCGGCGATTCTCAAAATATATTTTGAATAGGTAACTGTGTAGGTTCTGAGGAACCATTCTCAAAAATTTAAGGTTTCAAGCCATTGAAGTCAATTCTGAGGTAATATTTCTCTAATCCTACCCCTAAAATTATATTTAGTTTCGTTCACATGCTGATTTGTTGGGAGAAACATCAGACGGTTAGAAGTTAAACCAGCTCCACAACACACTGGCTTACTGTGTAGAACTGGATCACCCCATTAAAATTAAAATTTTAATTCGACATCACTACGAAATCTTTATTCTAAGAGGCAATATGAGCTGAATTTCTAGTAGATTTAAGTCAAAATTATTATAAATTTTGTTTATGGTGGTTCATAAACTAGTAATTTCACAACATTATTCTCCTTTCTTGTTAAATAATGGATTCATGCCTTCAAAACTTTTTTTTTTCTGTAACCAATATAAAAACAAAATAAGCTAGTAACACATTTTTGTTCAGAACTTGCAATAATTATAATATTAAATTTACTAGTATAAATCTATTAAACTGTAAGGTCCTTTCCTACAGGAAATATCTTAGAGAAGTATTTATACCTAATTATGTATTTGTAGTTACTTAATTCTCTGTGATCATTATAACGAAGAACTCGCTGTAAAGTTGAACTCAAAATTTAAGAGATAGAAATGACGTAGCTCAATTGACCCCAGTAAAATATGTAATATTACATTTATTTCTACCAAAAAATAGAGAAGCACTCATAACAAAGACGTGAACAAAATTTATCATATTTTAATCGCAATTAGATAAGTGCTCAGAACACAATGCTTTGACAAATATATTTAATGTTGTTTTAACCTTATGACTGTTCATATATATTTTTATTTATACTGGTGAACCGACTTCAAAAGAGATTCTAAATTAGTTGTATTCTTTTAATTTTGTTGCCTCATAACTACATCAGTTAAAAAATTATTTGGAAATTTCTTTTTTATCTGAAAATTTATATAGGATATAAAAAAAATATATAAAAAATAACTTTCCAGATCAGTCAGATTTCTTTCAGTTCAGTCCCATAGAGGTTTTAACGAAACTGATTTCGCAATTTAGTTTTTAGATTAAAGTAACTAGTGTTGAGAAAATTAAGTCGGCTTTATTTTGTAGGGCATAATTTTATTTATTAGTATTTCAGCTCACAATTGGACACTCAACAAAATTTTTTATATTTTAATTGGTTACATATAAGTAATGAATTAAAAAATTTGATATTAATCTGTAAACATGGATTTATATTTGGAACAAGTAGGTCTAGGAATAATGAAACAAATTTATTTTATAGGTAAATTTAATTATAAAATGTTACCTGGAACAGTATTTATTATATTACCTGGGACATTGATATTAATTTATAAAATGGCTATCCTGCAAACACTAAACTACCGTAATAGCTTTTTATGGTATTTTCTGTAGTATGGAATAGTGATCAATGTAAAAAATCCTAACAACTATATCTAAACTATTTATCTCTATGAACTCGAAAACGAATTATGTATTTTTATAGATAAAAATAGGTCAAAACGCTTGTCTTTGACAATTTTTTTTTTTACCATATTTCTCTTACGGTAATTTAGTTTGTAGGACAACAGGTTAGATATAACAATCAAAATAAACACATTAATTGCAATATGAAAACAAAGTTATTTTTCCTAACCATATTTAATAATTTTGAAATTGATAGTTTAACAATTTTTTTTTATACCACTGAGGTGGCAAACAAGCATACGGCCCACCTGATGGCAAGTGGTTACCATAGCCTATGAACACCTGCAATACCAGAGGTATTACGCGTGCGTTGCCGACCCTGAAAAAACCTCTTTATCCCCTTTTGAAGAACCCCATGCTGTAGTCTCTGGGGAAAATCTCGGCAGGGAGCTCATTCCACATCCTGAGTGTTCGTGGGAGGAAACATCTCTGAAACCGCGCAGTACGCAATAATACAAATCTAACTACGAAACAATATTTTCAGTCGATCTTCCAAAATGCAATTAATTCCAATTAGCTACATGTTCAAACTCAATCACGAAACGAAATCAATTTTCTTCCTTACACCATGTTTATGAAGTAGGTTTAGTTTATTTTTAAGAATTTACAAAAAACAAAAAAAAATGCTATACAATCACCAAACTACCAACCGCCTGGTTCTAATCTGAGATACCCTGTATTATAAGGAACCAGTCAAAGAATATATATTATTATTAAAAAAAAGTAGAAATAAAAATGAAAATAAACACTAAATAAAAAAAAAATATTAAAATACGCCGATTGAAGGGCATGTAACAAGCATAAAAATATAACGAAATTCATAACAGATATCATTCAAGTCATGGAATTTCATCACAATATTGTTTTTGTGATTGAAAGATAATCATACCACTTTTTTACTTGAACTATCCACTGCTGAACATAAATCTCCCCCTTGGGGGGTTTTGCCAGTAGTTGGCACACTTGGCAGGCAGGTTGGTAACAGCAGTTAGGCTTTGGAGATGTTTTAAGAGAGATGCTGCTGCCCATCTCTCGCCCTCCCTTAGTCGCCTCTTACAAAATCCACGGGATAGGAAGGGGTGGCCTATTCTATGCCGGGACCACACGGCGGATAGAAAGATGAATGATGAATGATTATAAATAACATGAATATTATAAGGGCAAAAAGGCCGCGCGGTCTTAGCGATCTATCAAAATTTTTAGATTTAATAAATACAAAAAAGGATTTATACCTTCTTTAACATCTCAATTTTCAATTTAAAACCCATAAACAAATGGTATACAAACACGACTAAACAAACAAATATAAAAAGCAATGTCAAAGCATAAAATAATAAATTAATTTAAACAAACATATTTTACTATACAAATTAAACATATCTATAATAATCAAGTCTTTTTTTTTAAGGATTATTTAATTATTTTATTATTTTTTTATTTTATTTATTATTGTTTTTAATTATTAAAATGCAATTTTATACTTATTTTAAAAGTTAATCAATTATAAGATTACAAAAACTGAATAGAATAAAAATATTATAAACGACAGCATAAGGATAAGAAAAAAAGGAATCTTTTTTCTTAAGGTTAGAAACGATGATCACTAGGAATTACAAATTCTGTATTTTCTCTTAAGTGCCCCCATCATTTTCACAAATTCACATACGAAAAACGAACAAGGACACAAAGTTCAAAATTTAAAGTGCCCGTCAAAAAAAAATAATTATGTGCCGCATACATGTCGATCATATAACCCGATTCCATAACGGTGCCGTAACGACAAAATATAACTTGTACAATGAGTAATTATTATCAAAGTTGTATATTATTAATTTTGCAAAATCATTATCATAAACAATACAAATATAAATATTATTTTGCAGTCTCAATACACATTATTTATTGAATATAATTTATAATCATAGACATTACAAAATGTGTATGAACGATTCTTAACTTTATAATTGATATTGTCGAAGAATCGAGCTCTAGATTAGCAAAGCAGTTTCATTCTTTTGGCCGGCGCTATGATTTTTGAACCGAACATATTCTTTACAAAGAAAAATACATTATGAGTAACATACAATGTTATGTTATATTACTAAATATTTATTATTTTAATGATTACACAATAAAATGTATTATAAAATAGAATACAGTTTTATTTTTAATCTATAGGTATATAAACGAATTGCTAGGAAATCAAAAGCAACTCATTTACTACAGTAAAATCGTTTAATAGTACATTACTGCAGCGGCCAGCAACTGAAGCATTGATGAACGAACATTCAAATGTGGGCCGAGACGTAGCCGAGGCACACATACGTGAATCCATCAATGGCTAGTTGTGGCCAAGGCTTGTATAGTACTTTTCTCAAACAATGCGCGGAAATAAAAAACACAATTTAACTTTTTAAGTTCAATGACGACTAACGAACAATAATAATTTTTCACGCGCCATAATGTTCCTTTGTTTTTTTTTTTTCAATAAACAGCTTTCTATTTGCAAACCAGTTCGAAATTTAAATTTATTTATTTTATTAGTTATCTCCTTAGTAGCCATGTTTCGAAGTAAAAGGTCATTCCATTTTTAAATTACAGGACAGATATGAGTATACATAGTAATTTATCTGGCCGCAAAACAAGACAGATATGGATTTTCATACAACTTTAGCCGGCCGCTGCCCGCATGTATCTAGCCAGTACGGCAATTTTGATTTATCTCAAAGAAGATTGTCAAAATAATGCTAATATTTCCAAGTATGTTTGAGAAAACATTATTTTTTTTCAAAGATTATTTATACGAAGAACATTCTGCTCAACTGCAAGATGCTATCCATTACGTGCAAACGCTTTGGTTGTTTTTCTAACTGACTGTTGTCATACTTGTCACCGCTGTAAAGATAAAAAAAAATTGTAAAATACATAATTAATTATGCTGTATTTATGTACGATAAAAATTTATTTTTCAAAAAAATAGCCACTTAAATAGTAATAAAATTAGTGTAAAATTACTATGGATTGAAAAAGAAACTATTCTAAACTATTGTTGGAAATAACTTATAAATTAATATTGATATATCTGAAATAAAGCGTAACTTTGTATAAGTGGCCACTGGATAGCACTGTAAAATATCGAAACCACAGATCATCAAATGGATATACATATATTTGTTCACTTTAAACATAATTACATGGCAATAGTCAATAGGAACATTTTATTCTCGTATGTGGCAATAAATCAATCATTGGAGATAAAAGAAAATTATCCATTCCCTTAAACTGAAATATTAACATTTTTCTTTGTCGTTTTTAAATAAGAAAAGGTAACAAATCTAGTTCCACAATCTTAAAACATATAGGGAATTTATTGCCGTTCTTATTGTCGATTTCAATTATACAAATAGTCAGCTGGTTTGTCGTTAAAAAGACACTTCAAGATTCGAACCTCTATAGGAACTTTCAAGATCAAACCCTTAGTATTTACAACATTTACGGATAATCTCAGGTAACCTTATCATTTTGTTTTAGGGAACTGAGCGATCTGAGTACATATGTTATTGTCCGAGGAATTTCGCAAATAAAATGGTAAGTCTTCTGACCATTGTTTGAATCGCATTTTCGTGTCTAATTTATTTTTAAACTTTATCACAGTCACTTAGTATTTTCACTTTACATCGCAATATCATACCCCTCAAACTGTAACACAGCCTTGCAAAATTATTTAGTAGCAGAAACACGAGTGTTGTATAAGATACTCATGTAAACAACTTTTATACAGTCTTATGATATACAAATATAACTATATATATATAAAAGGCAAGAGATTTGCAGAATTTTGCTGTTTATAATAGTAATACATACTGAGTAAGAGATTTTGCACGGAGACACGCCAAATGCGCGTAATAAGTCGGCGTGGGGTACGAGACGGCCCGCATACAGCGCGAGTACAAATGACATAAATAGTACGTCAATTGCTCCACTTCGTCGGAGGGGATCATGCCGTCGTTGCACACTGCGTGGTAGCGAGTCGGACGGGCCGTTCCCTTTATAGCTTGGTGGGAAACCTGGGAAATAAAATAGAACATAAATATATTTAAATTAATACTTTTAAGAGAAAAAATTATATTTATTAGTTTGTAATGGATAAACCCAAAATAAATATAACCGTTTTTTTTTTCACCTATAGAAAGCTACGTTATCAAAGAAAAACAGGGCTTCTAAAAAAACTTTGCTTAGAAGAAGCGGTATGATTCGTAAAAAGCGATATCGATCGCTTATTGGGCTATGTTTATTTGAAAAAAAAATCTGTATTACTGGTAAACCAATCCCTTAAAAGATTTTTTTATGATACTTAAAATGGCAAACAAGTTAACAGTCCAGATGTAGCCCTCAGGAATGTACGTGGTACTGCTCATGTCTATAGGCGATAGTTACCACTTTCCATCAGGTAGGTACTTGTTTGCCATTCTAAGTCGTATAAAAAAAAAACTATCAATCATAAAATTTTATACACACATAGTGTATGAGATGGAGAAAGACATTATTACACCAGTCAATCAATACAACAAGATTAAGCGGAAAAGAAGCGGGCAAAGACTAGTATATAAATAAATACACACCAAATAAAAGTCCAGTTCGCTCGCGTGAACAATGTCCTTATCAACAACAGTACCAGGTTCCACGTTGTACTTACTGTTTGGTACGAACATTCTGAAAGAAATGCCATTATTTTTAACATTGTTATCACCTTGACTACGGACTTAACCTTTATTAATAAAAACTAAAACCTTTTTGCTAAATTATTTTTTACTATTACACTGTTTTGTCACTTTCATTCAAATTGGGAATTATAATTATCTTTATAATAATAATCTTTATTTCAAACAGTAGATTACATAATTGATTAACAACGGTCCCCATATGGGTCGAGCCTGTATCTGGGGAACCTATTAACTAATATGGATAAATATAATTTTAATATAAATGTATATAATTTGTAATAGTTTGTGTGTGTAGTTGTGTGTGTGCGTATGCGTGTGCGTGTGTGTGTGTTTAATTTAATTCAAAAGAAAGACTAAACAGTTCAATACCTAAAAACTATTTATGTTTGGCGTTTTTATGAATTTTATATATTTATGGGTTAGTTATAGGTCAAGGATATGACCTGGGATAGAACTGGCTGAAGGAAGATGCATGAATTAGTTGCACCGACAAGAGGAAACTCTTAAATTAAAAGAAGAGATACTAACCCATAAATAAACCAAACGAAACAACGTGACTAGATTAGAGACTAAAGGCTACTGGGTATACAAATGCAAAGTCATATAAAATTAAAATAAATAAATTAACAAAATAAAACTAATATGTTCAAAAATAGTTAATTCAATATGATCTAAAAGTAGTAAAAGTAGTAAGTACTATTTATAGTAGCCAAATGTTAGTAATTTTTTTTTTGTTTTTACTGACACGTAAAAAAAGTTACAGTATTTATACAAAAAGTAATTTATTTTTTAAAAAGTTGTTTTAATAAATAAAGTTAATGTAAGTATTCCGTTCCTAATTACATTTTATATCAATTGTCAGATAATATGGATATATGTAATATAATTACATTATGGTGATTAAGTAATAAATAACTAAACATCTTTACATCAATATTTTATATGTATGTATTTGGAGCACAATAGGACTCGTAATATTGTTTATCTCGATCAATCAATAAGTAAAAAAAGTCGCGAGCATAAAATAAAAAAAATATAAAACAATACCTGGTATGGTGTCGTTTTTGAACGAGTAAAAATAATACTTCGGGCTTCATATTTGGATTTCCGGTCATCCTTTGATACGCATTATGCACAGCAGTAAGTTCGCTAGCCATCACCTAAAAATTCACATTTTCGTTTAAAAATAAAAGTATTAATATTTTCTAGAGCGTATACTTTGTACAAAACGCACGTATTTCTATCGTGAAGTAAGAGTACTTGTAAAGTGAATATAACAGTACGTGGTACGGAAGCATAACATTATAGTCTTCAGGAAATGATAATGCATGAGGGATGACAGTTTATTCTGTGATGCCCATGGTACTGTCCATGTCTGTGAGCGATAGTTATCACTTTTTATCAAGTGGGTAATCAGACTTACTCAACTTCCTAAGTCACATAAAAAATATAAAATTATTTAGCAATTATGATATAGATATTGGGTTTGCCAAATAAGTGAAATGGTTTGTCAGTTAAATTTCTAGCTTGACAAGTGATAAGCAGCGTGGACTTTTTCAAAAGACCGATACAAAATATTACGCCAAATACCTCAGCAAACTGGCCTTCTGAAACACCGTCGCGGTAAACATATATCTTTCGAGGCAACTTGTTCTGCCGCTGTTTGTACACCTTCAGATGATCCACCATCATGTCTTCAAACTGCATAATCATCTCTTTCTGTAAAATATACAATAAATAACGTCAAGACACAGGTGAAGAAAATATATGTACATAACAGTAAACTTCCTGCCATAAATTCCATGCGCAATTGCCTACTATGAAAATTAATCTGATATTTCGGAACTGAACGATATGGTTCAGGTACTATATGATATCATGTATGACGAACGTATTTTTACTGTCTGTGTACTGACTTAATTTCAATATAAACGTGTTGTATTAAACACAGGCTCGAAAACTTCGTTTGAACGACCTCAGATCTTCCAAAAAAGGTAGATACAGCCAGATCGCTATAGTGTCATATCCACGCGGTTTCAAGACTTATCTCTTAGACAAGTGGCAAAGGATATTATAGTAGAATCATTAATATTAGCGAATCCATGAGACAGAAAAATAATAAGTAGTATATTGTTATACTAATTGTATATTCCAGTATTATATGGCCTAGTTTCTAGATATAAACGTAATTAAAAAATAACTAAAGATAAATAAATAAATTAAATAAAATTCTAAAAGATAATTCTAAATCTCCTACAATGAAGATTTTAAAAAATTACATATACAATTGTAATTATTTACATATAATATAAATTATAGTCATCGCTTCTGGGTTTTTAATTTTAGGAAAATTAAAGTGACAAGAACAGTAACCCCAAGGCGCTTTTTGAGGTAATGTGGTTTCTTAGTCCTATAAACTTAACGATACTATCGTAAATAAATTTTTATTGATTTACGCACAGAAAAGAACATGATACCGGACGTTGATTGCTCGTTTAATCTGGTGTGCTTGCGATATCAGTAAGATCCTAACGATACTGTATTTTATATATAAACCGATTTTTAAAAAAAATACTTTTAAATGGATAAAATTTATTCCTATCATAATTGAAGTCAATATTGAAAGTAAGTTTAATTGTACTTAGAACAACTTATAACTACATATTACATAATTACAAACACATTACATGCCCACTGTAGACTAACTTCGACTATCCCATATGAGATCTGAAGTAAACATTAAGTATAACTGTCTTAACACTTAACTCTAATTTATAATTTTATATATCTACAATAAACTAAGAATAAATTATAAATAATATATTTACCTTGGGAGTTTGTATGCTAAGCTCTATATTATATTGATAACATTGGGGATCTATTGAAGCTGTCACAGCAGCAATACTCGGTATGGAAGACTGAAATAAAGTAAATATTAATACATACATGTAAATTGCAAACAACCTAATGGCTGATAAAATGGAAAATATTAACAGTTACCGATATGAACAGTACCATTATCATCATATCAGCCGTTAACTGTCCAATGCTGAACATAGGCCTCCCCCACAAGGAAGGTTTTGCAGATAGTTGTCACACTTGGCAGGCAGATAAGCGGGCAATCGTAGTTAGGATTTGGTGACGTTTTAAAAGGGAAGCTGCTGTTCGTCCCTCGACCATTAAATTCCTTTAGTCGCCAATTACGACGCCCGTGGGCAAGGAAGGGGTGACCCACTCTATACAGGAACCACATGACATCAAAACCATGGACATTACAAAATACTGTGTAATATAGTATAATTTCATTGCCATATCCCGGCCTTCAATTCGAATCACTTTCAATTTTTCGTCGACGAAACCATGATTATACAGTGAATTTGCACTTAAAAACGTATATAAGGATACTCTTTTATAGGAATAAATGCAGATATAACAATATGTATATTTTGTAGTTAAAATATCTATATATTGACCTAATAATTAACATTAAATATTCATTATCCAATATATAATATCGAAATGTTTTTTTATAAGAATTGTTAATATTTATTTCAAATTTTGCATGCCTAATTGTGGCGAAATATGTGGACTTAATATTATTTTATCTATCTGTATATTTACCATATTTCTTGCAAATAAATATTCATTCATTCATTCATTCATTCAACGACTACACTATACCCGATCAAAATGAATATAAAAATGCGACTGATATGAGCGATATCGAAATAGGTGATGACTTTTTATTCAGCCATCAAAGTTCAGAGAAAGCCAACATATAGATATTGGAGCGGTACCCATATTACCCATGCCTACTCTTTTAAATTATGTAAAGATAATCAACCAACCAACGATAAAGCTGTGTGTTAAGCCATTAGGTCAATAATATACCTGGTCTGGCGACGGATGCGTGACGTCAGCACCCACCACCATAACATCACCGCCGGCCAAACATCGCGGCGTGCTGCGATTGTCTAGTACTTGGTTTATACCCATCAACTTAGAATTTACCTAGAAATAAAGATTTCAAAATTATTTATTGACTAGCTCTGATTATCTGACAAGCGTTGTTTTACTCCTACCGCCATCTCTCGGGACCTTTTCTTCTAATCGAAATAAAAACCATAGTGTCTTCCCAGTTCGAGCAAAAAATATACATTTGCAATTTCATCAAAATCGATACAACTTCGGAAATTAACGTGAATGAACATCATATAACACGGGATTTTTATACTAAGTTATGTTATGTACCAATAAATCACTCAGCAAATACAGAAATATGTAAGAATTCAAAAATAATCAATTATAATTAAATTTTCACCTTCTCTTACACCACACACTGAACTTTAGATTTGAATATTTAATTAACTGTAATCTTCTAGTTAAACTTTAATTTCTTTTTTTTTCTTTATTCATTCTGTTTTATTTATATTGTAACTTAACATTGTTAATTTCTGCATGTACAAATACATAATGTAAGTATTAGTTCCTGTATGTTGCAAGCTTACAAGGCACCTGTTACCCTAATTTGTAAGGCAGGACAAAAAATATATAATAATTCAACCCTGTATTTGTTAAAAGGTTTTATTATTATTAACATACCTTTAGAAGTATATTACGAGCAGTTTGAGGGTTCATACGACGAGCAGCTGTAACTTCTTTTATGCATTGTGTTAAAATACCGATATCTCGTTCCGCAGTTCTCTTGACCTGAAAAGTAAGTTTTATATTTAAACGCTAAGACACATCACAGAGACATGGAAATGTTAATAAAAACTCCCATCTAAGCCCTTCGTTGAATGTGCATGGAAAATAAATATCAATAAAAATATTATTTAGTGAAACATATGTAAAGTGAAAGCAAACTATAGCTAGTATATAGTATAATTTAAAATTACCTTATGATATAAGTCACGCGCACGTGTTCCTACTATCACAAATAAGAACTTAATGCCTTTTTTCAAAGCGTTGAAAAGAATATTTTCAAAATCTCTCATTGTTGCATTGAAATACGTCATATCAGGCCTTGAGGCGGACATGCCCATTTCTCCCGCCATTTTCATCATCTGTGTGAAAAAAAAATAGATAGATAGATACTCTTTATTATTTCCTCCAAAAGATTACAATAATAAACTTATTATAAATATAAATAATTACAAGAAATAATCACAATAAGAAAACAATGGGCGACCTTATCGCCACGAGCGATCTCTTCCAGGCAACCTTTGGATAGAGAGGAGTAATTATAAACAATTTGGTGGGAGGCACGATGAAAAATTTTGTAAGTTCTAAATATGGGAGATGTGATACATACGAGGTTTGTCCGGAAAGTACGTATAAAAGTTTTTTAAAAATTTTATTTTACAATTATTCAGGTAAATCAATTTTATCCCCTTCAAAGTACTCCCCCTGTGACATAATGAACTTGTGCCAACGCCGTTTCCACTGTGAGAAGGCTCCTTGAAAGTAAATATATAGGTTTCTCAGCTGCCCCGTCGTAGCTTTTTTTATCTCATGTATGTCCCCCAAATGCCGCCCCCGAAGTACCAATTTGGTTTTTGGGAACAAGAAGAAGTCACACGGGGCCAAATCCGGCGAATAGGGGGGTGTTCGGTCACCGTAATGGAATTTTTACTCAAAAACTCACGGACAACAAGAGAGGTGTGGGCAGGGGCATTGTCGTGGTGAAGAATTAACGCCCCTCTCGCGCCAATTATTAAAATGACGAACTCGTGCCACACGAGCTTTGAGGCGTCTGAGCACATCGACGTAGAATTTTCCATCAACTGTCTGGCCTGGAGGGACGAATTCTTGATGCTTTCTCGGCCCTCTCTGAATCTTTTTAGCCACTTGTGGATCCTTCACAGCATCATCCCCATAAACTGTTCTGAGATCGGCAAAAATTTCACGGCCATTCTTGCCGAGTTTCGAGAGACAACTTGATTACGACGCGCTGCTCTTCAACGGAAGCGGGCTCCATGCCGACGGGGTTTCGTTAAAATAACTTCACAGATGGCGTGACAAGCCATGGAATATAATAGAAATATTATAACCGCACGGCGGTCAGACCAGAACTGAAGCATTGTTAGGGACATAAGGAAGGGGTATCCTCTTTCTCGCATTCCAGAACACTTTTATACGAACTTTCCGGACAGACATCGTATAATAATATAAATATTATCCCTACTCATTATTACATATATATACACACACAAAATAGTTTCTCATCACGCCATATATCCACTGATAAAACAAAATAATAATATTGGTTAAGTAAATTTAGTATTTACTCTTTTTTTATCACTGGTTTTACTGCACTGATTTATTTAAGACATGATATATGGTTATTTATATTAAAAGTCTATCTTTTTTGCAAGTTGGCTAAGGATTGCAGCTTAATTATAAATATATAAAATATCTTTTCAAATAAATCCTAACTAAAAAGCACTCTTCGATTGCCTTTGCCTGCCCTCAGAACCACCACCTAGTTACATACGACCATTTTTTATTATAGGAAAACCTATGTTGTCGTAAAGAAATAATAAATAAACATACGTTAAGTTTTATAAAAAAAAAACCTGTAACTACCGTACCATCATGTAGAATAAAACTAGATGTTGGCATTATATTTTCGTTGATATTTTATTTAAACCAAGTTTCATTAGTCTTATGCCTACAGTAGTAAGCAGCGGAATCTTAAGCTATAATACAAATAATATGTGTACATAATACCCCGTAGGGTTCAGAAATGTTCTGATAATATAACACTGGACTACCATTGAGGCGGTTATCGTCACTATAATATTATGATAAGGTAAATTATACATATACCTTTCAAATAATAAAAATATTAAAATCTACGATTGTCTGGTAGAGACTACCATATGGTGTTAAATCCGCCATTTATACTGTCTAGGTGCATTAGTGTAATAAATAAATAAATGATTAAAAAATAATAAATATAAAATCTTACCAATGATATAATATTTTGAAAATCACAAGTGGGCGCCGTATCTATTGCTATGAATCCCCATGATCGCAAAGGCTCCGGTTTCAAAAGGCCATTTGTTTGCCATACTCCTAATCTGTTGAATAAATATAATAATTAAAAGACATATATTATTATAAATATAATAATAAATAATGAAATCGAATTAAAAAGAAACACATTATTGTATTGTATAGATAATGCAGCTGATTTAAAAAGTGTTTTCATTTTAGAAAATAAGCTGGTGGTTGTCTAAATTTTTCACATATCTAAATTTATCAATATAATATACTCAAATAACGTAATGCAGTACCTTGACATGACGTTTTCACTTCTATTTAGAAGAACGGATGGAAAATAATAGAAATACTAGCCACTGAGGCCCTCTCTTTTATATTTATAGACAAGGAATAAGGTGAAAATAGAAACTTTAATAAATATTCAAAACAAAACTAACCTGGGTGTGACTGTTCTTCCAGGGGCGACCTCCAATTGAGGAGGCGCAAGTACCTTAGCATCCACTAAATGGAATTGGTCATCTATTGTTAATCCAAACTTCTTGAAGTTTTCATTTTTGGAATAATTCATCTGGAATAAAATAATAAATATTACATTCCATATGCCATCGTGACATTGACCTAATACTAATACCGAAACCCGGCGTTGTACGCTTTCTTCCTGCATTATAATCAGCTGTCTGTCCTACAGTTTTTATATACGTATATCAAATTACAAGTCTGCATGTTTGCCTCTGTCCGACTCATATTACAAAAGAAAATCCAATCCAATCTGTAGGGAGGAAAAGGATTGTTAGCAATGGAGTTTGACAGCCCCATTGCTAGCAATATGCCTTATTAGGTCGACCTCCACGTGGTTCCCCCTGGAAACCATCGTGAACCATTCTTGTTGAATTCGTCACGATGGGCTAACTGACCTACTTCATCCTCACCTATCATCCTTCACTGGTGCCCCGCCGGTGTATACCGATAGCGCGGTGGGGTTGCCATTCCATTATTATCCATTGAAAAAAAAAATCCAATCTGTATTATATAATTTGGTCTACAGTACTATTTTTGTGTGAAACGGCTTTGCTTACATGGCTGTGACTCATCATCATATCAGCCGTTAACTCTTTACTGCTAAACATAGGCCTCCCTATTAAGGAGGGTTTTGCCAGGAGCTGCCACGCTTGGCAGACAAATTGGCATTGATGTTTTAAGAGGATCGCTGATGTCCATCACTCGCCTTCCCTTAGGTGTCTTTTACGACACTCGCGGGAAAGAAAGGGATGACCTATCCTATGCTGGGACCACTCGGTAATGAACAATAGGATATAGAAGAGAAATTATAGGATAACAGACAAGGCCTAATGGGGTACCGTGTGTATAATAATCTATTTTGCAATATCCATGACTGTTTAGGTCTATAGGCGACGATTACCTCTTTCCATTTGGTGGACCTTAAACTTGTTCGACATTCGAAGAATCGTTGAAAAAAACCATATATGAACTTATCATAGTCTTTTAGCCCAATAAATTTAAGATATTTTACGAACAAAACAAAACAACTGTACTTACGGCTCTTATCACGTCCTCAATTTTACGTTTGCGATCGTCTGGCGGCGTTGCCGCCTCCTTTACCATCGTCGCTAATTGCCTTTCATTAAGCTGTTTACTATTAACCTAAAGGATATTATAAAAATATTATAATAAAATTATTTTTACAAATCAAAACAATCCAAAATTATTAAGGTTAACACATCATATTTACCTGTCCGTAGGCTACTTCCAGTAACTCCATGGGATAGTAAATTGTCTTATCCCTCGGGCCTACCCAAATACAATTTAGATTTGGATATTTGATTCTAAAAAGCATAACACACATTAAGAATTAAAAATATAAAATAATATTTATTTTACTGTGAACAATTTGGATATTAAAAGCTTGATTTAGGGAGAACGCTCTGTACTCACTACACTTAATAATAAACTGTTATTTTATTGCATTAAAAACAGTAAGTCATTAATAGTCTAAGACTGAATGAATCATTTTCTGAATAAAAAGAAACACAATTCTTTCACTAGGTTAGTAGAGTAACTATTAGGTACGCAGATTAGGAAAGATATAAAAATTAAAAATTGTTAAAGATATAAAAAGTAATAATGTGACTATGACAGTCACATTATTATTATCTCTATTATAATGAGTACACTTTATTTGTATTATTTGAAAAGTGAGTTTGTTTGTTACCTCTTAGTGTAGTAACGGCTTAACCAATCACTATACGTAATATTTCTATTTTCATCCCATTAAGATGAAAATGGAATAAAAGGCCCGTCGTTAACACCCCGTTTTTATGCCGCGTTTTTTTAAATCGCGTGCATAGCTAATAGGGAATCAAAAGCAAAAATAATATCATGAATTTGAAGTGCACTTAGAGGTTAGACTTGTGTTTTTGAATGTTTTTATTTCATATTTCTTTTATTAGCCATATAAAAACTCCCATTGCATTTTTATTTTGCAGTAAAGGAAATCAATCAGCGTAAAATAATACAGCACAAACATGGGGGAAACAATAGTGATTAACAAATAGAATTATCAAAATCACTCCATATTGGCAACAAAATCGGATAACGTAACCAAATAAAAAAACTCAGGAAGAACCATGAAAAGTCACATACATTCATCAAAATATCACGTTTATAGGCGACAGTTACCACTTTCCATCAGATGAGGCGCTAGTTTGTTTGACATTCTAAGTTGAAAAAAAATAATCACTTATAATTTACCTGCACCCTTTGATTTTAGTGAAGAAATCGGCAACTGTGATTTTTTGTTGTCTCCCAGTATTAGGGTCGGTGTAATCAAATTTTTCCTGATTAGCGGGGCCCACTGCGCCGTTGCAAATGAATTCTCGCCTCTGTCCGCCGGATGACGTGTCCCCACCTATTGCGGCGATCACCTACCGCAAAGATATATAATAAACTAGCGATCCGACCCGTATTCGCACGAATAGACAGAATTGTCTAAAATCAATACATATAATAAAAAAATTGTTTCAGTTTCATGTGATTTTTTTAATTGATAAACTTTTTTATTTATAAACCGATTGAAATAAAACAAATACTAAATAAAAAAAAAATGGATCAAACAGCAACGCATTACTGAAAACCGCATTCAAATCGATTAAGCTGTTTCTGAGATTAGCGTAAAGATAAAAATTCTAAAAATCATTGTTTTGGATTCTGTTGCGTTTATAATATTTTTTTTTTTTTATATATATATTTCATATACAGACAGCAACCAGTTACGATTTTGAAGTGAAATTTTTTTCATCGGTAAAGAGGATATTTCTGTGCCTTTCACCTGCGTATCGCGACAGAAGGCGTTTTGATCGATCCACTCTCTTTAATTGTAAAGATTGATTTAGGGCATGTCCTGTATGTCGACGATAAGCGCCAAGCTTCAAGTCTTGTTTTATAATACACAATTAAGTCCTAGCGGGAATCTTCATTTCTCGAGATAAGATTTTTTGCTTCCTAATGGGGTTTCGACGAATTTTGGCTTTAACAACATTAACAGCCTTTGTAGTCCTAACAGCACGCGGCCGCCCCGATCTTTTCTGGTCTTCGACAGAGGAAGTGTTGTTTGTATCTGTTGATAGTACTATATACAAGCATATGTGCAAGGCGATCACTGAAATCCTATTTTTTTAACACCCCATTCCATATTGTAATTTGATAATAAACACGAAAAATATGTGAAGTGGCGCGAAATCGAAAGAAGTTTTTAAAATAATAAACGTGTTTCAAATTCAAAATAATTAAATTGTTGTAAAAAAAAAAGTTTTTATGTAACAGTATTTATGGCTAGACTAGTTAGTTGTATATACCCTTAGGCCTTTAAGAAAATCTTGAAATGCAGAAGTATTCCAATTTCTCTGCTGCAAATTCTGGGTTGGATCTAATCCAAAGTCCTTCGTGAATGTGGTTAACAAGGATTGGCATTTTGGAAACCCTTTATGGACAACTGAAATAAAAAAATAAAAAAATAAATATTTTAGACACCGTACAGCACTATCTAGTCCCGAATTAGGTAAGGGTATTGCTGGCTTTTTTCCTATGTTCATAATGAAATACTAACCTCGCCTCCCCTAAGAGTATACGATGAAGAGGTACCAGTTATTGATATTGCAGAGATGAAAACACGTAGCAATGATTTAGCCATTTTATTTTGAGAAAGAGCAATCATAAAGAATAGAATACAGGTAAATAGACAACATAAACATTGTAGTGCGGAAACCATACATACACTCCTCGCAAAAATTAAGGGAACATAAAAATTTTTGAAATTTTTGGGTGATTTTCAACAGGCTGTATTTCAGTGAAAAATAATCGTACAGGAAATTTAAAAAAAGGGTTTTGAAGCTTGAAAACTCTAGTTTTCAGATTTTTTGGTGAAAAAATTTTTTGAGCTCCTGTTTCCATGCAATTCTTAAACAAAGCTGAAAATAAAATTTCTAAATTTTCTAGGTTTCGTTTTTCACTCTATGGGCATGGAAAAATTTTTTCGAGCTACTCCATTGTATAGGTCTCTTAGCGTGTTTATTCAGCTTCAAAAATCGCTTTGGATGGCTTCATTACGACCATTTGTCTCCGAGATCGAACTATCGATTAATTTTGAATGCAAAAGCATCCTTTTCCATTCAACTGCTAATATCTCTGGAACTACTGGTCGCACAGCAAGCGGGCGCCGAGTTTCTTTATCCCTTCTCCCCCAAGAATTGTTAGAGTTAGTATAGGGATCTCATTTGTAGCAATATAACATATATATAATATTAGGCAGGTTAAACTGTTTAAAGTTTCCCTTGAAAACCTTTCTGATTAATGCTTCATGTATTCATCACGACGAGCCAACTAGCCTACATCGGGGGGAAAGGGATTGTTAGTAATGGAGACTGAGAATCCCATTGCTAGCAATATACCTAACCAGGTCGATCTCCTCGCGGTTCCCCCTGGAAACTATCATGGTTAATTCCTGATAAATTCGTCATGATGGGCTAACTGGCCTGTTTTCATTCTCATCTATCACCCTTCACTGGTGCTTCGCCAGCGTATCCCGGCAGCGCAGGCGGAGTTACCATACCATTTTCACCCATCAAAAAAAAACTAACCTTCTATCACTCCTCATCTATCACCCCCACTGTTACTATCAAGCATAAACCGGTAGCGCAGGTAGGGTTATCGTTTTATTATTATGATTTTGGAAAAAGTACAGCTAGTATTACTTAATAGTCAAGGGATGGGGAACTATTGGCAATACCCCCCCCCCCCCCCTCTTTATGGTGGGAGGCCTATGTTCTACAGTGGACAGTTAACGGCTGATATAATGATGATGATATAACAGTATTAAACAACTGGATAAGATACTTATATGCCTATGTCCTATTCCAGCAGAACTTTAAGAAAACATAAACTAAGAAATAATTGACCCGACCATAAAACGGTCTGATGATGTACAATAGTACAATAGTTCAAATATAAAAAAAAAAACATTAACTGATTTAAATTTCGAATTTGTTAATGATTTCAGTCCAGTTTCTCCATAAAACTAATCTCAATCTTATTTATTTATTTAATAAGGTTCACATACAACTTTTACATTTTACATGCAACTTAATAACACAAAAAAAGAATTTTGCCTAATGTAAAAGTCTTTTACAGGCGAACACCACATGCACTATATAATATATAATAAATTATTAACAATGACAATAAGATTATCTGAGTAATAAGTAGATTAAGAACTTATGTCTAAAATTTTCCTCAATAAGTTATATTTGCTGTTGGTGGGTAAGTGGTGGGGATCTTGACAAAATGAATATAAAATCATCAGTAAAAAAAACGATATATTTACTTATTGATTCTAATTTATTTCTATGAGCCCAGTCATAAGGTCATAAGTAAAAAACAATGCCAAGATTACCTATACCCCATTTAGTTTATGTCGAAATGGTGCTTCAGAATATGAATAAAAACTACAGTTTTAAATAAACGTTCACTTACCATCTACGTTTATAAAAGGTCTGCTTGTAAATATAGCCGACTGGAATAATCCGGTCCACATCTCGAGACCACCTGTTAGGTCAATTGGCGCCGGAGGACGCTTGTAAAATTGACGGCCGCACTGTAAAAGTAAATATACAAATTGTATTATATCATAATCAATTTAGATTTATTAATGAATAGTATATTCTGATATCTATGATGCCATTCACGTGTATAGATGACAATCATGATTTTATGGGCATATTATTATTATCTTTATAGAATTATTGTTTATAATTTATAATTAAAATATACATATCTCTTTTTCAAAATCATTAAATAGTGTGGGTTTCTTTCTGTAACTATTTAATCTCTGCCTATATCAACAACTAAGATGAATACACCTATCTCCCGATTTACACGGTAGATACGTTCCTGAGAAAAACGTGTAAATCGAAAATTAAAAATTTTCAAGTCAAAACCGTGTAAATCGAAAAGCTTGCAGAAAATGCATAATTTTGCTATTTAAAAATTGTGATTTTTTTCAATATTTTTAGGTGTACACAGAAATAAAAATAAAAATTTTAATTTGTTCTTATTGTAGCTACGTTCATGTTATATGATTTTGCAACATCTACTACTCTATCTCCCTTTCGTAAGGGATCCAAAATTTCGATTTTAGTTTCTAAAGAAATAACTTTTCTTTTAACTTCTTTCGACATTATAAGCCTATATATTTTTTTTTAATTTATGTTAATTTATAAAAATCTTAATTATGTACTCACTTGTAATTTACGAATATGAAAAATTAAATCTTTCTGACACTGTGAAACTTTCACACAAATACAATTTTCCGTAGATAAAACTTTAATTTTATGCGAAGAAATACAGCCACAGTGTGCATGTGCAGCAAGTCAGCACATAAGCTCGGGATTCCCTGTGAAATGTGTACACAGCGCACATGTTCAAACACAGTAGCATTTAGTACAGTGCGATAAAAACAAAAAAAAATACTTATTTGGAAAACCGTGTAAAAGCGAAAACGTGTAAAACAAGTACCGTGTAAATCGGGGGATAGGTGTATTATGAATATTAACATGAGCGAAGCCGCGGGTTAAACTTAGTTATAAAAAAAAAGTACCTTAACGTAGGACTCTAAGGTACCCTGCCTTAATATAACGTCGATGCATTGTATAGCTTCAGTAGGCGGATTCAATGAAGTACCTCCCGTTTTTATATAACTGAAAAAATTTACAATAAACGTGACATCGTGGTTCATTATTGATAATACTTAGTTGCCATTTTTATAAATATATAAAAAAAGTATAAAATTAAAGTAATATAACTTTTACAATTCTTATTAATATTTTAATGTGACAGAAATGTGTTTGTTTATGCAGGTCAGTCAATTAATTCTCATTAAATTTAATATATATTATACATGTCCTTTCTCTCCAATTTAATAGTATTTGGACAACAAATCGTTTATTTAACAGAGCTTTTCCCATTTTATATTATCGTTTTAATAATGATTGGCCCAAATGTAACAACACTTTGACCCTTCTATCAATATAAATAAGTATGAATTGTGCAATGATATAAATGGTGTGATAATCATGTATTAAACACTTACAAAAATGCAATTAATTTTACTGTCATGTTAACAAAACTTTTTAAAAAAATGTATAATAACTTACGTCACTATTCTTCCCAAGTCAACAATTCCTGTATGTTTGAAAGATACGTCAAAGGGTACGTTTCTTCCATTGTTATCGACTACCTCCACCTACAAACATCTTTAACATTAGCATCACAGAAAGATTCATCATTTATCAGAGATTACATAATATCATCTAAAACATAAAACATTAAAAAGTAAACCAACCTTAGTAATTAAGCGGTCATTTTCTGGTACACCTGGTAGTGGATCCAGGGTATAACAATTCTTCATTTGATCAAAAGCAATAAAAGCTTTTGGAAAAAGTAAAGTTTTAGCTAGAGCAAACGCTTTGGGAATCAACTTTTTCACTCGGTCTGGTTTAAATGACACGTCATAGCGGTGCTGAAAAGAGAAAATTTTATATTGGAACTGGTCATAGACAATTTTTACACAATTAAAATAATAAATTAAATTAATTACTTTAACTTACAATTTTTCGAGGCTCCATATTCATTTTGAGGTAATTTGTCAATACTTTAGTTGGTTTAGAATATACAGTTGGTTGTTTGCTAATAATTTTAGGTGGTATTTTGAACCGACTCGGTTGAGCTGGATGTTGCATTTGTGATTGTATTGTACCTGCTGTAGGTACAGATGTTGTTTCAGTCGGAGTCACTGCAGGTGCAGTGTCTATTTTTTTTCGTTGAAGTTTTTTACCTCCTAATCCTAAACCTGTATCATGGTCATCAGGTTCTGGAGGTTTCGTAGACGTTCCAGCTGTAGGTAGAAAGCCTGAAGTAGATGGTGTTTCGCCCAAAGTCAATGAGCCCATTAATTGTTCAGTTTGGTGTACTGTTATTGATTCTGTAAAATGAAAATGTCTTAAAAGAAGTTTATAATAATAAATAATTACAACGCTTATCAGGTTTTGTCTTTTATTATCATCTGTTTGTACTTTGAGTAGGTACTACGTATTTAGTGCCTCTTTTTCACCGCTTCATTTTTAGCTCATACACAACGATATCAACACTCAATGCATCAGTAACTGATTGTTAATAAAAAACAGTTTTTTAACTCACGGAAATAAATTTAAAAAGACATTAACGCAATGCACATATATATTTTCTCTAAGTTATGAAAAAATGCCCACATAAACTAAATGTTTACCCTGAGTTACTACATGAAATTAGTATTAATAAAATTGAAATGACTGTCAACTTGCAACAACAGCAGTGTTTGTATTTAGAGGGTATAATTTAGCAATTTAGATGATAGAATATGGAAGTGAAATTACAGGGTATGGAGACGCAACATCTTATTTCTTAGAAATGGCGACAAATAAAGTATAAATGCATCAACATGTATTCTGTAATGTCCATGGTAATGCTAATGTATATAAGCGCCAGTTATCAATTTCTATTAAATGGACAGTAAACTTATTTACTACTTTATAATTTTTTTTTTTGTTATGATATCAGCCGTTGCAATGAGGAGGGGACCAAGTATCACAACTGGACACTGCTGCACATTAGGTCTCCTTAAGTCCCCTTTAGGGGTTTTGCCCATAGTTGCCACTTTAGCAGTGTTTTAAGAAAAGTGTTACTGCCCATCCCTCGAACATTAAATTCATTAAATTTTCTCGCACTCCCTTAGTCGCCTCTTAAGACACCCATGAGAAAGGAAAGGATGGCCTATTCTATGCAGAGACCACATGGCAACTACAGGGTTTTGTTATTTGCAGATGGTATTTTTAATTTTTGTTAACAATTTTCATTAGAGCACAATAAGAATAACAAATAATTTTTAATTTAGATTTGCCAACTTTTGTAACTTATTTCTCGAGGTGTGTGTGCTATAATGTAACATAAGTTTTTAATATGGACACTGCCATTTTATGTATCCTTTCAGCAATGTTAGTTTCGTTTCATGTTGAATAAGTAAGAGGCAAAGATATTCCTGTTATGAGACACAACACAAAAGAGTCCACAAAAGAGGTACAATAGAGGTGAATATGGGCATTACAAATTAATATTCTGTAGTCTATAGTAATGTTTATATATCTACAGATTGATAGTTACCACTTTCTTGTACAGAAGGTAGTGATGAGGATGCTGGTTTAGCAACTGCAGATGCAGCCTCTTTTTTCTTTTTTCGTTGTCGTTTTTTACTCTCTAAACCTAACCCCACATCTTCATCTTCGGGTTCTGGAGGTTTAGTTGTTTCCTCTGGTAGATTTTCAGAAGTAGAAGGTGTCTCACTGACTGGTACTACCTCCTCAGCCTCCTTCTTCTTCCCCCCTTTTTTCTTTCCTATAGCATAAAAATTTCATAAAATGCCTATTCAATTAGAATGACAATGAGATCAACTCTAAAGCAAGATTCCCTAAATGTATTTCAACAATTAAAATTTCAATAATGACAGTTTAGCAAAATTACTATGTTATGAATCAACAAAAATTAAAAGTAAATATGTAGTTCTGGACCAAATCTTTAAATTTATAAATTTAATTCATACCCGTTTTTAGAAAAAATATTATGAAAACAATGGGATTGATTTTTAATAGATTTGAGTTAAAATTATTATAAATTTAGTTTAGATTTTAGACCATAAAATTGTATTTTTTTTTTTAACTATAAAATTAAAATATTAATTTTTGAGATAGGTTTACAGAATTGCGCCTCAGAAACAAAGTCAAGAGATATTTTGCAATACAAAAATATAATTAATAGGTGGGTGCTACAAATTCCATCTCAATATCACCAAATCTTCGAGACTAACACTAGTCCTGAATAGAAATCCAAAATTCTACTCACTCACTGAACTTTTCTAAAACCAAAATTGGTTAATTGATAAGTACTACATATAATATTTCTCTCCTACAGATTGCTAGGGGTGTTCACCTCTAATGAACTGTTTAGTTCTAAAGTAAGGGAATACAGGTATACGAGCTCACCCTCCTGAACCATAGCAATTTTTGACTAGTTTCAGACCAAGACCTGACTCCACAAGGGAAAAAAGGGGTATCCCTTGATCCTTTACACCATAAATCCTTCATTCCTCTTTTTCTAACTTTCTTTATTAACACCCAACTCAATTAATCAAGCAGCAAGGAAACATGGCATTCCTTCCACACTCTGTAGGTGGATAGACTATGCTTAAAGGCAGAGTTATAGAATCTGAGTTACTAGGGGCAAAAATAAAAGCACTACTAAGGGATGTCCCCAGGGAGGGATACTGTCACCTATACTATAGAGTCTTGTAGTGCATTCTCTTATGACATTATTAAATGAAGGGCCAGTCTATACTAGTGGATATGCAGATGATATGGTTATAATGGTGAATGGAAAATCCTCAAATACGGTACCACGATTGATACAAACAGCTCTACAGAAAGTAGAACAATGGTGTGTAACGCATCATCTCTCAGTAAATCCTGGGAAGACTACGGTTATACCTTTTACCTGACAGAGAAACCTAAAGGGACTCACAACTACAAGCGTATATGGAAAGAGACTAGTATGGTCAAATGAGGTCAAATATCTTGGTTTAATACTTGATAGAGGACTCATGTGGAAAACGCATGTGGACGGGGCTATTAAAAAGACACTAAGACTCCTGGATATGTCTGGTAAAGCTTATGACATTATTAAATGAAGGGCCAGTCTATACTAGTGGATATGCAGATGATATGGTTATAATGGTGAATGGAAAATCCTCAAATACGGTACCACGGCGATTGATACAAACAGCTCTACAGAAAGTAGAACAATGGTGTGTAGTTTACGGGTTGCATCATCTATTCAGAAAATCCTGGGAAGACAGAGATACGCAGTTATACGGACTTTTACCTGACAGAGAAACCTAAAGTGAGGATTCCATGTGTCACAACTACAAGCGTTATATGGAAAGAGACTAGTATGGTCAAATGAGGTCAAATATCTTGGTTTAATACTTGATAGAGGACTCATGTGGAAAACGCATGTGGACGGGGCTATTAAAAAGACACTAAGACTCCTGGATATGTGCAGATCATCATATGGTAAAGCATAGGAACTGAAACCACAAATAATGAAATGGATCTATGAAATGATGGTGAAACCCATTTTTACATATGGAGCCTCATCTGGTGGCCTATAACTAAGTTAGTAACATACAGAAATACACTTAGTAAAGTACAAAGAACTGCATGTCTGGCAATATCTGGTGCTTTTAAAAACACACCAACAGTGGCAATGATGATAGATGATATTGAATCTCCTTCCACTGCATATAGTGATTGAAAAGGAAGCAAGAAAGGCGCTTCTTAGATTGCAAGAGAGAGAATTATGGAACAGATCTATGCCACTTACAAATCACACAAAAATAGAGGTCGATAAAGACCTGGACATTTATATGGGCATAAGATGTGACAAAATAACACCTAAATACATCTACAAAAAGAACTTCAAAGTTCATATACCACAGAGAGAAGAGTGGGAACATGGCCCGTCATCTCTAAAGAAGAATGACCTATATTAGTATATGGATCGCTCCAAAATGGCAACAGGTACTGGAGCTGGAATCTTTTCAAGTGAAAACGAAATAAGTCAAAGCACAGGGAAATACTCTACTATTTTCCAAACAGAAATATATGCTGTTGCCACCTGTGCAGCTATGAATCTGGATAATCATGTAGAAAACAAAAATATCTATATTTTGAGTTACAGTCAAGCTACTATCAAAGCACTTGCATCAACAAGGTAAACAATTTGGGTAGGCATAATAGAGTTAGTTTGGTATGGGTTCCTGGACATATAGGGACTAAAGGTAATGAAAGAGCCCATGAGTTGGCGAGAAGGAGATCAGAATCAAAAACGATAGGTCCTAAGCCATATGTTGCACTTGCATCAAGTGTTGTTAACTCTGCTCTTGAGGAGTATATGAGAAAAAAACAGCAAAAGGAATGGAGGACTTTAAAAGGTCTTATATATATACTAAAAAGTTTTTAAATGACAATGCTGAAGGATGAGATGAGATAAACTCATCTACAGTGGTGGTAAACAACAGGCAAGACTCATTATGAGTGCCCTAACTGAGCATATACCAGCAAGGCATATACTATACAAAATGAATTTATCTTCAGAAACAATGTGCAAACTATGCGATGAGCAATCGGACTCCATGGAACACTTGATGTGCAACTGTAATTCATTGGCAAATATGCATATGAGTCTACTGGGAACAGCTTATCCAGAGCCAGGGGACTATAGATATGTTAAACCGTGGGATATTGTTAAGGTAACATATAGTATCTATAAAATGATGGTATAAGGCAGGAGGAAGCACAAAATATCGGAATGGACATACAACAGCTTAGCTGACCCCATATGTGAAAATAAGATAACACCCAATGTAGCCCTCCTTTTACTCAATTCTTTAATCCATACCACAAATGATGCATACCACCAATAAAACATTCCTAAAGAGGTGAATTCAAGTGATGATAGGTCATAATGTTCCAAGACACTTATTTGGTAAAGTCAGGCAGGTTGTAAAACCAAAAGACAAAATGGTGGATAATTTAAATAAAACAATATTACAGCAACCTCAAATAACTGGGATAAAGGCAGCAAGAGGATAAAGATGATAATAAATATTTATAAAGCAATCCATTAAATAAATACTACTAATCAATTCTATTTTATTACATGTTATTCTGTAGAAATCAATATCACTGATTAGTTGATTAAAATTATCTTATTTAATTCTACTGTCATTCATATATATGAGTAATAAGATAATAACTTAATATTAATAAAAATATATGAATAATAACATTCTAGAATGATTCAAGCCTTCATATATGTCAAATATAATGTAATAAAGCAGTTTTTCAGTTTGAAGGATTTTTAATGGGTGATAATGGTATGGTAACCCCACCCACACTATTGGTATACACCGGCGGGGCACCGGTGAAGGATGATAGGTGACGATGAAGCAAGTCAGTTAGCCACATCCTGACGAATTCCACAAGAATTGTTCACAATGGTTTCCAGGGGGAACCACATGGAGGTAGACCCTATGGGGCATACTGCTAGTAATGGGGCTGTCAAACTCCTTTGCTAACGATCCCTTTCCCCCCGGTTTGAAGGGTGGGATATGGTGTGAATTTACAGGATAGAGGAATAACACCTGAGTCCTCAGGAATGGCAATACATGGGGGTATCATGAGCAAAACAATATACTCTGTTATGTCCATGGTACTGCTCATTTCTATAGGTGACGGTTACCACTGTCCATCAGGTGGGCCGTCGGCTTGTTTGCCATTCTAAGTTGTACAAAAAAAAATATATAACACAATAAGTGTATTATTAGGCAAATATACAGAAATAAGTTTTTTTATATATAAAATCATATTATAAAGAGAAAAGATTTGATTGTTTGTAACAGAGAAACTGAAAGAAATTAAGCAATTTTAAAAATTCTTACATGTATAGAAAAATACATTACAACAGTAATATAGGTATTAAAAAAAATAATCAAATAAGCTAAGCAAGTGATTAAAGTAACATCAGTCACAGTAATCAGGAGAACATATCTATGTACATAAATCTTACACAAGTAGAATTAAGTTACCACTCACCTCCTCCTCTCCCCATTTTTAGTATTCACTGAATTTGACTCAATAAAAAACTGATCTGAAAAGGAAAAAACAAATTGTATTACTACACCATAGCCACTGGCTAGCAGAATCAGAAAGACTATAATTAGCTGAAAACAATGGGAAATAAAAAGGTCTCTTTTATACAATTGAACAAAGTAATGAGAGCATCTACCTATAACTAAAAATTTATATCCACTGAACACGTTGACATTTAGGGAAATTCCCGTGCCTATGAAAAATTGTTACGAAATTAAGTTATGAAACAAAATGTTAATAGGAAAAATTCACTAAATACCTAGTGAACAAAATTAGCTACAATCGACATCACAGATGTAATAATTGGAATGATATTATGATAGGAACGAAAATTATGGTGCAATAGTCATGGCTCTAGCTCACAATACACAAAATCCAATATTCTGATGGTTCTAGAAAATGTAAACAAGTGCATTCATTAACATTAACAAATAGTCCTTACTATAATCAACTACTCAAATAGATATACATTTGAATTAATAGTAAATACCAATTAAATAATAAGACACTGATGAAGACAAAATTAAAAATTTTAAAGAAAATAATTTCTTACCAAATAGTAAACACACACAAGGAGAAACAAAACAGCACTAGGGGTATTCGATATATATCGATAAAAAATATAGGTATTAGCTTTCGATATATCGAATTGATTTGATATTATCAAATAACTAAATATCGATATAAAAATCGATATATTTTTTTCGATACAAAAAATTGTCTCTAATACTTGATCTGATGTGGTATTACTCTATGGTAGGCTTACATTATGATATAACATTATGATTTGGAGTAGTAGTTGCCTTTGTGGCAGTGTACAAATAGGGCTGCTCGACCGGCGAAATGCCAACCTCTTACAGAATCTCGTTGTGAAATAACAGTACTTGTACTGCCGTGTTTCGTTCGGTAAGTGAGAGTTCCGAAAGCCCAAACTCCTGATCCCCTTACTTGTTCAAATGCCGTAAATAAAATTAAAGAGATGGTCAGATCAAATCGACAAGAGGATTTATGTGCTGCTGCGGGATCGGATTCTGATAGTTCATCAGACAAACTTTCTCAGAGAGAGTTTCGTCTCTGGAGTGATCATCACAAATTAGTTCAGTGGAATTGGAAAACCAATAAAACTGACCAAAGCTTTTCAGATGAGATAACGCTTTATTTAAGGGCTCCAGTTAGTAGATTTAATGAAAATCCTTTGGAAGTATAGATGGATTACAAGGTACAGCTCTGTTCCAACTGAAAGGCTTTTTTCAAAGGCCGCGCAGGTCTTAACATAACAGAAAAATCGACTGCAAGCTAAACGAGTCAATAAAATTTTATTTATGCAAGGGTTAAATAAGAAATATTGGGATCTTTAAATATTTTTCTTGAAATTAAAGTTGATTGAAATATTTACATGGTTTAATTCTCTACTCTTAATTAATTTTTATCTTTCCTTTTTTGATTAATAATTGAATATTATATATGATATATCGAAAATATCGATATTTTGAAACGATATATCGCATAATATCGATACGACAATTTGATATATCGAAAAAAATATCGATATATTTTTCAGGTGACATCCCTAAACAGCACAAATTAGAAAGAATAAGTCCACAGAGTGAGCAATTTACCACAGATTAGGAAACTATATTACATATGTCAAATGAACATATTGTTATAGAACGATTTAGAGTGTGACGAATAGTGCAAGTAATCACAGAGAGAGTATTTTCTGTATTCATTATTTAATTTATTTAAATTTAAGTAATCACTACGTTAAAAAAGATTAATCTGTGTGGTATTATATTATCTGTGGTGGCCAACAGTTTCACTACAGCTGAAAGTTATTTTATTATTGATTTATATAGAATTATCCAGAAATAATAATAAAAAAATTCTGTCACATCTTGTTGAAGGAAGATTTATTAACTTAACTGAAATACATAATTTTGATATTAATATTAAAAAAAATAGAAATGATAAATTTAAAAAAATAAATTCTTTTTATAGTTATTTGAATCTGTTTCTCTTATAATAGACCAACAGTAATCTCCTAACATGTTCTCATCCCAAAATCCTTGATGTCATTCTTCAAAAACTTTTAAATCTTGGTGAAAACGTACCCCTTCCTATCACTCGTATTTTCTAAATTTTCAGAGAAAAAGCTCAGATGTATGTAGAAAATGAATCTTTAACGACATATTTATAAATCGAAAACTTCTGTTTCTGAAAAACGTAACTTTTGTGTCTAGTACTAACAAGTTCGATTGTTGTAAGCGAAAACCAAGAAACTCTGCTTTAAATCTAAATAATTGTAAATGTCTTATAAGATAAATTAATTTAGCTTGGTTAATTAAATGTGGAGTATTTTCTTGAAGTGACAACTCGTCAGAATCATTAGAAATCGATTGGAATTCAACATCACTTTCATCGTCATCTAGTACAGTTGCACTCGAATTACCGGGACAAACTGGATATACTTAGTAGATCTTTTGAATATAATATGGGCTTAGTAATAGACGGAACTTCGACATATGCCTTATTTTTTTATTATATCCCAATATCCTTTATGTCTACGTAACACAAAAGTAACAATCATTTTCATGATTACTAGGTTTTCTCTATAACATTGTTGAACCAAATGGAAGGAATGCTCTACAAATTGCAAATCCGGCCTCACATGGAGTATTGCTGTCACTTATGGGCCGAAGCACCTAAATACCAGGTTGAACCTTTCGACTCGTCGATGATCCCAGGCTCAAAAGAGGTATCGAACCCTCGAGTCTTAGGAGAGATTTTGCCTCACTCTGCGTGTTCTACCGCCTGTACAATAGATTGTGCTAAAAGGAATTGTTCAATATGATGCCCACAGCCACTTTCTACCATCGTACGGCTCGCCATCGACAGGGAGTTCATCCTCATGTCCTACAGCCTCAATGGTCGCGTACTGCGCGGTTACAGAGATGTTTCCTCCCACGAACACTCAGATTGTGGAATGAACTCCCTGCCGAGGTTTTCCCAAAAGACTACAGCATCGGGTTCTTCAAAAGGGAATAAAGAGGTTTCTTCAGGGTCGGCAACGCACGCGTAATACCTCTGGTATTGCAGGTGTTCATAGGCTACGGTAACTACTTACCATCAGGTGGGCCGTATGCTTGTTTGCCACCTCAGTGGTATAAAAAAAGGTAAACGTTATCTCCTGATGGCTACTGGAGTAATACAATTCTACAGCTTTCGCAAAATATATGAAGCACCCACTTTTTATCCAGATTTGCAACAGAAAATGCAAAATAATGAAGATATGCACTTTTTAAAGAATATATAATGAGTCTTTTCTTTTTTGAGAATATAAACTACCCACAAACACAACAAAATGATCAGAATTTTATTTGCATTTTATACTTGATATTTTAAGTCAATCCGAAACAAGATAATTATCGTTTGAAGCGGACGAATTAACATTAAACTGTTGTCAACACATTAGGTAGTTAAAAAAATCAATTGCCTACAGGAAGAAATTGTGACGTGATAAAATATTTCAGCTAACACTTTTAGATTTAACGAAGGTAGATTACCTATTTATATACATTTATTTTGGGGTATAAAAAAAAGTTCAATTTTGTAGTGTTATTTGTCAATAATAATTTTTACATTACTAGATTATATATTCGACACAGTTTATGTAGGAAGTACGCAAGCATGTTGTCTGAATTTGGTAAAGTTTACAGCCGTACGAGTATAACATTTTCTGTACACTATCCTGCTATGAATTGACAATTTTATCACTCATTCTATGTAATTCTTGTTTTTTGAAAAAAGTAACTCATCTATTGATGGAGGAGTAGTGATTACTTGCTCTGTGGTGTTGATGAATGATTGACGGCTGTGACTGATGTGATAACTGATTGACTGACTGCATCTAATGTATATAGTAGAAACTTCATAATTCTCTTTTAATATTTTTATGTGTTTTTCTTGTTTTTTACTGAATGTGTGTAAAATTATTACTATTACCAGACATAATGGACTAATACACTTGTATTTTACAAGACACAATTGCATACCTTGAAAAATACAGACAACTAATGTAGCATTCTGTATCACAAATTGAATGCTACAGTCATGAGTATTGTAATGTTTACTATCCCGGCCTTTGCTAGTAATTTTGTGCTTTCGAATGAAATATGGCCTGTAATTCTCGTCAAAGTGATGTAAATTCAAGCACTATATCCGATTTAACTGATGAAAACAATATTGTTGATGATTTATCAATAATTCCTCTCGAAAAAGACAGTTTTGGTGAGTCCATGAACACGATTTGGTATTTCATTGATTTTCAGAGTTTACTGAAAATCAAACCACGAAACCTATCTTTAAGTTTTTTTAAAGTGTTCATATTTTAAGTACTTATCATTTTGTTTCTAGAAGATTATTATCGACAATAACTTATTTTGATTTGGCCTTAACAAACAGCAATACATGAGACATAAAAATTAATTATACATACTTAAATGAATTTTTTTTTTTACTGATAAATATTACCTGTTTCTTTATTGTCTTTTTTTCGATGTGGATTGAATCATGTAGCTTGGTAGTCTATACATAGGTACTGTAACACTAGGTGTTTAAAAGATAGACTGTACCTGTATTAGCTCATATATAGGCCAAACTAAATGGACCATAGATGAAAGGCTCAAAAAACACATAGCAGCAGTCAAAAATAAACAAATATATGGGGGATTGCAAAACATTTATTACCATTAGAAAGATGAAAAAATCTATTTACTTACAAGGATGGTTACTGGTCAAATGACTGCCTGAATTTAATAATTTTTTTTTTTTTATTTAAGTGCTAAAAATGGTAACTATAGTAATAAGACAGAGTATAATGTATGATTGATTATTTAATTTACACAAAATTTTTACATTTTAACATTTTGTTTTTGCTACAACAGCTGCAAAGTTGCTATTTGCAAGTGTTTCATACTGTATTAATTTTATTTTTGCACTTCTGTATATAACACCCTCACCTTTTTTGAATTTCTAGAGTTTGAAGAAGATCGGAAAGTAGAAGGTGTGGATTCTTTAGGCAAGGGTTCGGTTTCAGAGAGTCTCACTTTACTAGTCTGCTCCTAAGTTCACTTGCTAAACTTAGTATGAAATTCCTTCGTTAGATGTTGGTACCTAAGATTTTCTTATACAAAATGAAGAAAGTTATCCCTAGTAGGTCTAAAATATTGAAAAAAAAAAACTTGTACAGGCTACCTTCAACATACTGCTTTGACATCATATTTTTTTGCCAGCCTCATCCACACTTTACTTGGTTGCTTGTAAAGTCATAATTTCTGACTTTTTCTTAGGTTATTAGCGTCTATTTCAACATTGTCATGTAAGTGTGAATTCTTGTTTCATTTCCCTTGATAAATTATAAGAGTACATCTATTAGATTTCAGCATAACAATGGATTCACCGAGGCTTTGATTTTGTGGCCTGCTTTCTTCCTTTCCTAAGTAAGGAAAGCCGTTGAGCATAAATTTGGAATTTACATCAACATAAAGCCAAAATTTTATTCCAAACTTATCAGGATTATTAGCAATTTATTGAAGGAACCTACATCTAACCTTAGTAGAAAATAAAAAAAAAAAACAGTTTGTCTATTGTAATGTTTTCTTCTGGCTTGTAGCAAGATAAGCAGTTCTGAATTATTTTTTCCAAATGTCGGATATTAGTGCAAATTTATCTTGTTAGTCATGAACTTCTCTGATCTGTTATCAAATCGCAAAAACTTAGTTATTTCTTTGAGTCTGTTACAGGCATAACTTTCGAAAAAAATGTATTCACCAAATATTATTACACAACTCATTTACTTGAATATTTTTTGCATTATAAGCACTTCCAGCGTAGCATATAGCAATAAAACTTACCACTTGTTCCAAAGTTAGTATCCAGTTGTTGTGTCCTAGTTGCTTCTTCTAGAGTACATTTTTGAATGTCTCAATATGGATCCATCAATCAGAAGCCTCGATGATTTTGATAAATTTCCTGTGAAATTTCTTCATGTATATGAGATAGGTGCCTGCTTGCTCAGTTATGATATTGTAGGGTACTCGGCGACCACTTTAAGTAGATTCCATTTGAAGTGTCCATGACGTCGTGGTAGACCGTTGATAGAAGTGATAAGACCTCGAAGCTCAGAATCTTTCGAATTATGACTCCTACCACGAGCACGGCTATGACCACGGCCACGAGATCTCGACCTGTCAACGTTTTATAAGGTTGCATGAGGTATCTGGTCATCCAGGTCACTTTCTTCTATAGAAGAACTCGAACTGATAACTGGTACCGCATAATCATCATCGCTATCGCGTTCTGTACTTTCAGAGCCCTAATCGGATTCATCTTAACGTATATTTTATGTATGTATGTATATATTACGTTATAAAATATACTTTATTTTGCAAGGTTGAAAGTATTTCTTCATTTGGAAGACTTCGAGACATTTTCCACGAATTACTTACAATAATTTGGAAAAAATTCACATGCAGTCAAAACTATACTGACTCATTTGACTAGCGAACTTCAACCAATGGATAAGCGTACATTATTTGTATTCTACCTTCTTATATTACAAGTAAACGCTTATCGAATGTCTGCCTCCCGTCTTCGTTAGTATATAAAAATTTTAAATAATAAACAAAAGGGTGATGTAAGTTATTTTCATACATAGTTTTATTTAACTAGTAATATTAATAAATGTCACCAAGTCTCAGAACATTAAGTCGAATGGTTTTTGAGTTATACAACATTTAAATTCAAATTTTAATCAAATAACTGCACCCGTGTTTCTAGTGTTAAACAGCTCTAACAGATATAGGCTTTCAATAGCATGGAATGGAACCCCGTGATTGGTACGTTAAAAACACGCGATAATTTGTTTAATTATAGTGTAGATATCATGCGTTTTTTTATACAACTTAAAATGGCAAATAAGCTGACGGCCCACCTGATGAAAAGTGGTAACCGTCGCCTATAAACATGAGCAGTACCATGGACATAACAGAGCATACTGTTTCCCCCATGATACCCCCCTGTGTGTGTGTGTGTGTGTGTGTGTGTGTGTGATGTGTGGGGTGGACCTAGACAATAATAGTAACACTTGAGTGTGCCTGAAGTGAATGCGCGGGTTGCCAGATGAAGATGCCGCTTACTTCAATCCTGTTGTGATTCACGTCGAAATGTCGGCAATAAAAAGCAGGTTTGTAGGTATCTACTATTTGCCTACAAATAATTTTTAATCGCGTTAAGTCCCGATAGTGTCTTTAAAATATGTGTAAACAACGCGAAAATTTCAAATTAATTACCTATATGAACTGTTTATTTCAGCAATATGTGAATTATGTGGACGCGTTGGTCGCCGTACTCATTTTTACCAGCGCAATAATAAATTCTGTTCATTACGATGTTCTAACAGTAGTGCTAGGCGTAGGCATTGTAACTGGAGATTCAAACTCATGGAAGGCACGGAACACATGGCGGGGATGATCCCATTGGAGCCCTTACCACAGCTGCAGCAATGGCAGACTACATTAAATGATTTGCAGGTAATTTATAAATAAACAAAAATTACCTTTATTTCTCTGACTTGTTTATAAATTATTGCATTTATGCAGCTAGGTATATTTTTTAGTACCTGTTAACATATTTTTCTTTATTTCTGTCTGGCCTCTCAGATCATCTCACCTTTCTTTTTTAATCTCTTCTAACTTTTTTTGGGTATTACAAAGGTATATTTAGGAAAGATGTGCTCATCCCAGAATCGGGAGGGAAGGGATCGTTAGTGATGGGTACTTATCAACCCCATTGCTAGCAATATACTATGTCAAGTTGACCTTCATGCTTAATCCAGGTAAATTTATTACTATGTTACCTGACCTGCCTTTTAATTCCTCACTGGTACTCTGCTAACACATATCGTTAGTGCAGATGGTACTGTTATTCCATTTTCATCCATTAAAAAAAATCTTAGAATTATCTAGTACTTTTTAAAATTTCTGTGACCTCAAAGTTTAAATATCACAGTAATTATAAAAGAAGCCTGGGGATGAAAATATATGAAGACACATTGTTTTACTGTAACTATATGAGATGAACTACTATGTATGTATGTTTAACATTTTTTTTTTATTATAACATTCCTTTTTGCAAAAGAAGAAATCACTTTCAATTTTAAGTTTTTATTTACAATAGTATAAAAATTTGTATTCATTTTTGTACTTTTATACACAAATATTTTTTATTGTCTTCAAAAGTCACACAGAGATCATTGTTTTGGGATTACAATAAAAATTAGTTTACAAAATATTTGTCCTAATATATTATATATAATATGAGTATCTTCTTATTTTTTTCTTTTCTTAGTATTACATATGGTTAAGGACTTCAGTTTACATTTTTATAATGAAGACACTGTTTATGAAATTGTTTTATAGGCTGGTCCAATAAAGCAGTCAGCATCATTGGTGGCAAATAGTTATGAATGGAAAGATGAACTGTTTGGCTGCGATTTTTTAGCTGCTCCAGTCAGTTTGTTTAAACATGCACCATTACACGAAATGTGGGACAATACTTTTGAAGGCATGAAAGTGGAAGTGAAGAACACTGATTGTGATAATTCATCTGAAAAGTTAAATGATTATTTTTGGGTTGCCACTGTATTAAAAGTATGTAATGTTCTTATTTCACATAAATTACTATTATTATTTTACAAATGTATTAATATTATTGAAGTTTTGAAATAAAACATGAGACTGAATAATGTATACATTGTTAGTATTTTTTATAATGTTTTGATTAATAAGATTCTTATTTATCTAAATACTTAATTATAATTTAAATACTTTTTTCTAAACACAACATTAGATTCAATATTGGAAAGGTTATATGAAATTAACAAAGGAACAAATCCTTTTAATTAAAACAGAATCTTCTAGATCAGTGGTGGTTAACGAATCGATCGCGACTATTAGTCCAGTCGATCGTGGCAAGGCAAAACATTTTTTGCTAATCTAGCGGAAGATGCTCAGACGCAATGCTCACACTAATATAAATAAGTATTGGCCGCCCCTGCTCTAGATCATTTAATAGTTTAACACTTTAGCTAATTTTTCAAATAGGTAAGAGTATTAAATAAAAATAGAATAAATTATTTACTAAATATACTAATATATTTGTTCTTAGTTATAGACCAAATTTTATTTTTACAGGTAAAAGGCTATATGGGTTTATTAAGATATGAAGGTTTTGGAAGTGATGACTCAAAGGATTTTTGGGTGAATTTGTGTTGTTCTGAAGTCCATCCAGTAGGTTGGTGCGCGACTAGAGGAAAACCGCTCATACCCCCTCGTACTATAGAGGACAAATATACTGATTGGAAGAAGTAAGAATGTAGAATGAATCAAATAGCTCTTTATTAAATCCAGCAATATAACATATAAAAATGCATTTTTATCGACGTTCTATTTATCAATTTATAGTTTTTGTTTATTTGGGATAATATATGGTTTAATATGAAAGTCACATTAAAAGAACATTTTGACTATTATTGATATGATATTCTATTTTTAATATCCCTTTTTGGTGTGTGATTATGGCCTAGGATTTTATGTATACATATATCTATGTGTGATTTTTTTTTAGATTTTTAGTGAAGCAGCTTACTGGTGCTCGTACATTACCAGCTAACTTCTATAGTAAATTAAATGACAGCTTAATATCAAGATTTTCTATCGGCTCTATCATGGAGGTTGTGGACAAAAATAGAATTTCACAAGTAAAGGTTAGTTTGTCTGGACAGACATATGACCATTCCGTTTGTTTTAGGGTGGCCCTATATTGTGGGATTTTTTATATATATATTTTTTTTTATTTTTAAGGCGAGGGATAGGTAGTATGTCCTCTTAAAATATCTCCATAATTTAACTGCGATTCCCATTCCGCCTGCCAAGCATGGTAACTACGGACAAAACCCCCAAGGGAGAGGCTTGTGTTCAGCAATGGATAGTTAAAGGCTGATATGTTGAAGATGATGACATATGTTGACGATCGACACAATCTGTTAGTCTTCTAAATGGCACTCATTTAGTCTGTGCTTATTTATTTTGAATGCGGCTTCCTTTTAATAAAATTATAATTCTGTGTTACTCATATAAGATGTACTACGAAAAGTAAAAGAAGTGTTTTTTTTAATCTTCAAATAATGGGTATGATAATAATATTTATGTAACTATTCTAATATATAATAATCCTGTGTTACAATGTTTATTCGTGCTAATCTCTGATACAGCTTAACCGATTCTAATGGAATTTTGTATACACATATACACTTACTTACTTTTTAGTACATAGTTTTATTCCATTAAGAAAAATGAAACCAATAGATTGTAGTAAGGAGCAAAACAATTTTTGATATGTTAACTAGTTTAATATATGACGTTATATCCCATTATATTGTATTATATATTTTTGTTTAGGTGGCTAGTGTGTGTGAAATTGTGGGGAAGAGGTTGCACGTGAAATATTATGACAGTTCTCCGGAAGACAACGGATTTTGGTGTCATGAAGACTCGCCCCTTATACACCCAGTGGGCTGGGCGTTTCGGATCGGTCATCCCTTGGACGCGCCACAGAGCTACTGTCAAAGGGTAGCGGCGGGACGATTCATACCAAGTGACTCCACTCCCGATATGTTTCATAAATATCCTAGCAATGAACCTCCATTGTTTGCCAAGGGAATGAAATTGGAAGCAATAGATCCCCTTAACTTGTCAGCTATTTGTTCAGCAACTGTAATGCAGATTTTAAATGAGGGTTACATGATGATCAGAATAGATTTCTATCCAGCTGACGCATCGGGTGCTGATTGGTTCTGCTATCATCAGCGGTCGCCGTGTATATTTCCAGTTGGTTTTGCATTAGCAAACAATATACCTCTAGTTCCTCCTGCTGGGTAAGTATGCCTACATAATGTATTTCTTTTATTATTAGCTCAACGGCCTAGAGCGTACTATACTATAAGTAAATAAACACATAGCGACATGTCAAATTAAGTATGCTATAAAAATGATAAAAAGGTTTGTTTTTCTCATACTAACTTTTTGTTTTTTTTTTACATTAATTTTCAACCGACTTCAAAAAGAAGGAGGTTTTCAATTCAGTTGTATTTTTTTTTGTTTGTTACCTCATAATTTCAACAGTTGTAAACCGATTTGGAAAATTATTTTTTTTTTATCTGAAAGGATATACTCGTAGATTAGTCCCGTAGAAATTTTATTAAAATTGTTTCATTAGTTTAGTTTTTAAATCAAAATGATTTTGCCACAATTGAAGTTGATTTCTTTTTGTGGAACATAAATATGTATATGGGACAGATAAAAGAAACACTAGGTGTCATGTCGTATAGGGAGGTCACGGATATGGCCTGGGATAGAGCTGGCTGGCATGAATTAGTTGCATCGACAAGAGGAAACTCTTAAATGAAAAGAGAGAAATATATACAATCATAATATTCGCTAGTATTAATCCTATGTCCTTGTTTAATTAATATATATATATGGCTTACCGATAGCGAAGATGGGGTAACTATTTAATTTTCATCCATAAAAAAGTTGAAGTAGTTAAAAGAAGTAAAGTGGTGTGATAACCAGTTATCACCCTCACTTATCATCCCTCTCTAGTATCCTGCCAGCGTAAATTGCATACAGAAACCTAAGCGAGGTACAATATTCTACCTCCTCTTTTCTCATCTGTCGTAGATTTACACCTGAGGAGTTCAGTTGGGAGCAATATCTATCGATGACCGGTAGTCGCGCGGCCAGTCGGTCACTGTTTGCGGCGCGTGGTCACGTGGTCTCGCATGGGTTCGTAGCAGGTATGCGGCTCGAGTGCGCCGACCTTATGGATCCACGGTTAGTCTGCGTCGCCACTATAGCGAGGGTGGTCGCCGACCTTCTCAAGGTAAGCATTGGAAGAATTAATGAAATTTGAATTAATAAATTTTATTGCCACTATTAGGAGTCGATACTTTTAGGCCTCGAACCTTTCTACAGGATTTACTGATGATAGACTTAACAGCCGAATTTTTTGCAACTTAGAATGGCAAACAAGCTGACGGCCCACCTAATGGAAAGTAGTAACTGTCACCTAGAGATAACCAGAGATGACGCAAAACCGTCGGAAGTAACGTAAAAGGAAGAGCTAACCCCAAATAGCGAAACAGCCAGAATATTGATTGATTGCTACTGTTAGGAGTATTAATTACGATAAAATTTTTAATTAAATTACATTTCAGTAAAATTTATATTTAAAAAAATATTCAAGGTTGATAACGCACACGTGATAGCCCTGGTATTGTAAACTATATTAACTGATAAAGCTCAATACTTTTATTTCCAAAGAGTCGATACTACACAGACCATGTTACCATTACCAGAGGGAGACTTTGTACAAAAGTCGAATGCTTGGGTACCTCTGTCCCATTCGTGTTTCAACCGTGAAGCAGTTGTGTTTGCATGGCTGTGTTTCGGTTTGAAGGGTGGGATATGGCGTCAATTTACTGGGTACAGAAGAATAACACCTGAGTCCTCAGGAATGGCAACGCATGGAAGGTATCATGGGCGAAACAGTATACTCTGTTATGTCCATGGTACTGCTCATGTCTATAGGCGACGGTTACCACTTTCCATCAGGTGGACCGTCAGTTTGTTTGCCATTCTAAGTTGTATAAAGAAAAAAAAAATGTTACCGGCGGGTAGTACACTATCAGTTGCACGGTTGCTTATAACACTAGGGTTGTTACGTAAGACATAGCAGATGATTTTTGTATCGTTTTCCTTAGTAAAGGACACACTGTGTGAAATTGCTGTGTGTACCTGTCTTAAAGGGATTATGTGTATATGTGTGATAGGTACACTTCGACGGTTGGGGCACGGAGTACGACCAGTGGTTGTGGGCGCACAGCACAGACGTGTACCCGGTGGGATGGTGTCGCGCCGTAGGGCATCGCCTCGAGGGGCCGCTGCAGCCGCCGCCACGGCTGCAGAGGCTCGCCCGCAAGCCGCCGCCCAAGCAGCAGCGACGCCGTCGTCGTCCGCACGGTAATTATCATGTTTTTAAGTAACACAGTAGATTAGTAACAATTCAGTTAGATGCACGTTGACCCTTATTTTGAGATTATGAATGCGATGTACTGTTGTTCAAATGAACCCCCGCTTTTTCTTGTTAGAACCAGTTTGTTGGTAATAAATCCTACTGCTAGCAATATTCCTCATCAGGATGACCTCCCCATGGCCCCCTTTAGAAAACCATCGTGGTTTTTTCGTCACGATGGGCTAACTAACCTAACTTCATCTTCACTTATCATCCTTCATTGGTCTCCAACCAGTGTATATTGATAACGCAAGTGGAGTTATGATACCACTTTCACCTAAAAGAAATGTGTTCACTTTACAGAGTACTAAGCGTATACCGTATAAAAGTCTAGTATATTATTAATTAATTACGAATGTTTGTTTTTTATAGTCACAAAAATAACCAGCCAACCACCAAACACAACAGAAGAAAGCTCTCAGAATTCTGATATGGGCGATACCAAAAGTCTTTCGCCTCCGACTAGTGTATCGGAAGTGTCTGCTGACAATGAGCCTAGGACGGATACGGAAACCGCAACAAATAAAATGGAAGTAGACACAGAAACGAAGAATGATATAGTGCCCACTCAGGAAGCCCCTGAAGAGCATGTACCCGATATCAGCCAGGATTTCTCGGTAGGTTTAACTGCCGAAGTCTTTTGAATATTATGCTTTAGATAGTTAAACTATAATTAATAATTAAATACATTATTTAGAGATACAATAAGGTTTCTTATCTATTTTCCTCAGCTGGAACTGTATCCCGAGTTGAGCTGTGGTATTTGTAAAGTCTAATCGAAAATACCGGAGAGTTTACTTAAATAAAAATAATATTTCTATTTGATTTCAGAATCTTCCTGCAGACATATCACAAGATTCAGGTCAACTCGTCGCCCAGCCTTCCCCTGAAGTGCCATCGGAGATTAACGAGAAGGTGATACCTAGACTAGTCAACACCACTGTGCCCTTAGATGTACTAAATACAGTCGACCCAGAAAACTGGACAACCGCAGACGTAGCGAAATTTCTCACCGTCAACGATTGCCAACCATACTGTGTTAATTTTGGTCACATAACAGGACCAATGATGTTACAGTTATCAAAAGATGAAATCATAGAGTTATTGGAAATGAAAGTAGGTCCATCATTAAAGATTTTCGACTTAATACAACAATTGAAATGCAAAATAAAACAACCGCAATGTAGATTGTTAAGTAGCTTTAAGTAGTTTTTAATATATTAGCTGCTTCGCTCTATGTATATTAAAGGGCTCTTTTGATAAAATTGGCAATGTTGCTATCCTCTGTCATTTTAATGACTTTTCATTATCAATTACCCATAGGTACAATACGTTGTCCTATATTGTAGCTTTCTATAAATAAATTATTTGGAATCGATTTCATAATTTCGAGTATTGCTTCCTACATACCTATATCTCCAATGTATAAGACAGTATTTTAGAATAATACTAAAATAGTGTGCAATTTTTTATAAGTGTATTATAATTAAAAAGTACAAAACACATTGCCATTAATATTCAAAAGGGCTTCGTTCATTTTGGAAGGTACGGAACTGATTATATAATTGTGGCCTTTAATACTTCCAAAATTGTTTGATGTATCTCGCAGTTTGTATATACATGCAGCGAAGGAGATACCATTACAAACTATCGTTTATTTACTCCCACCTCATTTTTATATAATGTAAGTGGGCGAATATTCTTAACATTTCATTTACAATAATTTAATGCGGTAAATGTGAAGCATATTTGTTGTATTCGCTTTTTATTATATTATTCAGAGTTTTTTTTTTTGTGAAGCCCTGTTTACGAATTGACAACAAATCATGTTCTAAACAATTGAATCACCTATATCGAAAATAAACTTTAAATCACAATTAAGTTTGCGCAGAGTCAACACGAGAAGGCTATGTTAAGGCCCATACTTGTACGGATTATGATGGATACAAATGTACACTAACCGATAGTTCATTGTCCGCGCAGACTTTTAGCAATTATTTTTATTATAAAAATACAAATCTCAATAGGATAATAGGATTACTTTTAGTATAAAAGTAGTAACAATGTGGCATCAGAAGTTATCTATTTATGAATAAATAGTGTGTCGTTCAGTGATATGTGATTTACAATCAACAAATTCCGTGTTATTTATTAGTATATTTTTTTTAAGCTTTGACTGTTTTCATAGTAGTAATGGATCGAATAATTAATTCTGGACAGCTAATTACATTTAGGTTTTTTAACTAAATCATCAATAAAAAAAAAGATCATTAATATTTTTAATTTTCATCTCAACTACATCACAAATTGCTAGCATTTGATTAAATTATTTTTCAAGATATAAATACTCTTGTACTATTATTATTTTATAATAGATAGGTACTGAATAGATTTCTAAGTCATAAAAAATATAAGGGTTTATTAAACTCTACAAGGATACGCTTGAACTTGGAGCTTAGTTTTTTTAACATTTCTTATTTTTGGAATGTAGAAATGCAATTGTGTTTAATACTGTGTTGTACATGATGTACACACAATTACACTCAAATAATAACATCACGTATGGGCAACTTATGCGCTTTTGGCGGAAATATGGGCAACATGTGACTGTTTCACTCTAATGCAAGCTGTTCAGTGCATGTTACCTTTGTCCGCATATCTTTAGTGTAAGAAATTCATCAAATCCATCTAAATAAATACGTACCTATCTAGAAGTTTTACGTACATTTTTAATCCGTATATTTTCGGTGGAGAGCCTTGATACAGTTTTGCTGTACGTAAGGTATATAATTTATTCAAGTGTGATTTAGTATATATAATTGTACTCGACGTAATATTTATTAATTAGACTGAAAAATCAGATCAGTAGGTTTTTGCCTAATAATAGGAAGCTGCGTTTATTTTACTAGTACTTTTTGACATCAGTATTTTCTAAGTTCGAAAACTTTTGAACAATTTAGATTCATGAGTTTATATTATAATCTAGTGGGTCAAGCTTTGGGATAGATAATTCTATTAATGGCTTTCTCTTAATACTACTAAGTGATGCAAATTTAGTAGATTTTGATTTTAAAATTTTAAAATGTTTAAGCAAAATGTTTTTATACTTCAAATTAAGACTTGTGGGGTTAAAATAACTTTATGCGATTTTCGTATACGCAAGCCGCTGCAACTATTAGTACTGCTTTGGCAGTACATGTACCAATGATTAGTTAGAGTCATCAACAAAAGTATCAGATTAAAACTGAAGTCAGTATTAATAGTTGAAGGTAAATTATTATTAGTGACTACTTTAACCCCTCCCCTTTTTGCTAAATCACAAAATATTCGCGTCAAGTGTCGTTTATCACCAATATATCCATTGTATATATTATTATGTTGTTGTGATCAATATTACTTATATACAAAATTGCCTTAGTGATTTATAATGAATGGTCATCACATTATTGTGTGTAATAGAATTGGAATGTTCTGGTACAGTGCATTGAATAGAAATAAATTATTTCAGCAATTTCATGTTTTTTTTTTTATTTGGACGGATTTTACAATTTTTATAAATTAAATTTATCACCAATATATTTCTTTGTTTGTATTCAACTCTTGCAGAATTTGATTGGTAATCATCCTGTAACAAAAGTAAAATATACATTATAACAATAAACAGTTATGATTAATTTATGACAGTTTTGTCTTTACTAAAATATTACTACTTTTATGGAAGTGTGTTTTATTACTTCTTGGTATCTTAATGTTGATTACATAAAGAAAGAAAATATAGAGGAATAATTACCAAATATATATTGTATACCCCGGTTTTGGGGAAAAATTATTTCTCTTATACTTTGCTATCATTTGCTACTTATATTTTGCTATCATTGACAAAGTCATCGATTGTAGTAGCGTAATTTTTATAAAGGAACTAATATTTTCATTAATTGGATCTTTTCATTAGAAATATCTATAGATAATATTGATCAGCGGCGGTAAGCTCGCTCGCTCATGTTGGATCCTAATATGCTTTGTGAAATGTGGTTATGTTCACCACAATGCTGGATAAATATCTCTATGTAATTAGGGATTATTGATGTATTGAGCATATTAATTTTGTACTAGCTTTTACACGAAACTTCATCTGCATGACCGGGATATATTTACCTGACCAAGATAAAATTTAGCTTATACACTTTTTCCATCCCATTATACTGTATTTTCCACACAAATTAGATAGAGGTTTGTTAAGTCATTAAGGCACTATAAGGCAATAAACAAACTGATTTTCAAATTTATAATATTGTAAGCATATTGTATACACTTATTACCTCATGGTGTGAATGTGAACGGTAGATGCATAAAGCACACAGCACAACATATTTCCAGATCTTTGTCCATGGCACTTGTGGTATTCAGAAGTCCAATATGTTTCACATATACAATCCTCTTGATCCTGAACTGTCGAACCTCCTGCTTCTGAAATTGTATTCCAGGTACAAGGTCAAAATTTGATCTATTACAAAATATTCGTGCAGTGATATATAAAGGTTCCAGGTTTATTTCACAGACAACCTAAAATACCCCAATTTGATACTATGGGTTGTTTCCACAAAAAATTGTTCTTAGTTTCTTATAACATTACCATAAAAATAGACTATCCTGTAAGTTTAATATTAGACAATTGATGTAAACATGTAATTTTCTAGACAAAGTTGTGATGAAGTTGTCACGATGGGTCAATCTGTCTTCATCGTCACTGGTACCTTGCCAGCATATACCGATATCTCAGACGGGGTCACCACTCAATAGTCATCTAATATTAAATTATGTTTTAAGAAAAATATATAAGTAATCACCTTCACTCTTATGCACTTTAACTTTTAATTCTGGTGCTAAATCTCTGGCAGTTGTGACGTAGAACGTGCGTAAAATGTCCATCCGATGAGCACCCGATATGCTACGACTTTTTTGATTTAGTGTGTGCAAGTGACGAGAAAAGACACATCTTCGCTTGTTTATGTTTATTAAAAGAATTCTGTAATCAAAATTACATCGTTTCTCCTAAATTACGAAACAAAGCCAGTTGTTTAATATATATTATTGTACAAATGTGTTTTAAAACAATGATTATAAACTAAAAATTCCACTTGGTTGTTGCATAATGCTTTGGAATGGTAAATAAGTTGATCGCTCAACTGATAAAAGGTAGCAATCGTCACTTATAGACATGAGCAACACATGCATATGACAGAATATACTGTGTATCTCATAGATGGGTTTATAATTAAAGAACATATCACGTAAAATAACTATACAAAAATATACGACAATTAAGAATCTTCTTCTTTCGTTATCGCTTAAAACTAAACAACATAATAACTGTCTTTACCCCAAAACACTGCTCTCAAATGTAATGCTCATAGGAAAATTCCTTGGATAAACCAGTTTGGCTTCTTTTATTATTTGGGCGTAACTTTCCCAGCATTGGAGAACTATTTCGTCTATTTGTGAAAGGGGGGGCGTTGCACCACATATCACTATCACATAGACATCGGCCAACAATTTGCAAGTAACTGCTCGGAATGCTACCTGGAACAGAGTTAAGTATAATGTACACTTTTATTAATATATCTTGTTGTGTTCGTCTGTTGTCTTCGGTAAGCCAAAATTAGGAACACTTAAGGAGCAAAATATTATGAATACATACATCTGGACTCATTTGCGGCAAATAAACGGGCGTGTCTCTTAGTGGAGCGCCATCTTGCGCAGCTGCTAGTAGGAGCATCAGTCGAGCCTCTCTTGGATCCAGTTCAGTGAAATCAGAGCTGGTCGCAACTAAATGTCCATGAATGGCGAGACATGCCCATCGACCTGTTACATTTTCCGCATAAATGTCTAATGCTTGCTAGAATGAAAAAGTTTATTTAATTTTCATAACGGCTAGAGAGTAGTGACTGATTATTTTTTTGTTCATCTTTCGATAAGCTTTTAATAAATTGAGTATGGATTTTCGTGGTTGTACTTATTCTTAATATTCCAAGACCTTGCTGTAAATTCGTTTACTTCCCAAGAGGCTCAGCTGTAAGTTTTGCATATTATATATAAAACAGATATATAAAGTAATCAAGCATTCAGATAAATAAGTTTCTTTTCCAAATAACTTACCTGTAATTGTTGAGCCTGCGGGCATAAAATACTTTGAATGAGATCAAGCACTAATGTTGGAAATGGACTGGAGACTACATTGGGATCTAATGATTCTAATAGATAGTCCAAAATTGGATAGCACTGCCGCAGGTCTCTTTTCAATTGGTCTATATTTTTGATATTTTCTAACTCTTTCTTGCCAACGGAGAACACCATAACATCGTGAACACAGGATAGTAAAAGTTCAAGGTCACACTCGAGGCCCCCTGTAGCTATCCCAATTAATGTGACACTGAAATTCAATTCAGAATCAAACAATTTTGTACACTGAGTCTTTTTAAATAGAATTGAATAAAAAGTATTAGGATATATACAAATTATATATGCATTTTATATTAAGTCATTTCCCTTACTCAATGTATAGCAACATTAATTCAACTGCTGTTGATTACTTTACAAAATATTATCTGTAAACAAAGTCTATTTTGAGCTTATAATTATATCCAATATTTATTTAAAAACCTTGAGAACATAAGACTTCCGAGGTTTTCCCAAGAGACTACAGCATGGGGTTTTACAAAAGGGGGGTAAAGAGGTTTCTTCAGGGTCGGCAACGCACGCGTAATACCTCTGGTATTGCAGGTGTTCATAGGCTACGGTAACCACTTACTATCAAGTGGGCCGTATGCTTGTTTGCCACCTCAGTGGTATAAAAAGACTATTTTCAAATAACATATTAATTGCAAGTTCCTGTTTCTTTTTTATATACATAATAATAATTAATGCGCACAGTAGAGATGCAAGTATTTTCCTATTTGCAGGATTTCATAGTTTTTTTTTTTTTATATACATAATAATAATAATAAATTATAATAATAATAATAAAAATAATCTTTATTGCCATCGCTTAACAGTAGAGATGTATAGTTTCTCTCAACTCGGGAAGATCTATTTATACAGAATGTGCATATACCAAATTCCGACGAAAACTCTTAACCGTCGTTTAATACCTTAATTTTGCTAAGAAACGAACTTCAAATGAAAAAAATTTGGATTTCGTGAGTTTTTGAGTAAAAATTCCATAGAACACCCCCTATTCGCCGGATTTGGCCCCGTGTTTTTTCTTGTTAATGTTGTAGATGAGATAAAAAAATGCCATTAACAATCAGGAAATTTTGAATTTGTAAAATTTTTATTTCAAATATATACCGTTTATGTGACATACTGTCTATTGTTCTTCTAGTAATAGTGTCAATAACCAACTTCTATGGAGTAAATTAAATACAAGCTGGACATAAATATAGTCTATGGAATTCACTGGTAATAATAATAAAAAAATACAATTTTACCTTTTACAATATTCTTTCCAAATTATTGTTCCACTATCTACATGAGTGTCTACCATTGATAAATTGTGGCATTTACTAAACATATTTATGCCATGTAGGGAAGCAATAGTTGAAAACTGTATCTGGAAGAAATAGTAACAATCTTTAAAATATAAATATGAAATTGTATACTTTTAAAATTTATAGCTGCTATTTGAATCATCAAATTAGTTTGTGTATGAAATTGAGTTTCTTTTTTTTTATGTAATTTAGAATAGCAAACACACTGATGGGATGCGAGGCTCCGGGTGGTAGGTCTTTGCGAGGCCATTTGTCCTTCGTGAAAAGTATGTGCTGCAAAACTAGGTCTGGTTATTTGGTTTAGGTATTTGTCATGTTTATTGAGAAATGTTAAAGTTATACAAGAAATATAATATTATATATATATATATATATATATATATATATGTTCGCCACCCCCTAAGGCCGCTACTGTGATAACCATTACCACTATAGGCATTAGGCATTACAGAATACACTGTAACATCCATAGTATTACTCCTACATTGACTATTCCTAAGAACTACTAATTTGTTATGCTTCCATGCTCTTAAATACCACTGACCACCATTTAAGTCGAAATTTAAAAATTAATAAAATAATGAGCACCTAGGCAATTGTAAAAATAAAAATATGAATAGTGTAATTTCAGTTTCAGAGAAGGAAGTAGAACCTTCTGTTAATGATAAATACACATGTAAAAATTAGATCTAAAGCTAGGTATCAAGAACTTTTTCTTTTATTAATTTCAATAATTTATTTATTTATATTAAATTTATTAAGTACTTACATTTTCATTGTTACCGCGTTTTCTTGAAAATATTGGTACACCACTTTCACTAGCAATCGCTATTACTATTACAGACATTGTTTTTATGCTTTATATAAATAATATATATTTTTATTAGTATTTATCAGAAGTTATCTCTTTACTTTTTATTTCCCATCTTATTATTTATTAAATCTTATAAATTATAAATATTTATAAAGAAAAATATTTTGGAATAAAATTAACAATGAATAAACATAAAAAACGAAAGCATAAATGGTTTTTAACTATTTCAAACAAAATAAGTAAGACAAAAAAGTTACTACATGCCGAAGAATTTCATAATTATCAGTTTACTTGCTCAGTAATTGTTTTCTTAACTATTATTCTTTTGTTTGTTAATAAAATTACAAATCAAATAAAGAAAAGTAGAAATTAAGTCAAAACTTTATTTCTACTGCCAAAGTTTTGTTATATATCAAAAAGTAAACGTTGTTTAAAAGTTGGCACTATTTTTATATTGACGAAACTTGAAAATAAATCTATGCAACCTACTAAAGCAAACGAGCTGACGACCTATCTGATGGAAAGTGGTAATCGTCGCCTATAGCCATGAGCTATACCATGGATATAACAGAGTATACTGTTTCGTCTATGATACCCTCCCACGCGCTGCCCTTTCTGAGGACTCAGGTGTTATTTTTCTGTACCTTGTAAATTCACTGCCATATCCCACCCTTCAAATCGAAATACAGTCATATATGGAAATTTGTAGCTGCTGCAAAATTATTATATTCAGTGAACTGGTTGCATAGATTGTTTTTCTAACTAAAGTGATTTAAATCTCAATATTTCTTGTAGTAGCGATGGGCCAACTCGTATAGTTTTGAATTCGAATAAACCGAATTGAAATGGTGGCTGATTCGAATCGCAGCTCGAATCAGCTCGCATTCACTTCGTATAGAGTCAATATTGCAGTTGAATATGAACTCAGTAGGTCGGTTACTTAACTCGCTTTAGATTTAAATCGTCGATAGCGCGAACTCGCGGGTTTAAATCAATTCGAATATAATATACTAGTGTAACGTAGTAAACACTCAGAATTCATATTATCAATCTATTTTAGTTATAGAACAGTTTTGTTCTTTACTTTCGAGCTATTAATTTGAAAGAAAAATACAAAATACTAATATTTAAAATATAGGTTTTTATTTTTAACCGACTTCCAAAAAAGGAGGTGGTTCTCAATTCGACTAATATTGTATGTTTTTTTATATGTTTGTTACGTGATTACTCCGTCAATTGTAGACCAATTTTGAAAATTATTTTTTTGTCGGAAGAGGTATTATCTTGAGGTGGTCCCATTGTCACTATGTCAGGATCTGATGATGGGATCCCAGGGAAATCGAGGGCAACTCTCTATACTTTATAGACACCTACAATATTTTTCATGTACTTTCTAAAACTATTCAGATATTTGCGTCTGGTAGTCATCATCTTATGTTGTTTAACTGATGATGGGAGGTACAACTCCTTAACGGTTAGGAGTTAAGAGGTAATTCCTGAAATTTTAGGCACGTTTAGATCGTTAGTAGTATTTTTTCAAGTAATATTCAGATGAGCTGATGATGAAGTACAACTCCTTAACGGTTAGGAATTAAGGGATAATTCTTTAAATATTATAGGCAATCGTTATCGCAAAAAAAGATTATGAAAATTCTTTTTTTGTCACCAAGTCAGAATCTGGATCCCATGAAAATGGAGGGAAATCCTCAAAATTTGTAATGTAAATATAAAAATATACTAAAAATGGAAAAATAAATAAATTCGAAATAAAATCAACAGACTTCAAAAAAAAAAACAAAACGTAAAAAATACAAAAAATAAAAAATAACAAAATATAAATTTAATCTAATTCAAATAAATTTCATTTCATTTTATAAAAATTTAAATAGTTATGTAATCACCTAAGAAAATACATAAAAGTTTAATACTTATATTTTTACTATTTATTTTAACATTAATTAATTAACTAAATATTAAAAAACGGAACAGTAACATTTCTAAGAAAAAAAGCTCGTCGTCAGCCAATCATGAATCAATCGCCTTCTCTTCCTTTAACTTGCGCCTCATGTGATGTTACTATCTCATTCTGCTTCGCAGCTTGTTCGGTTGGTGTAGTTATGTCGAGTATTATACACCACACGCTATGGCATGGTGCAGTGCAGGTAATAGGTACATACACATATCAGTATATAATTCAAAATACTTGTACAACGCAAACAGTAAAGCATAGATAATTTACAAAAGTTCATTGTATGCGACAAATCTATGGATCGGTAACAGTAACTTGCTTTTCCAGTCATATAAAAATAATAAATATATAATTAGATTGACTTTGACTCCATAAATCTCACTCAACACTATTCTGTTAATTTATAATAAAAAGTGCCAAAATCTCAACTATCACCGCACCATGATATAGCGCGCGGAGTGTAACTGTAAAACACGCTGACAGAAATATCACGCACACGAGAGTCTTGCTCGTTGTATAATGTTTCTGTTGCGTCGCACGCACACAGCCACGCAGCATTCACAGCAACCGAATCGAGTTGACGTTATGACGAAGTACGAACACAGTCGGCCGAGTTGCGTGCTATAGTGATCCGAGCATAGATCGCATTCATATCACGGTTGTAACGTAGGTAGCGCCGTATTGGCTTTATACGAGTTGATTCGAATTGATAGAAAAGCTAATTCGAATTGAGCCGGCGGCAATGCAGCTCGAGTAACTCGAGTTTTTTGATTCGAATCGCCCATCGTTATCTTGTAGTGTAGCCAAAATTAATTCAAGAATGTCAATACTGTGTCTTGAAAATTAGAATTGAAATCTAATAGACTGTACATTACATGATCATCAGATTTAGTAAAACACATTGTTGGCGTGCAAACAAATTAAAAAGCTTAGTTTTTGTTATATACTTAGATTTAATAAGTACGTCTATGGTACCTATATAAAATATCCTGTGTGTTGAGTTAGAATATAACCTACCTGTGAATCAGGACAATTGTCTGTTATATTAAATTTCATTCAAATTTGGTCAGCCGTTTAAATATGACCGAGTAGTTAATATATCTACTAACTATGTAAATATACATACATCTTTATAAACTTTGTTTAGGAATACGTTAATAAAAAATAATGAACAGGATGTGTTTAGAATTGACCAATATACCATGTAATATACCATATATAAATATCAGTGATCATATTACACAATGCCATCGAGTCCTATAGTAAGTACAATGTACTACGGATACTAGACAACCTTACCTCATTACTCGTAAAAAGTAAAACGTCCTACAAACCTATTTTAATTATACGAATGATTTATTATTGTATTTCAAATTCATATCGAGAAATTAATGCATAGCTAAAATAGGTGTATAATTTAGGTTTATAAAAGGTTTGGCATTTTTATGAATAAAAGGGTTAATATTAGAAGCCGAATAATAGGTAACTGATACACATATTTTTTTTTATAAACGCCTAAGGTAAATACAAATTATTCAAAGAAATCATCCAGACTAATATATATAGATATACTCATAATTACAAATATTTGTATTGTGTGAAATTCAAAATTTATTAACAATGCGAACTCCTAATCCCCCTTCCTTCTTCGTGGTCCTCCCTGGAAACTATAGTGCTGAATTCTAGGTGTATTCATCGTGATGGGCTTACTGACCTGCATTTTCATTCTTACCTATCATCCCTTACTGGTGCTCCATCAGCGTATACCGTTAACGCAGGAGGATTCGATTATAATGTATTTAAAAAAAGAATTTGGTTAGTTAAGCCATTAAATTCACAAAGGTAATAAAGCAACAGTCGAATTACTTGCCAGTTCTTCTCAGCTGAGAAATGTATTAGCAATAGATTCATAAAAATGTTTTTTAAAAATCTTTATAATTACTTTATAGTCGTATAATTAGTTTATAGTTTACTTAAATAAAACTTATTTGGAGTCGGTTAAATATATTATAATCAAGTGATCATGATATATGTATAAGAAAAAAAGGGGTTATGAGGACTGGATGCTTAGAAACATGAAAAATATTTTTCAGTATATAAGGATCTTATGAAAGAAAGGGATATTGTTTTATTATAGTATGTGATCACGCCATTCTGAGCGAACACAGAGACAAGTTTATGAATATGATCAACCGAAAAGAGAATGATTCACTCTCAACTATTAATCGCACTATGCCGGCTTACTAAAAACACTACGTTTGCAGAAATTTTATTTAGATATAAGCAATCATTTTTAAAATAATATATAGGAACCTTGAGGATATATTTACAGTCTGTTATAATAAAATAATGTTTTTACTTAATGTTTAATAAATTAAGTAGGTAAGTATTATTTAATATATAAGTACATTCACAAAAACACACAAATACAACATACGTAATGTTTATTATATACAAAGATTTATTTATTTAAAATATAATAATAAAAATTGATGTTCGCTATATTTTATTAGATATAAATAGGAGTATGATGATTATAATACATAGTACTCTGTTTCCACACGGAATACATAGTTAAATAGTATCATTCACTTATTTTTAGTAGTAAGTACCGGGATTTCATATTTTCGTCACAAATAAGTACTTAATATCTACGACAGTTTATAAATTAAGTAACGATTTAATAAAGCAAATAAAACAGATCATTGAAATATTTACTTAAAATTCTTAAGTATCTATGTGTAAATCTAATTTTATAATTAGTATAAAAAATAGATAAGTCGTTATACTCGTATGTGTTACCACTCCACATAAATCTAACAATATTTTAGGTATTTCTATCATTGCCATTTCGTGTTTGAGATTTTATTTAAAATATAAGTATTAGATATATTTAAGTACATTAGCTACAATTTTAATATAATTTAATTATATGAACGAGTAAATAAGGGCCCCCACAGTAAAAAAAAGTAATACGTGGATTAATACAGGCACCTTCAATCCAACGCGCTATATTTTATAAAGATAATTATTTTAATAAAAGATTTTTTACTTTTAAAATTTATACAAAGAATACAATATATTAAATTCGTTAAATTAACGACAACCGTTATTATTAAATTACAATAAATTACATGGGTTTAACAATTATATAATGGTGAAGTTAGATAGGTTTAGGTTTTTGTGACTAGTAGCAAAGTAAATGTGGAGATAAAAGGTAGGCACTATTATAACATTCTGCATATTTTGACTATAAAGTTTGGAAATTCTAATATAGATCTTTTTATGAGCTACAAGACAAGGTTTTATAATTGAGTATCGATCCTTTGTCCAATGTCGCCATCTTCCAGATTTTTAGAATCATTACCTGTGAATACGATAAATTATTTTACTAAAAGACGTAAAAGTTGATGTTTCAATTGGTTTAAAATGAATTTCTAGCTCCTTTTGCATCATTGATATACGCTGGCGAGTTACCAGTAAGCGATACGGCCGAAGCCAGGTCGGTTGCGTACAGAATTCACTAGAAATTAGTATAATTATTCTAAGGCTTCTTCTGTAAAGCTCACTCAGTGAATGTAATAAATAAATAAATAAATATCGCGATTAATTCCTGCACCCCACCTTACTTTGGATACGCTGGTAATTTAATTTGTTAAATTTCTACTCAAATGAAAACTTGACAAACAAATGTCCCTTGTTGTACATTAAGCATAACTAAACTGATTTTGCGGTATAATCACGGCATGGAATGGACCATCCTATCCTTTCCCGTGAGTATCGTAAGAGGCGACTAAGGAAACTTAATTGCCGAGGAATGACCAGCAGCTTCCTTTAAATATCACAATAATTTAATTAGCCTAGCTCTGGTTGCTTACCCGCTTACCAAGTTTTTTTTTTTTTTTTTTTTTTTTACAACACAGGGGGCAAACGAGCATGCGGCTCACCTGATGGTAAGTGACTACCGCCGCCCATGGTCACCCACAACACCTACGGCATTGCAGGTGTGCTGCCGGCCTTTTAAAAAGGAATATGCTCTTTTCTTGAAGGTTATGTTGTCGTATCGGTTCGGAAATACTGCTGCTGGAAGTTGATTCCAAAGAGTGGTTGTGCGAGGAAGAAAGTGCCTTGAAAAACGCACGGTGGAGGACCGCCACTCGTCCAGATGGTTGGGATGAAATTTTAGTTTATGGCGGGTTGTACGATGGTGAAAATTTGCAGCAGGTATCAATCCGAACAATTCTTCAGAGCACTCCCCATGATAAATTCGGTAGAAGATGCACAGAGATGCAACATCTCTACGCAGTTTCAGTGGGTCGAGCCGGACAGTAAGACGCCGATCGTCAACAATTCGAGCTGCCCGACTTTGAATGCGGTCTAACGGAAGGAGTTGGTACTGTGGCGCTCCTGCCCACAGGTGAGAACAGTATTCCATGTGTGGCCTCACTTGAGCTTTATACAGTTTCAGGCGGTTTTCTGGCGTGAAATACCGTCTCACCCTATTGAGCACCCCCAACTTTTGGAAGCTATCTTAGCTTTTTCCTCCAGATGACCGCAAAACTGGACGTCGCTAGATATATCGACGCCAAGAATCCCCAGACTCGACTTATTATCAAGGGAAGTGCCCTGAAAGTGAGGTGATACGACAAACGGTGTCTTTTTTGCGGTGAACGCGCAGACTTGTGTCTTCTTAGGGTTAAAGTGAACAAGATTGCGTTCACCCCAGATCGAAACTTTATCGAGTGAAGTTTCGATTTCAGACACAAGTCTGTTCCGGAGCTCATCGGTATGTGCCCGCGAGATCTTTGCATGACCGGTGTATAATGCATCTCCTGTACTGTCGTCCGCATAACAATGAATATCACTGATCTGTAACATATCATTGATATGCAGGAGAAACAGTGTTGGAGATAGTACACAGCCTTGCGGGACACCAGCATTCACAGGTTTTAAGTCAGAGCATGCTCCGTCGACTACGACCTTAATGCTACGTTCCTTAAGAAAGCTGGCGACCCAACTGCACAATCTCGCAGGCAACCCAAACGAAGGTAGTTTTGAGATTAGTGCCCTATGCCACACCCGATCAAAGGCTTTCGCAATATCCAGACTAACAGCTAAGGCCTCTCCCTTATTCTCGATTGCCACTGCCCATCGGTGTGTTAAATAAACTAAAAGATCACCAGCCGAGCGTCCCCGTCGAAAGCCGTACTGGCGGTCTGAGATCAGCTGGCGATCCTCTAGGTACCGGAGCAGTTGATGGTTAATAACTGATTCCATGACTTTCGAGAATAAGGAAGTGATAGCTATGGGCCTATAGTTAGCTGGATTAGCGGTCTCCTTTTTTAGGGATCGGATGCACCAAAGCAGTCTTCCAAAACTTTGGGACTATACCTAACAGAGCCGAAAAAGACGCGTAAGAACCGGAGCCAACTCTGGTGCGCACGTCCTTAGCACAATTGGAGGAATGCCATCGGCCCCGCTCGACTTATGGATTTCAAGGGAGAGAAGTGCTCTACGCACTGATCTTTGCGTGAATTTAACATCCGGCATAGAGCTCCTACAACGCGGGATGGTCGGCGGTAGTTTCTCCCCGTCATCCAATGTCGAGTTTGATGCAAAGAGAGATCCAAGGAGATCGGCCTTCTCTTTGGCGTTCAGAGCCAACGAGTTATCCTCCCTGCGCAACGGTGGAAAAGATGACTGACAGAAATTCCCTTGTGCAGCTTTGGCAAGAGACCAGAAAGCTCGAGATCCCGAAGGTAAACTAGCCAATCTCTTGGCAATTCTACCAATATGCTCTGACTTCGCTGTGGCCAAAACTCTTTTGAAGGACCTAGAGGCAAAGTTATACTTCTTTTTAAGGGCACTGATGTTAGGAGAACACCTTTGGCCCAGGCTAGGAAGCACTCCTGTTTCAGGCGAGATGCTATTCTACAAGAGGCTCCATACCAGGGCTGGGATTTCCCACCGACAGGTACCACACAGAGTTAGGAATGAATAATTCCATTCCCTGAAGCACCACATCGGCGATGGAATTGGCGATGGCGTTGGGATCCCCCAGTGCGAAGCAAACCTGCCTCCATGGGTAAGATGCGAAAAAAATCCGCATCTCATCCCAATCTGCCGACCTGTAGTGCCAAACACGACGTCTACCCGTAGAACGTGGTGGAATCGGACTTATGAGAGGCACCTCACTCCGCACCAGACAGTGATCCGACGATCCAAGCGGAGCTTCGACGGAAATCACATAGTTGTCTGGGTGGGTGGTCAGCAGAAGGTCCAGCAGTGAAGGTGAATGGTCCAACACATCAGGTATTCGCGTGGGCGAGGAAACAAGCTGCGTCAGACCATTCATGAACAGATCTTCCCGCATAGTCGGTTGTACGTGAACCAAGCCATTCGGTATGGTGGGCATTAAAATCGCCAAGAATCACGACTTCAGCGGAAGGAATCTGTTCGAGCAGGGAATCTGTAGCCATTTGGACGTGCTCAATGAGTTGGTCGGTTTCGATGTTACCGCTGTGGGACCTGTATAGGCATGTATAGACGCGAGGATGGTCATTGCAGTCTACACGCAGCCATAAAATAGACAGGTCCGTTCCTTCAAGAGTTCCAAGGCGGCGACAACAGATATCCTCTCTGACATACGCGCATACACCGGCACGCGAAACAAAACAATGTTCAAGTTTATAGCCCGGGTACGTCAGGTATGAAGTTTCGTTTGGAGAGGATATCTGTGTCTCCGTTAGAAAGAGCAATGCCGGCCGCGCCGTTTCTAGGTGATGGTGGACAGCGTTTAAGTTAGAATGTAATCCCCTGATGTTGCAGAAGCTCACATTGAGCGAAGGGGATGCCGTAGAAATCTTGCTCCGTTTGCCCTTGGTTCCAAAGAGCGGAATTTTGCCCCCCCCAGAATACGCAGGGCAGCCCGAGCGTGGTTGCTCGAGGGAGGATTCTCCAGCAACATGGTTACTGGTACCTCCCTGGGGTATGTTATTTTTTTTTAATTCCACTGCCATGGTTGCGTGTTGTAAGATAGGGGGACGGGGTTGGGGAAAGGATTTTAGGAATAGGAAAGGGATGGGTATGGGATGGGCCTCCGGACTCCCTCACTCACCATACGGAATGTGATCGCACTAAAAGTGCAACCACTTAGCGTCGGTATTCTGTGAGGGTGTGGTACTTCCCCGGTCGAGCCGGCCCATTCATGCTGTAATACCATATAGGATTACAGCGTGGCTCTACCACAGTAAAAGTAAGTTTGGCAACTACTGGCAAAAAGTTGGCACGCTTCCAATAGAGGGAGGCCTGTGTTCGGTAGTGGACAATCAACGACTAATATAAACAGATTTTGATAATTTTAGACAACTATAAGTAGATATAGCCTTGTTGTGTTTGTACATATTTGTTTATTTATATGCATTTGTACATTCGCCTTTAATACAGATTATACTAATTTTTATAACAAAATTAACACAGGTTATAACAAAAATGTAGACAGACGGACTTATTCCTTAAAGTGATTTCTTCCAGTCAGCCTTAGCTAAATTGTAGGAATTGTACGACTGGTTTAACGTATTAAGGTTAAAAAATAGTTGTCTATAATTTTTTATTATTTCGGGATACTAATTTCACCAAGAATTCAATAGTTCCCTCATAATGTCGCATACATAAATAAAACATTACAGTTTAATTAAATTCAGTAATTCCTTACCATCACCTTTCGTCAGTAGCCGTGGGCCAGTTATAGCAATTAGGATTGCCCCCAGTGGAGCCGATATTATCACACTGAGTACGCTTACAGCCAAAAGCGCCTTGGAATGTTTTTCTTCATCTGATGGAAGAATACCTGATGTCTGACCGCTGTTCACAAGGTCCAATGCAGCGGGACCTAACGCTGCCTGTAGAGAGGAAAGGGATTGTTATTAATAACATCTGGCAGGGTCATTGCTAGCAATTATACCCTAACAAGTTTACCTCCACGCAGTTTACCCTGAAAACCACCGTGGTTTTGATGAATTCATAACAATGGGCCAACTGACCTGCTTCATCCTCATCTATCATCCCTCACTGGTACACCGTCAGCGTATACCGATAGCGCAGGCGGGGCTACCATTCCATTTTTAACCACCAAGAAAAAACTGTCTGTAAAATTATAATACTATTGAAGGTATAACGAATATTGACTATGGTACGATAAGGTAAGCTATACTAGAGAACACTACCACAATAGTAATCTATGGTAATCCATGTCTAGCTTATACTAGCAGCATAATGTTGAACTTCTGCGAAAATACAAAGATGCCATAGGAGGCATAGTATATTCATTGTCTTGTCAAGTTGTACATTATAACATTTGACGTATCAATAGTATAAATTAATACAAATTACTTTATTTTAAAATAGGATATAAGTTATTTGAAAAATAGCTATAGCCACTAGTTTGGTTTACTTAAGTAACATAAATTAAGTAAATATTATATAATTGAAATAAAAAGGATCATTTAATTTGTATTGTAGAATGTAACACATGTAATGACACTTATTTTTTTTTATTAAAACATAAAATTGCAGAATGTTTTAGAATTCGGTACTCGTTAATTTTACCTGTACAGTAGCTTTAGCGAGCCAAGTTACGCCGATAAATAGCTTTTCTTTTTTGTTAAGTCCGCAGCCGAAGCTGACCAAGAAGGTTGCTATAACACGTAATACTAAGCAGGAGATGAGACATATTGCACCCATTTTTATCACTTCAGGATCCAAGGCACTAATCTGTGGACAATTTTGTTCATGATATTACAATAAAACAAATACCAAATGTTATGTGCATCAGAACTGAAACTGAATGTATTCTGAACTAGTAATATCCTGGCTTAGAAGGACCAAGTCTCGTCTACACAAAAGATTTCTTGTCAATTTTTAATAAATTCTTTAAAGATACTGAATAATTTATAAATTAGTAAAAAATAAAAATATGACCAATTTTCAAGAGAAAATGGTGACAGCATTCCTCCTATTTGTGAGTTGGTAAGTTGAATGACTACTTCAACAGGAATTATAGTAGTAAGCATATTTATTTAGTTTTTAATAGCACTTTACTTACGGTAATTTGTGCTCCAGTGAAAGCAAAAAGTATAGGTTCAAAGAATATCCATAAAATTCTGAATATATTGCTAACTGGATTCTTATTGACCGGCCATCCTTGTTTTTCCCAGTACAAGGCTGCAACAAATCCTGATGAAACTATGGCAAGGGGTCCTAAAACGACAATAAAATAAATATAAATGTATCATATAATATAGTAATATAAATAAATAATATTTAAATAACAATATAATAGGAAAAAAAAATGTATACGAATACATGAACACTTTAAATTCTCCATGGACTATAACACCATGTCATAGATTTGGGTGATTGAAATATAAAAACATCTCTACTTTCAATTTATACAACTGAGGATGCCATTCTGTTATAATGTAAAAAATCTTCATCTCTGCTTAATTCGATAGTAGGCGGGAAAATAAATGATGAAAGACTTTATTTTCCTGCAGTTATGGAATTTATGAAAATCACTCTTTGTTGTTTGAATTCCATATTTGCTGCTGTTTATATCGCTATTTAGCAATAAGGCCGCCAATTATTTTTTTATCTTGCTTTTATGTAATTAAGTATTAATTTTGTTTGTATACATATCGTCATAGTCGTAGAATACTGACGGATATGTATATTTAAAGTTTGTCAGATTCGTCAGTATTCTACGACTTTGACAATATTGTTAATCTTTATTATCTGTGTCATTCTTTGAAGAGAAAAATAAAAAGAATTTTGAATTAAATTAAATAGTAACACGGTGGCGCCAACTTCGTAGAACTTTGTTTAAGGTACTCTGTTATATACATTTTTATTTTTAATCTAGTGAATTAAGAACAAAAAAAGTATATAACATATATACAATAATATAGTTATTATGATGATAAGAACGTGTTTACGTATCGTGCTACGATAATTACAGCCCAATAAGTGTACAAAAACAAATATTATATACATAAAGTCTCACCAGCTCCGCTCCAACCGACAAGGCTTGATATAAATAAAGAGAATAATCCTCCCAAAAATAAAGCTAAAAATCTCAAAGGCACCATGTATACATCGCCTTTCTCTGGTATAATTGCAAGTATTGCCCCCCATAACCCTCCACATACAACGCCAACGATAATTGACAGAGGCCCCTAAAAATAATAAAAACGTTTGTTATATTATTTGATAGTTCAAAGTTGCAGAATATTATATAAATACTGTATATTTTAAGCTTATATGTATGCTTAATAATTAATAGTAAATACATGTACGTCAATTCGATTATTTTACCATTTAAATGAAAATTTGTTATACGGAATTTTTTTATTTAATCTCACCTTTATAATATTGAAGGTGACAGATCCCGGGGCGAACATAGCGTTCAAAATTATAGCAAAAATGGCAACACTGATGGAGTCATCTATGGCTGCAGCAGCCAGAAGCAAAGTCGGAATTCCTTTAGAGACTCCATAACCCACGTCTCTTAGCCTGAAGAGACAAGGGACGACCACAGCTGGAGATACTGAAGCTATCATCGACCCTAAGAGGAAACCTACAAATAAATAAATTTATGTTAAAACCTTTCGAAATTTAGGGGATTATTAGTAATAGAGACTAGTGTCTAAGAACAAAAGAGTACTTTCATCAAGTATAGTTGTACCAGCGACTATGCTGTTGAAGAATTATCTCAGTGCAACCACGTTGCCTTGTGGTCCCGGCATAGAATGGGCCATCCTTTCCTTTCCCATGGGTGACGTAAAAGGCGACTAAAGGAATTTAATGGTTGAGGGATGAGCAGCAGCATCCCCCCTCTTAAAACATTACAAATGCCTAACTGCGGTTGCCAATCCGCCTACCAAGCGTGGCAACTACTGGCAAAATCCCGTAAAAAAGAGGCCTATATTCAGCAGTGGACAGTTAACGGCTAATGTGAATGTAAATGAATGAACTACGTTATACGTATTGAAAATTTTAAGTTTCTAACGTAAGGGAATAGATCGTGCGTTGATAGACCACCCAGTTCCAACAACTCCTTTTATTTTACGTAAAAATATATATTTAAACTCATATAATTTTCTTTTCAAATATTCCCAGTACGAATAAACACCTACACAATGCTCTCTTAAGGCTGCATATCGTTAGCTTGTTTACCCAGATACAAGCCACAATACGTGATGCTCATGTAAACGAGGCACCATGAGTGTTTTTTTTGGTGCCCAATCTAAGTCACTAGATAGCTAGGTATTTAGAATAAGAGGACGAACAGACATCACATAGTAATTTACTTATACTTTACTAGCTATGCCTGAGAATCAAGGTATGATATATTATTATTATAAATACGAAAGTTTATAACGATAGATGGATGTTTGTTGCTTTTTAATGCATAAACTACTGAATGGATTGGAATGAAATTTGATAAAGGAGTAGGTTCTGTCCTAAATTAGCAGATAAGATTCTTTATGTAATGATTCTCATGGGTGAAACTTGGGGTACAGTTATTTTATAATATTTTGAACCATGTATGTTAGTATGTCAAATTATGTGGTCATTACAGTTATACTCTTAACTTATGCGATAGGAGATACTTGGCAACAACTGCGTAAGTCGGGTATAATTTCACATATAAATAGGTACATAATATACAAACTAGTTATCCACTAGTCCCCTCGCAAAATACTCTTAATGAGATATATATTTTAATCATAAAATAATTTTAAATGAAAATTTTTTTAATAACAAATACTGAAAGGAATATGACTATAATTTAAGTTTAGATACTCGTAGAAGTACGCAGAGATACTACCGCCGTACATAACACTCTACATGCCATGTAAACATATTAAAACATAGTATTTTAATGAGTCTACCAAGGATTAATTTGTTTTATTAATCTCGTCGAAATTTTTATTAAGCCGCACAGTTTCAGTATCGGCCAGAATCTACTTATGGCCGTAAGTATCTATTTTAAGGTGGTAAATTATTAGGATACGTCGCTCTCAAAATGCAGGGAGAGCATTGTCCCCTGTCAGATCGAGATCCAATTCTATTAATTCTTTACGAATTCGTCACAAGGAGCAGCGGTAGTGCAGGCTTGTTTACCATTCTATTTTCAATGTATTAAAAAAACTTACACAAATGTTTAATGTTTTTCGTGATAATATTGTACCTAGTTTTAATTATAAATAAAAAACTTACCCCAAATCCAAGGCAGTCCTAATAGGAAATGTGAAGTAACGCTAATAGCTATGCATTCGACTAGCCACGGCAGTAAACCTAGTTGTAGAACAGCAACATAGTGCTTTCTTAAAATTGCAGCGTCCAGACCCAGACCTGCTCTAGTCAAAATTATTACTAATGCTACTTTCCTGAAAAAAAAAAAAAAGAAATAATATCAAATAATTCTGATAGTGGATTTAGAACTGGAAGACTACCTAAGTAGGCACTATTAGATTTTCTGTGGTGATACTGTTACTACAGGTCAACTATAAAGTCAGACCAATGGATTTAGAAACAACCTTCAAACGCATCATGGCCATTGAGGTGATGGATAAAAATACAACATGTTACTACTTATTAAATAAAACACGAGTGCAGCAGATGGAAAATTTAAAGGACAACATGGTAATACGAATAGTTGACTAATATCTCTATGAGTAGAGACGCATTCGAGGGTCTACCCATGCCAAAAAATGAGATGAAATAAATTAATAAAAGGGAGAGCCTTGACATACTGGAAGACAAGTTTTGTATATATTTTTATGAAGAAAAAAATGCCATTGTATTTTTACCGCGTGGAACGCGATTGGAGCAATACGTAATTTTGTTCTTAAAGCTTAATATTTCAGACAAATAATGGAGAAGATATCTAGTGCATTTTTTATCAGAATAGGTAAGTATCTCTTTCGATCCCTGAGAACTAAGGTTAGTTCTAAGGGGTAATACTATATAGTGATATCTGTTATGTTTTTTTTTCATAAAGCAAGTTGATAGCTTAGATGAGCTATTGACCAGTTAAATTGTTTCAACATTTAAATCAGTACTATTATGTTGTGATAAGATTTTGTAAAATTAAAATCACAGTCAGTAGGTATCTAATTTTCTTTATCAATGTTGAAACTATCAAAAACATTGACCCACAGTGATAAGATTATATACAGGATAATTACTTATAAATTTATTGGGCAATTAAGTATTGGTCTTGCATACTAATAATTTTTTTTATGTAAAGGATGTATGTTTCAAAGACGATATCGAACGTAAACAATTAATTAATGTAAAGGAAAAGGAAGAAAAAAGGGATGGACTATAATAGGTGATATACATAAAAGAGTGGAAGTATAAAGTCTGATAAAGATCAATGAAATAAGAAAACATACTAACCCGACTTCAAATAAAGTAACAAAGCTAAGGTAATGATTGTGATTCTAGTGTTTTTTTTGTAGTGATACATAAAATACAGCGACCGTTTACCATCTGACGGGCTGAATGTTTGTTTGTCACCTTTGTGTTGATGTTGTCCCAAATAAGGTACTAAAACATTTTGCAATAAAGAAGTATCAAAGCTGCAATAATCTTACTATTAAAGGTCGACTAGGGATAGTGAAAACTATAAGAATGGGTTTTTAGATAAGTACCTTAAATCTTGGTTTAGCTTCCTATAAGTGTCGGTCATGTGTATTATATTTAGGTTTTGGAACAAAATCCCTGTTACTAGCATGCCTATAAGAGCCGGTAATGTAGTGATTTTTAACCACAGCCATCCAACTAAGTATGCCGATATGACTAAAATCGTCATGCCGAGTAGTTCGCCATTCAAGCCCACCGACTCTCCCAACTCTGCATATAAGATACCCCAACTTAGCAGAACTGGAATGGAAATACAAAATATTGTCTCTATAATTAATAATATTATTTATTGTTAATTTTATATACAATTAACATATTTTTTATCAAATTTTTCTATATAGCAAAATGTTACTGTCTACTATCACAACATGTAATTTGTTAATACTTATTATTCGAGAACGAAACGTAAAATTCCACACACAAGTCTGTGGTACTAAAAATGTGTATCCTACCCTTTTTATGTACTTGTATAGTAATAAAATAAAAAAAAAATCACTAATGTAAAATGCATATATGGTATCCTACCCTGTTTTAAAACATCAAACATAGTAAGTTAATTAAACTCCTGCCCCCTCCCTAGGTAAATGGTAAATAAATCCGTTAGTGGAATCGTCATTGCTGAGTCCATTAGAGTGAGATATCGAAGGACGTCATCTCATTCTATCTCATACACTTGCTGGCGATAATGATTCTATTAATGGATTCTCTTGCCACTTGTTTAGAAGGCTTTTTTTCTAGTTAGATATAAATTCTAGCACAGGTTTATATGGTTTCGTTCTGGTGTAGCATAGATGCAGTTACCTCGATAATTTACCTTGACAAAAATAATACTTGAAATATAATATACTATCTGATTAACTTATATCGTTAGGTATACATAGTGAATGATAAGTAGTATGCTCTATAGAGATCAACATAAGGTAAACATCATAGATTCTTGTTTATATAATAATAATTTTTATTTCGGACTTTTTTGGTCCATTAAATATTTATTATTAACATTATTATTAAAACTAATGTTATATAAATTTACATACACAATACACACACACACACACACACACACACACACACATAATATATTAAATAATATACAGATAATCACCGCTGCACAATTCCATTGAAAATTGCGGAGCAGTGATTAACGTACACTCAGTCGAGCCTGCTTTCTATCATACTCAGTTTGATGCTGTTAGCGCTGGTATATCTGCGCACTTAGGGATGCACACCTTTTAGCAAATCGTGGCATAAAAATTATCTACACGATGCTAAAAGAACATCTCTGACGCGCTACGGTTCGTGGCAGCCCCATCAATTACCCTGAACGCGTAATATACTGGATACGGAGGTCGCTGTTATATATATATATATATATATATATATATACACAAATGTATACAAAGGTGCTTTATAGATATACAAATGTATTAAATGGGTTTCGAAAGCCAAAATCTCTTATTTATTAATTTCTGATTATTAAAACAAAAGTTAAATATAAATAAGAGCTAAATTGGTGCTTACATAAGTGTTTTCATTTGTTGACATTTTCGTTTCATTAGACATTAGGTAAGTGTTCTAGCTTCATTATCAATTTAATATTATCTTTGTACAAATATGTGCCGAGAAAACGAATATTTGAACTGGTTTATATACACAAAATTGCATTTGCCAAGTTTCTTTCTAGTTTCGTTTGTTTTATTAGGTATGTTTGTATATTTACGCTTATATGTACTTATAGTATATTAGCAAACATGTTTAATGTATTATGTATCTACGAAATTAATATAAAAGTAACTTCTGTCAGCCACTGTTTGTGAGTGGTTATAAATTATATCAGTGGAGAGCAATATTTACGACTAGCTGTATCTCACGGCTTCTCCCGTAGTCGTGTCATGATGTTGAACAGATATCAGCTAAATGAAAAAGAATTTTTCAAATCCGATTGAGAGTTCCAGAGACTAGCGCGTTTAAACAAACGAAGTATAGGTACGTTACTTACGTACCTATACTTCGTTTGTTTAAACGCGTTATATTAACTTATCTCTACCGCCGTGTCGGCCCGGCATGAGAATGGGCCACCCCTTCCTTTCCTGTAGGTGTCGTAAGAAGCGACTGAGGGAACTAAATGGTAGAGGGATGGGCAGCAGTTCTTAAAACGTCACTTAAAGTCTAACTGCGGTTGTTAACCTGCCTGCTAAAAGTGGTAACTACTGGCAAAACTCCCCTTATGGGGGAGACTTAGTCCTCTAGGCCTTTTAGTCGCCTTTTACGACACCTACGGAAAAGGAAGGGGGTGGCCTATTCTATGCCGGGACCTACACGGTTAAATTATAATATTAGGAGGTTACATTTAAAACTATATTTTACTTACAAAACATAATAATGCAGAGTTGTTGTGCAGTTTGTCTATAAGTAGAAAAGAAGGGGAAAGGGAACACTTTCGACCACCAAGACGGCTGCCAGGACGGTGACGAGTCTTCTTGATGACATCGTAAACATAATTTCTCCCACCAACTAAAATATTGTAATAAGTAAATTAGAAAATGAATCAGTTTAATGAATAATTTAGTATTATATCGTATGCCAGACTTGGCGGGGTACAGGCGTACTTTCAGGTATCGAGATATTTTTTACGCATCTTGAAATATCAAATTTACTTTATTTTATTGTTTGAAATTACGCCCTCAATTTTTATCGTCGCACCGCTCGCAATCGACAGGGAATTCATCCTCACACGCTTGAACCTAAATGGTCACTAACAGTGTGCTTTTAAAAGAATTTTCTCCGGCGAACGCTCAAACCCTGGTTTTCTTTAGACACTACAGTACAAGGTTCTTTAAAAAAGTTATATTAAGATTTCTTCGTGGTAAGCAACACGTATGTGACACCTCTAGTGTTGCAGGCGTTCATAGGTTACAGTAACCGTTTACCATTAGATGGGCTATATGCTTGTTTGCCATCTTCGTGGTTTAAAAAAAATCTTATCAGTCGTCCTCCACTAGTGTTTCGCTATTGTATACCATTAGCATAGGCAGGTGCACCACTCCATCTTCATCCTTTATAAAAACTGGTGAGAACTGTAAACCGTCATCTGTATGTCTACAGATGAATACTACTATAGATATTTAGACAGGGTTTGATTACAAGACGCCATTTTCTAAACCTTACTATAAAATTAAAATTTCAATTTTAAATTACAGTAAAATCTTTGTTCTATAATTAAAGTTGTGTTCCACAAAATATATATATATATATATATATAGCAAAAAAAAATTGGTCTAAAAACTCAACTATCAAATTGATTATAATAAAATTTCTATGGGATTAATCTGTATGTCTTTAGACAAAAAAAAAAAAATTGTTTAAATCGTTTTAGAACTGATGGAGGTATGAGGTAACAAACAAGAATAAAATAACCGAATTGAGAAGTCACCTTTCCACCGGGAAATTATTATGATGGTTCATAAAATTGTACTCCCAAGCAGGGTACTCACATCTATGTTATGCCGGGATCAGTGTTCTTAACGATTTAATTGACTTTATTACAAATCTAACTTAAAATTATAATTTGTGTATTAAAAATAAATTCAATGTTTATACCTGTCACTGGAATCCTCGTTTTTATTATCTGTGGATATAAATAATTTTTTTAATTATTTTTTTAAAGAATACTTGATGAACAGTCCAGGAGTGATAGATTAGAATACAAGTACTTACAAACGTATGAGCTTACCTGATAATAGATAAAAGTAATAAAATATAAAAAGACAATCGGCGTTGCTCTGATTTTAGATAAAAAAAATAATACAGTATGAGTAAGGCCGTTATAAATAATCTGTGATTCAACATGACTTTTGATATTTTATAATCTTACTAATATTTTTTAAAAAAAAAAAAATAACAACTTGGTTTATTATTTCTTGGCATGTTAAATGTACAATATATTTTTTATTAGTTCTTAACACACAACTGTCCACATAACATAGCATGTATTGGTTGACTTATGCCGTTTTTAATCCCATATTTTATAAAGATTATTTGAACGGTTCAGGCGTTCAGAAATAAGGAAAAACAAACAAAATCACTTTAACATTTATAATATTTGTAAGAATTAATAATTTTGCAAGTTGCAACCATTACCGATATTTTATCCTCCACCTTAGAAGCTAAATAATTACCATTGTGATTTTGATAAAATGGGAACCATTTTGAAACTTCATTCTCTAAACCCATCTCTAAAATTAATATTTTAATTTGATAACTTACTATATATAAATTAAGTTTATATTATTGTAAATTATTTATTTATTTATATCTATTACAAAATTAGTTTATATTAGTTCTATGAATAAAGATTTTGCTGTGATATCAATTTAAAATTTTGATTTTAGAGATAGGCTTAGAAAATAGTATATCAGAATTGTTTAACTTTTGGGAATATGGACCTGAAAATTTTTATACTATAAGTGCAAAAAAATATATAAAAATATGTATATACTTGTATTAGCGAAAAAAAAAATATATTACACCGAAGTGTGAATGCCGTAACCAATATGCCCCAAGATCTAAAATTTATATATGTATTTATTTGTGCAAAAAAATGCATATATTTGCAAAAATATTACAGTATTACAGCGAAGTGAGATAACCATTACCGATATGAATATGCCGCATGGTATCTGATTTCAAAACCTGTGGTCTACATAAATTAAATAATTATGAAAATATACTAAATCTGTGAATGATAACGTTACCGTTTTATATATAAACATATTATAATTCTATCAAGCTTATAGTGCAATATAGCAAAATCGTGCTATAAAAATCCAGCAAAAAAATTGTTTACCTACGAACGTATATACTCGAACACCTATAAACATAAATTTATTCTTATAATTAACAATTTATATATGTACAAATATTTTGTGCAAGGTGTGTGCTTATGTGCATTCAAATTATTAAACACAATATCTGTACACGATGTTTGTACATGGGAGATATAAATCAATATTTTTTAGATATTTTATCTGTCTGTTAAAAACTATTGCACCAAATTGGATGCGATTTTCATAGTTGTATTCCTGAAGGTCTATCGATATCGTCCATCTAGAAGTGGTCTCTTTTAATGGTTTTCAAAACCTTTGAAATATATTATACAACTTAGAATGGCAAACAAGCTGACGGCCTACCTGATGAAAAGTGGTAACTGTCGCTTATAGACATGAGCAGTATCATGGACATAACAGAGTATACTGTTTCGTCCATGATACCCCCCATGCGTTGCCATTCCTGAGGACTCAGATGTTAATCCTCTGTACCCAGTAAATTCACGCTATATCCCACCCTTCAAACCGAAACAGCCATGCAAACACAACTGCTTTCGGCTTTCCAGTCTCCCTCTGGTATATATATATATATATATATATATATATATATATATATATATATATATATATATATATATATATATATATATATATAAATAATAATGAAAATTTATTAAAATTTAATAGTGTACTTAGCTTACCTATTATGTTGGAATTACTTTCCATCTTCCTCAAACGTCATACATTTCCTGAGGAAAGAGAACAAAATATAGTAACAGTTGTGTGGTCCTGACATAAAATGGGCCACCCCTTCCTTTCTTGTGGGTGAAGAACCAAGGGAACTTAATGGTCTAAGGATGGGTAGTAGCATCCCATGGAAAACATCACCAAAACCTTACTACGGTTGCCAATCAGTGGCAACTAGTCGCAAAACCTTTATGGTGGAGGCCTATGTTCAGCAGAGGATAGTTAACGGCTGATATGATGATGATAATGCAATAAAGAGTTAAATAAATAATATTTTAAACGTGAAAATGAGTTTCTTTGTTATATCGTACCTTAACGGTACAATCATTTCAAAATTTGGTATGATATACTATTTGTTATAATATGTGGGAGACATATCGATAACACAGGATACATCTCAATAACACAGATGGAGTTTCGGGTAAAAGTTTTTTATAGATTCTGGTTCTCTTTATGGCCGGAGTAAGTGCACTAACGTTCTCTCCTGCCAGGGTTGTAGTAGTTATTAAAAAATTTTATATGTACAAAAAAATATTAGTGTTAATAGAGTTCATCAGTTCAGAAAGCTTAAAAATCAACTTTACGGGTATCATAATAAGATTCATTTTGTATAACCTAGTGAAACTGTACTAGTTCATATAAAATTACTCCATCAATGCAAGATGACTATTAAATTCGGTATGTTATATAAAATACACGGTGCATTTGATTACGATTCATAGAAAGTGACTGACTAGGCCAATTATATTTTTCAATAAGTTAAGAATTTATTAAAAAAAAGTAGAGTAGATAAAATAGTAAAAGACTGACCAGAGGTAGACTTTGTACAAATGTCTATTGCATGGGTACCTCTGTCCCATCCGTGTTTTTGCCATGAAGCGGTTATGTTTACATAGTTATGTTTCGGTCTGAAGGGTGGAATACGGCAATGAAATTACAGGATATAGAGGAATAACACCTTAATCTACAGGAGGGGCAACATATGTATCATGGGTATCATGGGCGATACAGTATACTCTGTTGTGCCCATGGTATAGTTACAGTTATCACTTTCCGTCAGCTTGTTTGCCATTCTAAGTCGCATAAAAAAAGAGTTAAAAAAATCGATTGTAAAAAGATTATTAAAATCGGTTCACAATTGTCGAAAGTTATGTACACATACACATAAATATGTAAACACAAATTCCACTTTTTAAAGTTGATTCAAAATAGGCATTACACTTTTTGTTACAGATTTTGTAAAAATAAAACAGGAATTTAAGTTGTATGAAATACCTCTAAAAATTATAGTGTTATGTAGTAGTCTCTATAAAAACGAGGTAATTTTTTTTGTACAGGAACCTTAAAAATCACCTTAACAGTTTCAGATTTGTAACTGCACTGTCGTAACACTATACTCCGCTTCAGTACTTGTACACATTAATATATTATGTACACTGAAGACGCTATGTAAACTGACGAAGGCCGTTTAAGTCAGAAGTCAATATGATAAATTTGTATCTAAACGAAAACACGAGATTACCATGTGCCGTCGTTGCGGTTGTGACATAGATAAAGAAAACAATTATTTTATCTATGGTCGTGACGATGTAGGTAGCTGTCTTTTTAGAGAAATAAAGTTTGTAGGTGACATTTTTATCCGCGATGAAATGACACGATAAAAATATTTCAAACGAAGACGTTTTGAAAAGTTTAAATATTATAATACACTTTTATAATAAATTAATAACTGTGTTTTTTTTTTATTAAGACTTATTACTTGTGTACTGTACTTAGTCAAAAAGAGACAAATGTTCATACCTAACAGATACTATGGTACGAGCTAAGGGTCCTAGTATGAAAACGGGATAAGTCTCACAAGGGTTTTCGATTAAAAATGTTATATTGGTTCCTAAATGGCGAACACATTGGATAATATACATATATATATACATAAGTTACCACATTCTATGAGGTGGGCCGTCAGCTTCCTTGCCATTCTAAGTTACATAAAAAAAAACAAATGTAAATTTGTTTCATTAATTTCATTACAAATGTGAAAGTGACTTTGTTTGTTATCATTTAAAGGCGCAACCAATCGTCATGAAATTTGACATATACATACTATTGGGATAGAGACGGACATGTGTACCTATGCTATTTACTTTATATCCACACCAAATGATTATGGTCAAGCGAATGAAGTCGCAAATAAAGTTTAATTAAATTAATTAAAAAAATTAAATTGTTACATACTTTTCAAAAGTATTGATTTTTTAAGATATAAGCATACAAGTAATTTGATAATTTTATTTTATTAAGTCGGTTAAAACAAAATACTAGTACACACATATTATTATTATCATATTATTTATGGATTTTTTATTAAAAATTCATATATATTTAATTCAAAATTATGTCAAGAATGGAGCATTGACCTATTATTTATTTACTTATTTCGTGCTCATGTGACGGCGATGAATGAGTCATTGCTCTACATGCGTAAGTCACTGTAGGATATTAATTTGATTATTTTATATGCCAATAATATCTAGTTTCTGTATCAAATACATGACTGATTCATAATGTTGTGCAATTTGTCCAAAATAGTTTAAAAAGTTATGACATAATATTCTGTCAGTATAATATCTTCACGCCAATTTCTTAGTAGGCGTATATTTTCTAATAACAATGGGCTTGAGGGCTTGGGCCTTGGGCTTATGACTGGCTTTTTTGGCTATTCCATAATATTGGAAACAGTATGATGTAATATAGATAGGTATGCACAGTAAAAGTCCGTGTGAAAGTATGGTAAAAAAATAATTAATACTTTTATTTTTGTATTCAGTGTACCACACTAACCGACATCACAACAATATGATGATGATTTGCTTATTCGCCACCTGTTCATCCGAATAAAACCAATAAGAACAGAAAAATCGCGTCATCTTGCTCCAAATGATTTAACCCTCTAAGTAAATTTGTGTGTATAATATGATTATATATATATATATATATATATATATATATATATATATATATAAATAATTATATATATTACATATAGATATCTATGAGAAGAAAAAACTAAAAAACATAAATTAATAATGTGTATCAAAGTGCACACTAAATAAATTTTACTTACTGTCAAAAACTTGCAACAAATATATATATATATATATATATATATATATATATATATATATATATATATATATATATATATATATATATATATATATATATATATATATATATATATATATATATATATATTTGAAGTCCACTTGTTGGTTTATTCATATATTATTTATTTACTATTTATTACAAATAGGGCCAGACGCATTAAGATAGATTTAGAGTAGCATTGCCATGCTCACAGATTTTGGCAGATTAATATTAAATACAAAGCGTAATACTTTACTATGTACTCAACTAGTTTAATTCCATTACTAAATATAAAAAAAATATTATATTCTTAATGTATTGATATGGAAACTGATGAGTATAGGTTATGTTTTGTTAGGTTATCTAATGTAAGTTGTTAATTTCATCACACTATTTATAAATAACTTGTTAATAAGTTACATTATGCAAAGTTATGTAGACAATATAAAAATTGTAAACAATTTTCAGTAACTTTCTTACGTAGATTGTAAATATTGTAGTATTTATACATACCTTCTACACAATTAATCTGTGTTTTACGTTAATTAAATTAAAATTATTTAGAAAAAAAAAGAAATATACAAAACTGAAGTAAGTACATAACTAAAATACCAAAATAAATTAATATTAACCTCACATCACAATATGTTTTGACATTTCACTGTTACTTGTAAATAATATATGTTTGAGCAGAGTGATATACAGTTTTAAAAAACTTTACCAGATGGCGTGTTAAGTCATACACACTGTATAAGATATTAAATTTAAATCTAAGAGTGCAAATTCCATTATGATATTCAATAATTTACTTTTTATCATAATTTATAAATAACTGTATAGTATTTGGCTAAATATATGCAACATTATTTATGAAATAAATTTTTACATTACCGTTATCATGCTTATGCCAATTTTTTGGTGTCGTTTATGATCACTAGATGGTGACGGTGGTCAAATTAATGTTCGTATCAGATACAAAAAAAATTATATTATGCATTTTAGTGTTGTACTACATTGTTGCATAAATTTTATAAATGAATTTTTTGTATAAAATTTTTATTGTAGGAAAATGTTTGTTGTCATTTCGCCTTTATTTATTTTTGAGTGAATTTTATATCTACGAATACAAGATCGGTTTGCACTTGATCTTACTTCACCTGTTGGTAAGTGATGATAAGATCTAGTATGGAGCGAAGAGTGCCAGATTGTATATCTACAGAAACATTATCATATTAATAGTATGAAATGTATTCCATTCTTTAGCAGATCGCTTTAGAAATGAAGAGTGGAATCCCTTCGTGAGGATGTGTGGAATTTCTACTTCTGCTTATTATTCGTAATTCGATTGTAGAAAGAATATGGTAAGATTATATCGTGCAGCTCGTGCGCTCACTCTCCAAAGTGTATTCTGTAGAACACTGATAAGCTAACCCCTCTGTACAAATGTTCCAGAGTCTGAAATCTAGCCTTTCTTAGTACGTCATCTCTATATAACCTAGATATTTAACTATAGTGCAACGATCGACTTTAGAACAATCGGCTGGTACTGGTGCTGGTACTTGGCTGGTTCTTAGCAGCAGTTTCTGATTTTGTCTCAATTGAGCGGCCGAAGATAATTGATTAATGAACAAATCCTGGCCTAAACCGTTGACGCCGCGACTAAATGGTACAGATACACCTTGAAAGTAGGATAAAGATTGCTTTGGTAAGAGGTATCTAAACTAATTTTAATATTTACATTTTGAAATCGATTAGGTTTTTTAGATTTTAAATCCATGTTAGTTTTGTAAAGAAATATAGTGAAATGTTAGTTGTGTATTTCTTCTAATATTTATGTTATAATTTAATCTTGGAAGTCACGCACGATAGAAATAGTGGTACTTATAATTTGTATGCATGGTAGTGTAAGATCTTGTACTCCTATGCAAGAAACTCATAAAAAATAGGTACATTATTTTTTTTATTTTCAATATTTAAAAAGTATTTTAATCTTTTTATTATTTCGACAGGAATTTAACTCAAACTGTGAAAAAAGTTATAGTTATTAAAGTGGCGTCGATTTAAACAACTCTAAAAGTCTCATCAATATAAATAATTCTTAATTTTTTTACGTATGCAAATCTGTTAAATTTTACTTTTTTTTGGCTTGTCGCGGTCAGGGACAGGCATTAACATTTCACTGTCGACAGGTATATGTTAAGAGATGAAAGGATACTTAAAAGAATGTGACCAGGACAGAAGCATAGCCGTAATGTGCTCCAATACTTTAGTAGGCGCGCGTCTTTCCCATAATCGTGGCGGCAAAATGTATGCGATAAACCGGTGCTTTCTAAACAAGATCTCGTAATTGTTTGTTAAGTTTATAATGTGAAGTGTTTTGAGAATTTATTTAAAACAGTAATTAAAAAATAAGACAATTCGTGTGCCAATATGTTTTTATTTAAGTGTGGAATATCAGTGTTTATAATATTAATTATGTATACAGAAGTTGGTAAGTTTCCTATAATTTCGTATTTTAAAAGTTTTAGATGGTTTAAGGAAATCTTTGTCCTCTACATTAATTGATTTCTATTTTTAATATAATAAATGCGAACGTTTGTAACGAGGAATGGATGTATAAACACGCAAAAACGAATAAACGTATTTGAATCAAGTTTGGTACACGGGTAGGTTATTTCACTAACATAGAATATTTTATATATTGATTTTCGCGGGTAAAGGCGCGTGATAAAGCTAGTAATATATATTTTGTAAATATTGAAATAAGTTTATAGTGTATATAATTTAACACAAAACTTTATTAATATGAGAATAACAATGTAAGTGCACTGAAAAAATAGAGCTAAAAAGTACTGTTCCTATATAGATACATTTTAAGGCACTGTTATTGCTTTATGAATCGATGATTAATTAAAATATAACAATTTATTTAAACTAAAACTAATATTTTTTGTTGTATTTTGTATTACTGTTTATATTTATTAATACCATTCCAAAGCATCAGAACGTTCCGAGTTAACCGATTTTATGCTCTGGTGAGCAGTACAATGCGTAGGAGAAATTGTGATCTTATTACTAGCATCTAATAGAGATTTCAATATATGTGCATTTTTTATTTACATCTGAATTGGGAACTAAGTTGTACTATTAATAGATTCTTTTAGAAAAAGTATGCTTCCGAAAAAAGTGGCCTCTTTGCACACTTTTATTAGACACTTGGCATTTTTTTACATAGTGTATTTTATAGAAACTCTTCAAGTTTTCTTCATATTGTGTCATACGGCTCTGGAATGTATGACTAAGTTCCTCCATATTACTCGACAACTTGTTGTATAGATCCATTGCTGACACTTATGTTATCCAGAGGTTGTGAAATGTGAGAGGATTAGGTGCAGAGGTGACTATTGTACAATATTAGCACGTATGTACCATATACATTTAATTTCTATAATTTTAAATTAAATTGAGGAGCTCAAATTTTTACTGTGCGTATACCAACTACCCGCAAAACGCCAATCTTATATATTGCCACTTTATATATTGAGTAAAGGCGCCTAGTAATATATATTTTGTAATATAATAAATATTATTAAGATATCTAAATGAAGACAAAAATTAGTAATTAAATTTGTTTGTTTTAGACTTAAAATTATAGATTTATTATGTTATCTAATATTTTTTTACACGTGGTTAACAATAAATGCTCTAAACATAACTAGGTAATATAGTTTCTTTTTTTTACTTTTACGAGCATTGGAAGATTAACGGTAGTATGATTGAACTATTAATTTAAGTATATATCATGATTTCTCATTATTTAATACTTAGATTAATTTTCAAGAATTTCAAATTCAAGAACGACTTTTCATAATCGAGTCTAGAAAATCGATTTTTTACTAAAGGTTCGTATTAAAAAAATGTAAAATAATCGATTACTCAATATTATGGTAATCATTGGTCGAAAGTAAAAGTGAAAAAGTATACAAACCAGCTTTCTTTTATTAACTAAAAAGAGAGCAAATCATCACAATTGTTCGTGATCTCATTTTTTTCCAATCACGCTATTCGCGGTTCTCACCATAAATAAAATTAAAACGATGCACCTGTCATTAATTCGCAACTATAAAACGGGTTTATATTTAATATTTTTAACCAATTTAAAAAGATGTAGGTTCTCAAATCTGTTTACATTTTTTGTTAATATTACGTGATATCTTTGACGATCGAACAAACTGATTTTGATAACTAATTCCTTTATTAAAAGTGTTGCTTACTATCTGAATGCCTTAAAACAATTAGATAATTACAGGAGGGTTTTTTGTTAAAAATATAAGTTTATTTAAAGACTGATAAACGAATTATTGTTCTGTTTCATATAAATATAATAGCGGGGATTAAGTTAATTTAGGGATATTTGATACTTTAGCAAACAGTGTTATTATTGTCATAATTTCGGCTGTTTGTTTTTGTCACTGAATATAGGCCTTCTACATGGACGGTCATAAGAAATAGTTATGCGCCACGTACATCTGTTAATTTTCTTCAATAAATTATAACAGCGATTATACATATTAACCTTTAAATACCCACTGTTAATTTTCACTAATATTATAAGTGTGAAAACCATTTGGTGCATCAACAGCTCAATCAAACATCGTAAAATTTGATACATCTTTGTATAGTATTTCGGTTGGAGTGGGAGGACGTGAGCTACTTATATCCTAATCAATCAACAAACTCTGGTCACATGGACAATGTCACAAGTCAAAGATAGTATTATAATAGGAAGCAAAAAACAACTGGTTCGCAAAGTATTCGCAACGGTGGTCAACCCTAGCAATAATTATAACAGACAGTGAAAGTGGTTGGGGCAGTTAGGCCACTTCGTTTAAATCCTGAACATGCTACCAGGAATTTTTAAGATACTTTTCTTTTTTAAATTTACTAGACAAATATATAAAATAATAAATTATATATAGAACAGAATACAGAAGAATTCATTCTTATAAAAGGAAGTAGGTCCAATGTAAGATATATTATAGACAAGATCTTAAATTTTCTTGAGATTTGACCGATATCAAAAGATGTCAAACACGTTTTTTATACGATCAAAAACGGTAAATAAGTTGGCGATACATCCGATGGAAAGTATAGTGAAAAGTGGTAATCGTACAACATGGAACGTAGTGTTGTATATACATTAATAAATATGTAATATTTATATTAAGAGATTCGTATTTATTTTAAAATTTGTTACGTTATTTAGATTTCCATTTAGGTACTGAATATCCTTTTCTTTATATATGGTTTATTTTGTATATGATAAGTTACGATAAAAAGCAATATAATTGGTACAAGATGCGAAGAATTTCTGGCTTTTTATTAGAGTCAAGTCTTTATCATCATTCATGAGTTTAGACGCTGTTAAGGTGCACATATCGGCTCCAAGGTATATTGGTAGGTTATATTGTTTTCGCCCTAGAAAGTAAAAATAATTCTAAACGTTGTAGTTTTAGAGTTCATTTTTGTTTAGAGATGTTGCTCTTAAAGAATGTACTTTCAATCTTAAGAAAATAAGTATGGAACCGAGTCGAATATGGTCACAATCGAGTAGGTATCATACTCACGATCAAAGACAAGTTTATAATTGTCGAGTATTATTATTTTAAACTAGCCGTTTCACGCGGCGCTGCCCGCGTGTATCGGTATATAAAATATCCTATGTGTTAAAATATTATATATAATCTACCTTCATAAAGTTTCGGCCAATTCAACTGAGTGGTTATTTTATAGGATTTTATGTGTGATTCTTTAGATTTATATAACTTTTTTAATTATGAACCAATTGAAATAAAACAAACACTATATGTTAAGAATAGTAAACCGCAACGCATTAGTGAAAACCGCATTTAAATCGATTAAGCCGTTTCTAAGATTAGCGTGCACAAACGTACAGATAAATAGACAAAAGTTCTAAAAATCATTGTTTTAGGTTCTATTGCGTTCATAAAGCATATGATACAGACAGCGACCAGTTACGATTTTATTATATGTTTTGATTAGTGATTGATATATAAATAAAATTATTAGGTATTTAATAGTATTATATTATTTATTAGTAATATATTATAGGTATTTAATATTAATATATTATATATTTGTTTATATGTAATAAGGCCCAACTACTCTTTGTTTTTCTTTCTTTTCTCAATGTCCTCTACCCAAAGGTTGTCTGGAAGAGATTGCTTAGCCATAAGACCGCCTTTTGTATCATTTCCTATTACAGTTAAATGTATTTACTATTTTATAAATGGTGCAATAAAGTGTAAATAAATAAATAAATAAATACATATTATTTTTTTATTTTCAGTACCAGAAGCAGAAGGCAGTTTAATGTCTATGATAGACTTCCGTTACTTTAGATGTGTAATGAAACGGGACTGGCAGTGTCCGAATGGAGAGATCAACTTCTATATGTTTACTCCGTAAGTAAAATTCAATTGTTCTTATGTTTTTTTTTTTTATCGATTGTCTTTTTTTATAGATAGTTTTTTTTTTAATGTATGCACCTGCCAGTAAATAAGCAACAAACGAGACGGTCCACCTAAAGAAAAGTTGTAACTGTCGCTTATAGGCATGCACCACCATTATATCGCCATGGATATTATAGAACATACTATAATACCCACGATTCTTGACAAGGACTAGGATGTTACGCCTATATGTTAAGTCAGTACCCGGTACCTTGGATTTCACTGTCATATTCAAACTAAAATATAGCCATGCAAGTACAGACACTTTTGGATATGTTTTTTAAAAATATTTCTAAAATATCATCTACGTTACAGACGTTGAACAGTATTAAGACCTGTAAATATCAATTAGCAAATGATGACTCATTATCAAAGTGATTTAATTATTCTAGTTTACTATGTTGTAAATATGCAATTGGTATGTGCACAAAATATATTTGCTGATACATATTTTCCAAGGATGCGATGAAATAAAAAAATATATTTTGAAATTTGAACTACAAACCACATTCAGGTGACCTGTCAAAGTTTAAAATTAATTTCATATACTTATAAGAATTATTCTTATGGTTTTGTTTGTTCAAATTATGGCAAAATGTAATCTATGTTTCAATACGGTATATAGATTATGTCTTGTCCAAAGGGAAAAGAGATTGTCAGTAATAGAGCCTAACAGCTCCTCTGCTAGCAATACACCTTGTCAGGTCGACATGCACGAGGTTCCTTCTGGAAACCATCGTGGTTAATTTTGTCGACTTCCTTACGATGGGTTAACTAGCCTGCTTTCATTCTCATTATTAATCTCTCACCAGTGCCCTGCAAATGTAGTATAATGTTTACAGTGACGGATAATTGATAGTGCAATCCAGGTTACCATTTAATATATATCCGTTAGGTACTAAGAAAAAAACCAATCATCCAAGTGTCTTTACAAATTTTCACCTTTATAATTATAGTAAGATGTATGAAGTTAGTTTTCTCAAAGAACTTATCGATTTCATGAATGCTATCGGTGCGTTTTGGGTTTTGTTAATTTTTATATAATTTTGGTCTATTTCTTATTTATGTATATCAGTATTTCGTGAGCAGGGAGAGACCATTCCAACAATGGGTGGACGTCCGTCATACGAGGCACCTCAAGGATCACGGCTGGAAGAAGACCAGAAAAAATGTTCTTATCATCCACGGCTTCAATGGCACCTATTCGAAGACACCGATGACCTTTATACGTGATGGTAATCATTAAATTTGAAATTTTACTTACAGTAACAATGGGACAGTTAAGGATTTTATATAACAGTTACACACTTTTGACGGTACAGAATGAATATAAATCTATGAATATAAATACATTAAAATTACAACAACACTGTAGATACTAATATACTTTTAGAATATATAGCGGCAATATATTTCGAAAGTAAACATTACTTCGCTTGCATATTGAGTAAAGATCGAAAAAAATATTAGGTACTTGTCTTGTACCTATCTATTAATTTTTTTATTTTTCATATAAAAAAAATAATACTATAAAGATATGGAAATTCGCATAACCATATGATCTTATAATAATTTAAGATCTTGTTCCACAAAAAAAAACAGGCTTTAATTATGGAAAAACCTGTTATTTTGATTTAAAAATAAAACTACAGAACAAGTTTTGATAAAATTTCTATGGGATCAATCTAAAGGCATATTCAGATAAAAAAGAATTTTTCAAATCGGTTTACAACTGACAGAATCATGACGTAACATAAAAATGAAAAAAAGATTCTACCGAATTGACAGCTTCTTTTTAAAGTCGGTTGAAAATGTATAGATAAATATATGTGGTTCTTGAGGATCTTACTTGTAGAAAAGGCAAAGTGGGATAAAATGAAAATAAATAAATAAATATCAAGATTCTAATACCTAATCTAGTAATCAGAGTAGATTTTTTGCTATTGCAGTGAATATTGGGAGTTCATAGGCCCAAAGTTTATGTGATTAATGTTTTACAGCATATCTGTCCCGTAAAGATTACAACGTGTTCATGGTGGACTGGTCGCCGCTATCCCGGTTTCCATGTTACCTCTCATCACTCTCCAATATGAAGTAAGTCCATACAAAAATATATTACTTTTTAAGCGACTACCAAAACGTAAAGATTATAGTTTCATCTGTATTTTTTGTGGCTATATTACGCAAGTATGCCATCAATTCTGAACTGGTTTTGATAATTTCTTTAACAATCGATAAGGTTGATGCCTATGATGTTAAGCCATCTGTATCCTCACTTTCGCATTATGTAATCAGAGGGCCTACCGTGAAATATTTTCCGAAATTTCGGTGCTGAATGAAGCATGAATTTGATGTTAAAATTATATAATATACTCGTAACATACCGTTTAAAAATGTTAATATATTGTTTCTTTGAACTTATTATGGTAGAATTTATGACGAAATGTTAAACTCCATTTACTGCACTGATTTCGGTTTGTTGGAACAAAAACATGAAATTGAGTTCGAAAATTCGGAATTGAATTTCATAGTAGACCCCCAGAACTGGCCTTAACCTACCTGAAGCCCCGGAAAATTATTAATTATAATTGTTAATGAAAATTATTTAAATATATAATTGGTAATTATGATTGATTATAAAAGTAATATGTCTTTTAAGTAAAAATAATTAATAATAAATAAACGATGCGTGAGTTAAAAATATATATCATTTAAAAAAAATACGATATCTATACGATTCTCATAAAGTCCATAATTAATAATTATAAAAGAAACTGACAGCTGTCTATTACATATGTATAACGGGAAACCTTATAAACTTACTATGTTTGTTGTTAAAAAATAAACATAAGTTTTAAAAATAAAACTGACAGTTCTTACACAATAAATTAAAGTTAAATCTCTTTTAATATTATGTTAATTAGCCTACATTCTATATGTTACAAATGTTTCACTCGACCAATTTCCGTGACGTTATGGTAAAAGTTCGCAACGATCAAAGAGAAAGTGACGGAGATAATTTGCAGGTGGAACTAATTATTATTTATATGATACCGTAGATATGGTAGATTTTATGGTCTTTAATTAAAATATATAATACACTAGTGACCCGCCCCGGTTTCGCATGGGTTGCAAATAAAATTCATTCCATGTTACAGCTAATAATGCAGCATAATATAGGCGAAAGAATTTTTAAAATCATTTAAGAATTTTTTCAAGAAAATTTGTTTAGGAATTGTATATTATATATATATATATATATATATATATATATATATATATATATATATATATATATATATATATATATATATATATATATATATATATATAATATAAAAATGAATCGCTGAATGTGTTGCTAAGCGCAAATCTCAACAGCTAAATCGATTTCGCTAATTATTTCTTTAGAATATTCCTTGTACTATGAGGATGGTCTTACGAAGAGAAAATTTAAAAAATTGCCTAAAAAAGTCTAAAAATAACATTTTTCTATACTCCTATACAAACGATTCGTAATACTTTTAACTCAATTTAAACTTTAATACTATTACATAAAGTTCAAGTGGAGATGTTCCGGAAAGGCAAAAAAATTAAGTGTCGATAGTATGGTATAGGGGGGGAAGGGATTGTTAGTAATGCGGATTATCAGTCTCATTGCTAACAATATACCCTATCAGGTCGACCTCCACGTGGTCCCCCCTGGAAACTATCGTGTTGAATTCCAAGCGTATTCATCACGATAGGCTAACTGATCTGCCCTTTTATCCTCACTTATCACCTCTCACTGGTGCCCCGCCAGCGTATACCGTTAGCGCAGGCGGAGTTGCCATTTCATTATCATCCATTGCAAAAAAAAATAGTATGGTATAAATATTGATGTCAATAATTATATGATGGTAACATTAGTCAAACACAAATTGTCTGTGGTTTTTTTTTAATGGGTGATAATGAAATGGTAAACCCCGTCTGCGCTATCGGTATACACCGGCAGGGCACCAATGAGAAATGATATGTGAGGATGAAGCAGGTCAGTTAGTCCATCGTGACGAATTCAACAAGAATTATTCACGATGGTTTTCAGGGGGAACCACGTGGAGGTCAACTTGACAGGGTATATTGTTAGCAATTGGATTGGTAGCCCGCATTACTAACAATCCCTTCCCCCCAATTGTCTGTGGTTAAGCGGTACGAAATTTGCGGGGCCAGCTAGTATATATATATATATATATATATATATATATATATATATATAAACACTGATCTTGACCTTAAGATTACGCATCGACATTGATTATAAACCATCTCAAGAGAAAGTAAAACTGGTATAAAATGATACGTTCTATGTGAAAATTTTCATTGAAATCTGTTATAGCTGAACAAATTTAGATGAAATGTAATTGACTACATTGAAATAAAATTGTACGTCAACGTAGTGAACACAACATCTATAACACCCACAGACTTAGTATAACGTACTTGATAATATGGAAAAATTTTATAATTATTATGGGTAATTTAAATAAATTATAACAATTCAGCAACTTATTACTGACACGGGTTTTCTACCTTTAACCCTTAAAATCCTGATTTTTAAATCAAATTAAAAAATATATAAGTGTACCCTTTACTGTGTTAACTAATAGTAAAAAATACTGAAATAATCAAAACTATATTTTTATATATTTATTTTGAAAAAAACATTTGATAACATGTAAACAGCCAAATATTAAAATAAAATCGATTGTAGGCGCCTAATGCGATTCATAACCCCGGTATCAAATTAGAAACTTCAGGTATTTAAGGGTTAAAGGAGGAGATAAGCCTATGACTATATTGATCAGATAGCTTAGTTTTAGATGTTATTCAATACATATTGCCATGAGAAGGGGTAATACATTCTTATATTATTACTACGAGGGAAGGATTTTTTAGTACAGGGTCTAATAGTCCCATTGCTAGCAGTATATCTTATCAGGTGGACCTCCATGCGGTTATCCTTGGCAACCATTGATGTTGAATTCGTCACAATATACTTTCATCCCCATCCAATATTCCTCACTAATGTCCCACCAGTATATACCAATAGTGCAGGTACTATTTCAATTACACCAATAAAACAAAATTTTATTTTATCACCACAGGTTATTTTATGTGCAGCGTTTAGCGCAAGAATACCATACTTAGACAGCTACAGGAAATTAATTATAATAATTAACTAGTTTTTACCCGCGACTTCGTCCGTGTGATCGGTATATGTTCATTGACTGAAAAAAAAGTAGCCTATATCCTTTTCAATCCTTTGTGGTACGTGTATATTAAATTTAAACCATTATGACGCTGTTTAGTAAAAAACAAACTCACTTTTATTTTTATAATATTAATAAAGATACAATTGCATAAAGTAGATATTAGATACACCCATGTTTTTAATAAATCCAAACTTTGGTCATTTCAGATTAACAGCGCAATGCACTGCACAGCTGTACTCTCAAATAACGCAGGCTGGAGCCCTCGCCAAGATGATCACATGTGTCGGTCATTCTCTCGGAGCGCACATATGTGGCATGATATCCAATCATCTTACAGAGAAACAGTACAAAATTGTTGGTAAGTCTTCATTTATTTAATAACAACCTCGTAGTCGGTCTTGAGGCAAATTTTAGGATAAACTTCCTAATTTATTCTAAAATTTATCAAACTGCCTATTTTCTTTAATATTATATTAAAGATAAGAAAAAAATTATTCATTATTAAAAATAATATTGTTTATATACTAGTTATACGTAGAGAACTTGGGAGAATTTGACTTTGCATCTAAATTGTCGTATGAAAAAAGTAATTTTTCGTTAGCATTGAAATTATACGAATAGTAAAAGGGTTGCCAAAATAGTAACGATTTTGTTACACGAAAAAATGCTTCATCAGTTCTATTCGATTGGAATGAAAGAATTATTACAATTATGACGAATTTTATTGGGTTACTTGTTAATTTTTTTTATTTTTACAATAACGAGAATAGAATCGAAAATAAGAAGAAATATTGAAAAATCAAGTATTTAATTAACAGCCATTAGTATTACAATAACGTTTTTATGTAAATGTAGTAAAAAATAACAAAATATAAGCAGGCACACATAGTTTACTTATTAATAATACATAAGGTTATCAGGTTTTGTATGACAGGTGAAAATATGGCGTTTAAAATTGGGACACTTTTGGCAAATTCAATGTTACAGTCTTGCATTCTAAATACTGATTGATACCATCTTCTCCTCTGAAAAATTAAATACATGGTTATAATAAAAATCTCTATCAATAAAAGCAATTTCACTTATTTTTGTATATATTATATAATTGATTTAGGTTCAAAATTTTAGTTTTAATTTAATGAATTCAATATTGTGAAAGCACATAGATATATTATTCTATTTATTATTAGAATTCAATTAGTTAATAAGTAATCATTATGTAAAATATAAATTGAAACAAACATTTATAATTATTGAAACGATAGTTATTTTGATTTAATAATAACGTAAGGCAAACTTACAACTCCCTGCCGAGGCCGGATTCCTTGAAACCACCGAATGGAGTTTGACTTGTTAAATGGTCATATGTATTTATCCTGCAAAAATGAAGAATGATAATAAACATACATATTGAATACATGTCTAATTACTTATATATATGAGAGACAATTATCTGAGTACTTTTTTATCTACCAAATTTCATTTATTTTAGGGAGGTTCCGTATATATTCGTACAGTATTTTCGTACAGTTTTTCATGTTCCATGTGTACCCAAGACTTCGTTCGAATGGCTTGGATGTGTTCATCAATTGAAATAAAAGGTAGACTATATCTTTCTCCATACTAAATAGCACGTGTATACCAAATGCCATATGGTCTAGCCTTTAGTCAAGCGATAACAAACAAACACACTTTTACATTTATAGTACGTAAATGTCAGTGATGTGGGTTTGATATTTTGAGTGAGAAAAATGTACAGGATTGCCCATCACTTATGGAACTGTTAGTATTATAAAGAAGTTATTATTTAGTTTTATTCTTTAAAGAACTTACCAAACGGATCCAGATTTTACATGCTTAGCGAAAGTTAAGGCTCTTGTGATATCGTTTGTGATAATACCAGATGCAAGTCCATAGTTTGTGTCGTTGGCCCGATCGATTACTTCTTCTAAAGTCTCGAATTTGAAAATACTTTGTACGGGGCCAAAGATCTGTTAACAAAAAAAAAATATTTGTATAATAATGGTTTTATCTTTACAATGACATGTACATTTACCAGAGGTAGACTTTGTACAAAAGTCGATTGCCCTTTGTCCCATTTGTGTTTCAACTGTAAAGCAGTTGTGTCTGCATGGCTGTGTTATAGTTTGAAGGGTGGGATATAGCGTGAATTTACTGGGTACAGAGGAATAACACCTGAGTCCTCAGGAATGGCAATGCATGGGGGTTATCATGGGCGAAACAGTATACTCTATTATATCCATGGTTACTGCTCATGTCTATAGGTTACCACTTTCCATCAGGTGGGCCGTCAGATTGTTTGCCATTTGATGTAGTATAAAAAAAAAATTGTAAAAATAAAACGTTTAATAAATGGACTACTCAGTTGACCAATATTTTTCAATTCCAAGATTGAATCTCAGCTAGCTAGTAGCCAACTAGCAAACATGTTTAGATCATTGACAAATGATTGTCGTCAAGTCGTCGTTCGATAAACTATGTATGAAACCTTCGTATATGACAAGGACGATATATTATTGAATCATAGAAGTGGTATGTAGTTGTATTAGAAAAAATTTATCTAGATTTTATCATCAGATCAAGTCTAATGCACTATCATTTTGATAACTCGTTGTATGCAAACTCGCCAGTTGCCACTTCTGTAGATAATAGTGAAATCCTTAAACATACTATTAGGTTATTAGGCCGTTTCGTAAATGAGTTGTGAGTTAGGAAGTCAGTCAATGAGTCAAGTGGCCATTTTAGACCGGCTATAAAACTTTTGACTTCTCTCTCAGTCAGTACATGATATATGAGATATAAATATTTATTGTATTGTATTGTATGTACAAATTGTATATTAAGTTTTTAATGTATTCAGTATAAATTATGTATAATAAAGATTTTACAATACAATACAATTTATACATAGTAAGCGGCATTTTTAACCTTTTATTTCCTTATTAAAAAAACCTCTAATACAATGCTGCTTGTTGAGCTATTTTGTTTTCTTCTTTTGACCTCTTTAATAGTAATATAGTATAACTTTGGTTATATAACCCAAAGAGGGTTGACGTCAGGCAGGCGACCAGTCGTAAAACTAAGCCAAATCTTTTTGTAATATGGAATAAAACATTACGCCGACCCCATATAATAATTGGGATAAGGGTAGGAAAATGATGATGATAGTATAACTTTGGTAACTAAATCAAAAAGTTTCTTTAAAACAATTAATTCTATCTCCGCAGAATTAACTTTTATATATTTATTATATATATATTCTATATCGGTGACATATTTTCCATATTTATTGAATAAGCATCGAAGATATAATCATTAACTCAGTTTAGGCGTTTGCTGCGGAAGTTAGATCAAACTTGGAACATTCACCATATCTTTTTATGCAATTTGGAATAGAAAGTAGATTGATATTATAAAAAAAGAATTGAATCTTACCTCTTCTCTAGCTATTTTCATATCATCCTTGACATCAGCGAAGACGGTGGGCTGAATGTAGTATCCTTTATTTCCTAGCTTGTCACCGCCAGCAATACATCTTGCGCCTCCTTGCTTTCCCGCCTCTATGTAGGCAAGCACCTTATTGTACATCTCTTTGTCGATCTGGAAAAATATTTATTTTCTTTATTATAATTTGTGCATTTTTTATTATCTATGAAACTTGTTTGTAGCCGGTCATCGTCAAATACATCCTACTAGTCATATCCCGCGGTTTCGCGTTTTGTGTGAATTATTATATAAGGTAGTCTACGATTATGGCAGACATAATACTTAGTCTAACTAGAATAATCTATAAGATTGTATGTAGAATTTAAAACAAAATATTCGTAATTTTAATAGTTTGGCGACTACAAACAATTTTTAGTACAGTAAGTTTTTGGATAGTTGCCCATTCAGTATTTTCGACCAATTATTATCTTACTGTCCATTTCAGTATATCGTATGTCTGTAAGTCGAAACAATAGAATAAATGAAGCAAAACTGCAAACATCTGCAGTTTATATTTGTATAAAAAGAATTAACAGTTGTTATTACTCGTTCGTTATACATAATATAATTTCATTATCATATTTCACGCTTCATATTGAAGTATTTGTAATTGTCATGACAAGGTTTGTATAAATGAAAACGTTATAAAAATCATATGGAAGAGGATATATCTATAATCTACAGACATCTAGATGGAGTATAGTGTTAAAAAACGTAATAAATCGCTTAAAACGGTAAAAGGTTGTTGATTAGATAGTTTTATCTAAAGATATTTATGAAAGTCATTATCTGTGCTGTAACTTCTTAATGTAATTACATCAATTATAGGGTATTATACCTGTTATCACACTAAATCCTTTAAAGATCGCTCGCCTGCATGCAGAGATATGATATCATTGACAATACTGGTACTTAGTTCAACTTCTTTTAATGTAAATTCGCTTCGGCTATCATTCTTTGTAATAAAATTCCTCACTAATATTATAAATTTGAAAATGAGTTTGATTGTTTGTTACTATGAAATATGAAAAATACTATGAAATTTGGTATACTTATACTGGATTGGAGACGGACATAGGCTTTTATTCTGATCGATGAATCTTGTCATATAGGTGAAGTCGTAAATAAAAGCTAGTGAGTAAAAAATAACTTTCACACCTGAGGTCCCTGTTGAACATTCTCGAAGGGATTTCCGACGGACCGCTTCTTAGCGATTTCAGCTGCCTTCGCAATGAATTGGTCGTATATGCCGGACTGGACATAAGTTCTGGTACCAGCACAGCAGCACTGTCCTGCATTTTCAAAAGCAGCTGCGTGTGCAATTTGAGCTGCTTTTTCCACTGGAAAGACAGTAAAGAGATTTTTTTAAATTTTATATATAAATTAATTCTAAAGCATAACTCGATTCATAAATTATAATATATAAGAGTGTAACTACGTAATAAATAATGAATATATAACGAAATACATTAATGAAAATTCATGTGAACTGTTACACTGTTTTACTCGATTTTTTGCTGCATAACAGCTGTACCTGTAAGGCTGTATTTCGGTTTGAAGGGTGAAATATGGCAGTGAAATTATAGGATAATAGAGGTATAATACTTTAGTTCTTAGGAATAGCAATACATGACTGGAACCATGGACGTCACTATGTAATCTATTACGTCAATGGTACTGTTCATTTCTTTAACCAACGAGTACCACATTCAATCAGATGAGCCGTCAGTTTATCTTGTTACTTGATATGTAATAAAGCATGAATATAAAAAGACGATTTTTATGTAACTTAGAATGTCAAATAAGTTGTCGGCTCACCAGATGGAAAGTGGTAAACGGCGCCAATAAACATGAGCAGTACCATGGACATAACTGAGTATATTATTTAACTCATGTCTTGCCATTCTTGAAGACTAAGATGTTATGCCTCTGTACCCTGTAAATTCACTGCCATATCCCACCATTCAAATCGAAACACAACCATGCAAATACAACTGCTTCACTGTTGAAACACGAATGGGACATAGGTACCCAAGCAAATGAACACGCAATACGAACGCACACACAAATCACAATCTGGAACATTTGTAAAGTGTGATTTAAAATGTAGAAAATTTGAAAAACTATTTATGACTTCAAAATAATATTATCAAAAGAGTTCATGAAATGATTTGGGAGTTAATTAATACTATAGACTTCTTAAACTTAAACAATTAAGTTAAACATAAAGTATGTGTTAAAAATATTATACCATCAGCATCATTGAATATCACCAATGGACTTTTCCCGCCGAGCTCCAAAGCCACTCGTTTCAGATTCACAGAAGGAGCAGCTCCCAATATAATACGACCGACCTGAAGGATAATAAGTGTCATACATGATGTTGATGTATTACATCCATTTTACTTGTATTTTTCGAGTTTATTCACTACAAACAAAACATTAAGTCTTTTCTCTTTATAGTACATGTTTCTTCAGATAAATTTGGTAAATCCTGGTCAAAGGTCAAATACATCGACTTATTGTTAGATTACATTAATTGGTTGTACAGGAAAACAAACAAAATGTTTTATCAAATATCCAGTTATTAAGAGAGAAGATTAAGAGAGAGAGAGAGAAAGTTTTATTTTGAATCTTAACAGCATACTTGGCCACTACGAAGTCATTATGTCTTTAGTGTTGGCTAGTTGGCTAGCTATTTATTTCAAATATGAAATTCAATAATTTTCAAATTCACAAATTTTCTGGTGTGATATTATAACGTCACATTATTTTAAACTAATTTTCTTTGTTAATTTTTATTTAAATCCATTCAATAATTTATTAGAAAGCTTAAGCTTATTTTTGCAGTTAATAATGTAATCGCTAAGCAATTAGTACCTCAGTAGAGCCAGTGAATGCAACTTTGTCAACGTCTGGATGATGCGTAAGGGCAGCGCCAGCAGTAGGCCCATAGCCTGGGACGACGTTTACAACTCCAGGAGGAAACCGGCCTCCTTAATAAGAGTAGCCACAGCGAGAGCTGTCAGAGGAGTCTGTTCAGCGGGTTTTACCACCACTGTGCAACCTTGAGTAGCAAACATGTCTTTTTATAAATGCACAAAAAAAAAGTACTTAGAAAATACATCATATAATTAGACCTCACTCTAAAGACAGCGTAAATAATAGTAACTACTACTTTGCTCTAAGTACAGAGTCAAGCTGTTAATAAAACTTATCAGTAGATATATGTCTCAGATCACAATTCATTCAGTTTTTGCAAAATTACGTTGAAGATGTATTGTAGTATATTTCGAATAAATGTTGGACCAATGTTATTTTAATTCAATGATACCAAAACAATCGACCCGTGCGTATTGAGTATTTTAGAAATAATGCATAATAAAAATATCAAACCTACTAGTGACAATTGGCTATACGAGTATTCGGGTAAGATCAGATATTTACGAGAAAATTGCAAGACCCTAGGTACCATTCTGATCACATTATTCACGATAGTCTTTTCGCGTTCAATATTAGAGCAATTACTTCATTAAACTAAAAATGTTTCTCAATAAAAGAATCACCTGCAGCTAAAGCTGGAGCAATCTTCCATGACATCATTAATATGGGATAGTTCCATGGTATGATTTGTGCACAAACTCCCACGGGCTCTTTTAACGTAAAGGTTAGAACTTCACCGTCTGTAATTACAAATTAAAATCAACTATATAGTAAATAAACACTAAATTAGTTTTCTAATAAGAAAACTAATTTAGTGACCTTGCCCAGAGAAACATCCGGAGCATCATTTTTTGCTCCTACATGGTGATCACGCTTATTATCTAGTACACAGCATACGTCAACATTTATCTTGAATAACTATAAAAATGTAATATACGTTCAAAACAATAAATGATAAATGAATCTCTTTTAGAGAAAGTTCAATCAAGCTATCCTGTTAATTAATGCAATTAAAATGGCAATTCTGAGAGAGACAGTGATTATAAAAAAGGGACCTTGATCGGTACATGTTTAGGTCTAGCATTGTTGCTTATTGATCTATTGGTGGATTTATTGAATACTTGTTTGTGATATTAGATTTTATTTGTAAACATTTATTACTATTAATATCATTATTAATAATTTTTAACCCAATATGTAAAGCAGAAAAAAATCATACCTGCAGGTATTGTATTTCCTAAAATTTTATCGGCTTTCCCAGCGTAATATCTTAGTACTGAAGCGGAAAAATACACATCATACTCAGCATTTTTAACAGGTTTCCCAGTATCTAAGGTCTCAAGTTCTGCTAGATATCGGGCTTGTGATTCAATGAGTTCCGCTAATTTAAGTAATAGAAGACCACGTCGTGACGCATCCATGGTACGCCATTCTGAGTACCGGTGGAAGGCTTTTTTGGCTGCTGCTACTGCTTTGTCTACATCAGCCTGAATTGATAAAATTCAGTATATCAGTGTTTAATATTGAAGGTTAAGATTAATAATTAACTAAACTAAACACTTGGGGGATAAAAGTAGTGACTTATGTATATGTTTTTTATAAAGGTGTGAATCACGTGTCTAAGAACATGAATGTTCCTTATGCTTACACTATTGTTCGAGTAGCATAAAATGCAGCAATATTGTTCTATCTTTTTTGTGCCTGTTTATTTATGGTTGTTCTTCTGTATTGTAGGTAGTTACAAATAAAGTTTTTATTCATCTATCTATCAAAATGAAATGCTGTTAATCAAGAAAATTTTGTTTGTATTTTTTTGTTTTATTTTTTAATACCTATATGACTGTGCGTCATCAACACACGTGCAATAAAGTTAAAAAAAAAAAAACTAATCTATTTAAATTTGGTTTGTAAATTGTATTGCACGTGCGACGATAATGTGAGGTTTAACAAACATTATTATCAAATATCTTGTGTTATTTTTGGATTTGAATAAACGTTTATATACGTGATATTGTTATTTAAATTTGATGACACGGAATTGATACTGGAAAAAAAAAGAAAAGACTGAAGTGGCATTTTAAAGTTTCAATAGATATTAATCAAGTTGCTTGTAATAAAATGTAAATTGAAAGTAAGTTACAAGACTTCAAAGACTTTTATTTGTACTTTGAAAGTATAATAAAAAAAACTTTATCGCGAAACTAGTTCAAAACAATTGTAAAATTTTGTAGAGTGGTTCAAAGGTACGTTACTATATTTTTAGATGGACCTTATCCGCCTATACAAACGGCAAATAAATTTATTGATAGAGACGTTTACATTACTATATATATTCAACAAAATGTAATAATAATTTTTAACTATAATATTTGAATGTGTGATATACATGTGTATGCGTGAATTGCGTATTTAAGTGTATACAGAATAAGACAAATAATAAATAAAATAATAGTACAATAAGTGTAAGTTAACCATCAGTTAACCGAAGATTGTAGATATTGCCCTTACATTATAAGCAACTTGTTGTTTCGAGTCGCATTATGTTTTATAATTTTTATAAAATGAAGGTAGTTTCACATTATGTTTTATTTTTAGTTGATGTTTAATAAATTACGCTCGTTAACAGTAGATATTAAGTGCATGCTCATAATTTTAAATTTCTCATTTAAATGATTTATGTAAATCTTTAGAGAAATAAATGTCTTAAACCGTATAGTAATATCAGGCGTATTGATCTTACTCATGTACGCTTTTATTTGTCGAATGTCCAGAGAGCTGGATTGTGGGTGATTTTGTTCATTACGAATTACAGATTTGTTTTCTATTTTCGTCCTCTAAATTGTCCACTTTACTTACCTTGTCTCCTTCTGCAATATTAGCAATGACAGTTTCATCTTGAGGATTTATGGTGGGGAAAGTCTTTTTGCTAACCGCATCCGTCCACTCATTGTTGATAAACAACTAAAAGACAGAAAGGTATTAAATTAATAGTTTGTCTATAGTAAAGCAATTGTTTGCATGTCTGTTTCGGTTTGAAAGGTTAGATATGGCAATGAATTTGCAGGATACGGAGGCGTAACACCTTAATTCTCAGGAATGGCAATACATTAGGTTGTGGGGAGGGTATTATAGACGAAACAGTATACTCTGTTATGTCCATGGTATCGCTCATGTCTATAGACAAAGGTTACCACTTTCCATATGGTGGGCCGTCAGCTTGTTTGCCATTATAAGTTGTACAAAAAAAATACATTTTGATTATATGGCTTTGTTTGTATGGAGAACATTTATTTATGTTTATGCGAGAAACTAAATGCTTAGGTTAATTCCCATCTCTTATAAATCATAAAACATGCAGCGTGAAAGTTTTAAATTTACTATTGTCCTGAAGTAATGGTTTCAACGAAATATAATTTGGACAAAATAAAGTATTTTTATAAAGAAATTATTCTTTTAAGTTGGTTACTTATAAACTATTTTTAAATGAAACCGGTTCTCAATTACTTTGAATTACCTTATTATACGATCGCGTCGCTAATTCTAAACCAATTTTCACAATTCTTTCAAAAATTGACAGACTTTACTTATTTTAATCTCTGTAAGAGTGAAGTTACCGTTTATTTGCGGAGCAAAAAACTGCATGTTGTATAAAATTTATATGTAAATACGCAATATTTAAAATGTAGGATATCTAAGAAATGTTGTCTGTTTGTCAAAACCGCGACATGTTTCGTGTGTATATTTATTACGATTGAAGTTGTTTTTATTTCAGGGCAATATTACTTTTGTAGTTAAGTATTAGTTAAGGTAAGTACTAGGTTTTTTAATGGCATTGTAACCCCATCTGCGCATTGGTATACGTATATGGGGCACCAGTGAGATGATAGGTGAGCATGAACGCATGTCAGTTGGCCCATCGCGATGAATATATAAAGAAAAGACCACGATAGTTTCCAGGAGGAACTACGTGGAGGTCGACCTAATACGAGTAGAGCACATTGATAGCAATGAGGCGATCATTACTAACTATTCCTTCTTCCTCCTACTTACTAGATTTACAATAATTTTATTTTTTACGTGGGTAATATTATAAAATTGCAACGTGTGGGTGGATTTTGGATTAAATACTATTTGGAGTGAACAGACAAAATACCTATTAGAACAAACGAATTAAGCAATCTAGTTAACTGAATAACTAATTTATTATTGTTGACAAATAGCAAAGATGCACACAATATTATGACCTAGATAGATTAGGTGTAAGGTGCATCCAATCATCAATCATAAAAAAAAATATTCAATCAAGAATATATTTCTTGTCAATTTTATTTTTACAACAAATATAACAACAAATATATTGCTAACTGTATCCCGCAGTTCCTTCGTTATGTTAGGATATAATCTACCCGTATATCAAATTTCATTCAATACTATTCAGTTTTTGCGTGAAAGAGTAACAAACATCCATCCATCAAAGTTTGTAACAATACAAACTTTCGCATTTATCATATTATAAATAAAAGGATAGGATAAACTATATTTTAATTGTTACAATAGAATAGTTAATTTGTTTAGAAATATTATTATAACTATTTTATGTATTCAGTGAGTACCTGCTTACGATAAAAATATTAAAATATTTTAAAGAATATCATGATTATTTTATAAAAATTACCAAATAATCACGAATTTAATAAAAAATATTTGGTAAAACACTATCGAACGGCCAGCATAGCCGGCATAAACATAAATCTTATCACGTTTTAGTTTGTTAAAATGAGTTTTTTAGTTTATAAAATTGAAAAATCATTATTATGTTACTATTTATAGCATACCTTTGTATATTTAACGTCTACTTTCACCATTTTGATAATAATTTTACTTCTAATTGAACTTATAGAAAACACGTACACACCCTATGTCGAATAACAATGAACTGAACTTATTCACTAATGGAACTTGGCCTGTCAGAACGCTTTAAATATAATACGGATAATAAAATTTAGAACGTATATCTAAGGAATAAGAGCGATTTTTGTATTTCAGTTTATATGCCACTAACTTGTTCTTTTGTACAATATTTCTGTTTATGATTGTCTTCCCGTTGTTCCATTTCGAACTCTACTGTTTAGAGCATAACGTTTCTTTCCGGACATTTAAACTAAAATAATATACTGGAGTGAAGTTATCTAGAATACTGGTGCTGCGGTGCTCAGTACATCGACTTTTAAATTTATGTTGTTAATTGTTTGTTATTGTTTCTTTCTGCTTAATGATTTGGACTTGTTGTAAATTCATATCTAATATAAAAAAAAAAAGCAATAAATCAAAAACATTTTCGTAGCCACAAAATTTGTAGTCATTATCTACTATTTTCTTTAACATTTTATAAGTAGGTAGATACGTCTCTAGTTACTTAATACGCAGTAGCAAAACGTGAAAAAGAAAACATACCATTGAGATATTTTGTTTTCATTACTTTAAATATGCAAAGATAGTGCTAAACCTGTATAGTTACAAGATTTATATTATTTTTATAAAATAGATTTTTATTATTTTTGTATATCAAAAAAAAAAAACTGAACATCTAAGTACAATAGCAAACATAGTACAGAGGGCAAATATTATTTTACGCCGGCTTATTTTTCTTGCTTCATCATCTGGAAAATAATTACTTTCAGATATTTTTATATTATTCGGGGTTTCTTCCTTTTTTCGTCGGACCATCTAGGTCATTCATGTGTTTTTTTTCCAATTAGTTTTATTTTTCATTTCTCTAGTATGGGCAAATCATCTCAAAAAAATTAATATGCAATTTACGAAATTCAGATGGAGCTTCGTTTCTTAGTTCCAGTCGAAGATAATTATCACCATTCCATTGCGTATAATATGCGTAAATTTATACAAGTAAAATATTTCTATTAGTTGTCTAGTATCCATAAATAAGCTTAGCTTAGTCTGTGACCAGAAGTTGCTGTGTAATATGTTTTATAAAAGACGGGAAATATCAAGTAATGTTTATTTATTGATTATATTCTTTTTTAATACAAATAATTCAGTACGTTATGTAGTTACAAAACGTTATTTTAATTTACAATTGACTGTATGACTTAGTTCTTTTTTTAATTAGTGTATATTTTGGTTGTATCAATATTTTGGGTGTGTGTACATCTTAAGTATGCAAAACTATACCTATCAGTAGTCTAATTATTCTATATGGAATAGTCACGTGCTTGTTACATATGTCTGAGATAATTGTTTTATGAACAATGTTGATATCAACGTAGAAAAATTATATATACCTACTCACTATGTATCCAGTCATAAGTTATGTAACTATATCAACCAACACAAACACACTTTTTTTATACTACTTAGAACGGCAAACAAGCTGACGGCCCACCTGATGGAAAGTGGTAACCGTCGCCTATAAAAAAGAGCAGTACCATGGACATAACAGAGTATACTGTTTCGCCCAATATACCCCCCAGGCGTCGCCATTCCTAAGGCCTCAGATGTTAGCCCTCTGTACCCAGTAAATGACGCCATATCCCACCCTTCAAACCGAAACACAGCCATGCAAACACAACTGCTTCACGGTTGAAACACGAATGGGACAGAGGTACCCAAGCGATCGATTTTTGTACAAAGTCTCCCTCTGGCACTTATCTTCGTTACAAAATAATAAATGTTTATGATTAGTGTTATAATAGTATCTACATTAGACTTTCACTCATTATATCTACAAATGTAATACCAACTGTTTAGTCTATGAGTTGATAAATCAGTTTGTTCATCTGTCTAGTATGAGCAAGTTGTAGATACATTCTAGATAAAGGGTTGACAATTTTTACGAATAAGACGTTTAGCATAAAACTACCTTTTTGTTCGCTACTTCGTACGTGTGAATTTCAGAAGTAAGAAAACTTATGAAATAGGCCACTCATAGATGGTGTGGCGTATTAATCACATCAGTTTTTAGAAGACAACTGTGAGAACCGTATCCGATTTGGTGCAGTAGTTTTTGCGTAATGCTGGAACTAATATATATACATACAGAGAAATGAATATATAAAAAAATATTGCCTTGGTTTCTATTTTTCTTTTAGATTTAAATTTTATGATGACCCCTCACATCAGTTTTCCTTAAAAATCTTTCATATCTAGTTTCAATTTTATTACATGTATTACTAAGATACAAATTAAAAATACTTCTCTTTATTACAATCATTCGAATTAAAACTTCACTATGATTTTATATATATTTTATTAGGTATAACTACTTTATACCCAGGACTTTGACCACGTGACCAACATTTGTTTATTGACCACTATCACAGATAATATACTTGTACCTGTATAAAATGTAATCTATGTATATTTTTATATTACAAGGGCAAAGAGATTGTTAGTAATGGGGATTAGCGGACCCAATGCTAGCAATATACCCTATCACGTCGACATCTATCATGTTGCCTCTGGAAACAATCTTGGTCAATTCTTTATAAATTTTTCACTGTGAGTTGCTTTCATCATCACCTATCATCCCCCACTGGCATCTTATTAGCGTATATCGATAGCGCAGGCAAAGTTTACCATTCCATTATCACACACAAACTATATACCACAATTGTCTTAGGCTTGAAAGGGTAAAAAAAATAACAAACAAATTTACTTTCAATTTTATTTTTTTTAAACCACTTTTATAATAATTGTAAGAAAAATAAGGATAAAGACACTTAGAATTAAAGGTAATTCAACTGGTGAGAGTACTGGCAACATGACGTAGAAAGTATGGCTTGTATATAACCTTGCCAGCTTCGGATAATTTTCATTCCCACAATAATTATTGAGCATAATGCTTGTATTTTTAATATAATATTTATACCCCAATGCAATAGTATACTAGGTTAGAAATGCTGAAGGTTTTTATTTATTTATATTTGAGGATTCTTAGGCAGGTTTATAGTGACAGTTTTGGTTTCAAGGTATTGCAGAATACCGTCTTCTCCCCTGAAACAGAAAAAAAGGTAGTTTATATTATTGATTTGATACAGTGTCTCATCACCCAATGATTCGATGAGGGTTCGATCCTCATACAATGAAATATTTATATTTATGAGTCTATTAGTATTGGTCTGGGTGTTTTCTATGTAGATATATATTTATAAAAAGTATTTAAGTACGTTTATCAGTTTTATATCATATATACCAATAATACAAGTTCTATTGAAATACATGCAAGACAAATAATATCCTTTCTAATATTATAAATGTGAAAATGAGTTTATTTCTTGGCGCTTTTACAGCTTAACCGATCACAGCAAAATTTGATATACAGATTCTATAAGGGATAAAGAAGGACATAGGCTTCGTTTTAGCCTATCACGCAGACGAAGAAGAAGCCAGTGACAATAAATAATAGACGACCCTATCAGTCTTTAGTAGCTCTTTACTTACAATTCGCGTCCAAAGCCAGATTCTTTGAATCCTCCGAATGGTGTCTGAGCAACGATATGCAAATATGTATTGATCCTGAAAAATATGTAACAGCATAAATATATTTTTCTCTTTTTTCCTCTATCCAAAGGTTGTCTGGAAGAGATTGTTTTAGTGATAAGACCGCTTTCTGTGCTTCATAAATGTAATATATATATTTGTGTTATTCTTTAAGTGGTATAATACAGAGTAAATAAATAAATATTTCATTATTAATAAAGAAATATATTACTTCACTGATGAAAAAATATTCTGTAACACTGTCATCTGCGTAGATACGCCTGAAAATAAATTATGAAAGAAATCATAATTTATTTTTTGTTTCTTTGATTTTTATTCAAGCACTCATTTCTATTATATTATATTGTTATATAGAAAAAATACAGGGATTTTATGTCAGTCTTCATTTTAAATCAGGGGTACTCAAATGGTTGTTCGTGATCTACTCGTCAACCTTTGGATCTTGACTAAAATAATTCATAATGTGAGGAAAACTATACCACGTCGAAGGCCATAAATATAGACATATTTATGCCACGATATACCCTAGATGATGATCATCGCACATACAGCCTCTCAGAGTCGATAGATCGTAGTCTAACAATATTGAGGTAGATCGCCGACAGTTCAAGTTTGATATACTTGCTTTACCGGATTGTAGTGAATATTCTATAACTGGGTTTAAAATTTTTAATAAGTAACTTACCATGTAGATCCAGCACGGGCGTACTTGGCGAAGGCAAGAGCCTTCGTAATGTCATTAGTAATGACACCAGCCCCAAGTCCGTAATTACTGTTATTAGCACGATCCAACACTTCTTCGAAAGTATCAAACTTTAATATACACTGAACTGGACCAAAGATCTGAAATTATTATTATTTTATATTTTTTTTTTATACAACTTAGAATGGCAAACAAGCTGACGGCCCACCTGATGGAAAGTGGTAACCGTCGCCTATAGACATGAGCAGTACCATGGACATAACAGAGCATTCCTACTGTTTCGCCCATGATACCCACCATGCGTTGCCATTCCTGAGGACTAAGATGTTATTCCTCTGTATCCAATAAATTCACGCCATATCCCACCCTTCAAACCGAAACACAGCCATGCAAACACAACTGCTTCACAGTTGAAACTGACGGTTGAAATGAATGGGAGTTACAATTTTTTTATCATATTTTAAATACATTTAAATACCTCTACTCTCTAAATATATAATCTATATATCTCTCTAAATAATCTACTCTAAATATAAGTACCTCTTCTCTAGCAATTTTCATATCATCTTTAACATCAGCAAATACCGTAGGTTGTACATAATATCCAATATTGCCGAAACGGTCACCACCAGCAATACATTTAGCACTACTTTTCTTCCCGGCGTCAATATAACTCATCACTTTATCGAACATATCTTTATCTATCTGTAATCATAAAAAGATGTACATACATACCATATTTGGGTATTAGTCTAAGTTACAATGTCTAAAAAAAGACCTGTTAGGCTTTATGTATAGAATATTATATACTAGATGTATCTCTTGACTTTATCCACGTGGAACAGTGTATGAAGTATTCTATGTGCTAAGTTAGGATACAATCTATTCATATACCAAACTTCACTAAATTCGTTTAATCGAATTCATTTTTTTACTCCCATTTCATAACATTTAATTTCATTCTGTTTAATTCCATTTCTTTTTATTTAATTTAAATTAATTCCGTTACATGCAAATTAAATAGAGCGGAGCACAAAATGTTATACGTACCAGGGGTCCTTGATCTACTTCTTTAAAAGGGTTCCCAACAGTTCTCTTTTTCGCTATTTCTGCAGCCTTAACAATGAATTCGTCGTAAATTCCAGATTGAACGTATATTCTTGTGCCAGCAACGCAGCATTGTCCAGCGTTAGTAAAAGTAGCATTGTGTGCAATTTTAACTGCATTTTCCACTGAATTTAAATGAAATAATATTTTATTTTGATATGCCTGTTTTATTTTCATAAGCGATAGGTATTAGAAGCTGATATAACAGATATTTTTTTTGTAAATATTGCAGAAATCTAAATAATTATAATAAAGAAAGATTGTTTTGATTGTAGTTGATTAACTCAAAAATATTTAATAGATTTCAAAAGTATTTATTTTTAATTTTGAACAAGACTTATGAGTACATAGCGTACATTAGCAGACAGATTATTATAATAAATCTAAATGTTGCAAGGGAGATTTCTTGTTGAATCATTTAACGTTCGTATGTAAAACAATATTAGATACGGATATTAATTGTAGGTTTGGTGTAAAATATGAATGTATTTATCTACAAAAAAACATGCAGATATTAATATAATCATCTCAGTTATTATCTGTTCACACCTGAACATAGGCCTCCCCCATGGACTGCCATAAGGAATGGTCCTGAGTCATTTGCAACTATTGTCTCCCTACAATGCATTTGATCTCGTAACTTTACCTGGTGTTTCTTTCTTCAATGCAGCTATGATTAACCACTGTTATTGTTAATCTATAATCAGCTACTTAATTGTAATACAAATTATTTATTATCATTAAGTGGTATGTATAATATATGTCTAGTCATCCACGATAATTTGTATAATAGAACCACTCAGATTTAAGTGTCAAACAACAGTATACAATAGGTATCTACTTACAATTAGCGTCATTGAAGACGATAAGCGGACTCTTGCCACCAAGTTCAAGGGTGACGCGTTTCAGATTCACAGCAGCAGCTGTTGACATTATAACGCGTCCCACCTTCGAAGATAAGATTTTTTTATCATACCCACATAATAAGTAACTATCTGAAGAGTTGACACTGTATTTATAGTAGACGAAACTGTAAAATAAATCTATGCATCCATTGTGTTGATACTTCTAAATGTATCAACACAATAAAGTCCATGAATATTTATATTCTTATACAACTATTTGTAATATATCTCTGAGGAAAATCGGTACTGATAGATATCATAAAAATCTTAGATACTTTAAAATGTAAAATTGTCAAATTCAATGAACTGGTTGCATAGATTTGATATAAACATCTTTTTCAAAGTGATGTGGGCCAGATCGTACCTAATGTGTTGAGTGTAAGTTATTGTAGTTCGTCCCCCCAGACATCCATAGACTGGTTTCTCAAAGCACGCGGTATACTTAAGGACCAGGTGTTTGTGTGGTATATAATATATTTATAAACAAATATTGGTTCAAATAAAAATAGAATGTTATTTTGATTCCTAAGCTATGAATATATTTTTATATTAGTTTATTTTGTATCATGGGATGATCAATTATTTGACCTAACTTGTTACTTATGTTTTAAAAGAGATCGGTACGTCATTTATTATGTTTATCGTTACTGCATAATTAATTGCTTAAGATAAAAATGACAGAAGCACAGATATTTATTTTAGGGCAGTTGACTAATAAAGAGACTGTATGCGAGGGTTGCGACTGCATACTGTCTCTCTCATTGACATTGCAGGCTTTACGAGGTCGATCAAATAGATAGTGTGGGGGGTAATATTGAAAATATTAAATTATGTTTGTACCTCGGTAGATCCTGTGAAAGCAACTTTGTCTATATCAGGATGATGAGTAATAGCAGATCCAGCAGTGTGGCCGTATCCTGGGATTACATTGACCACTCCTGGGGGAAAGCCTGCCTCTTTTATTAAAGCGGCAATAGCTAATGCAGTCAATGGTGTCTGCTCCGCGGGTTTCACTACCGTTGTACAACCTGACGTATGGTGAAATAAATTAAGTTCATTAATATCTTAAAGAATTGTTAAAAAAAATTATAAAACTAATACATACCTGCGGCTAATGCAGGTGAAATTTTCCATATCAGCAATGGAATAGGGTAGTTCCAAGGTAGAATTTGTCCGCAAACACCAACAGGCTCTTTCAATGTAAAACTCAAGACTTCGCCATCTAAAATAAAGTTACGAATTATGTACTATGAGGGTACATTTAATTATTTTGAGAGCATTCAAATTATACGAAGTACCTATATTTGACAGATTTTAAACATAAAAAGTAAGATATACTTCTTTTTTTATGAGAGGTAATACAAACGTCGGGGCAATAGTATGCTGGGTTTATATGATAGTGACTTTGATTATCAGTGATGCTTTTAAGTATCTAGCGAGACGCTGGGGATCTGTTATTGGCATTTGGAGACAATATTATACTGAATATTCTTAAGTAGTCCACGTAAAAGCAACAATGGGTCCAGAGGGAGTTTGTATAAAAGTTGTTTGCGCAGATTTTTTATTTTTTATTAAAGATACACTAACAATATGTTCACAATAATTAAACAGACTAGATATAATGCTATAAGTAAGCTTTAATGAAATGAACATATCAATCAGAGGCGTATACAATTTTCACAGATAAGTGGTAATTTATTCTAAGGTGACAATTATACAATTAGTGAACACTCAATTATTAATCTATACTATTAATAAGTTAAATAAATTGCATTAAAAAATTACAAAAGTCAAACTAATAATGTCATTAAACTAACATAGTTCTATATATGTATAATGTATGTTTACCTGCAGGAATAGTGTTGCCAAGAATTTTATCTGCTTTCCCAGCGTAGTATCTGATAACTTTAACACACCGAACAATATCAGCTTCTGCGTTTTTCACTGGTTTTCCGCAGTCTAAAGTTTCTAATTCTGCTAGATATTTAGCATCTCTTTCAATGAGATCCGCTAATTTTAAAAGAAGACGTCCTCTTTGGGACGCATCGAGGGTGCGCCATTCGGAGTAACGATGAAAAGCTTTTTTAGCTGCGATGACTGCCAGATCAACATCAGCCTTGAAAAAATTATCAAGTTAGATAAATGAACACTTTATTTACATCAAGAGATACACAAAAATAGTGACAATAGTAATAAAAAAATAAATAGTGTTTAAAAAAAAGAGCGATATATATAAAAAAATGTGTTACAGTAATGCAAAAAGGCGATATCTTAGTGAGTTGTTTGCACAACAAGCAAACCTCTGATTTTATGTTACTGCTTGAAAAAAAAAGTTTCCAAAAGCACGCGTAACGATACCGTTGTGTCTGATATATTTTGATAAATATACAACTGAAGATACAAATACAATTTATTCAATAACATTAGATAAAATTTTTCTTTATTTATATATTCTTCAGCAAAAGTCACATCTTTTAAATAGGAGACGACAATACTGTGTCGACAATGCCTATAGTGAATTCAATATCTTTTGGTGTGGTGTTACCGTTCCATATAAATTCCAAGACGCATCCTGATTTTTATGGCAGTAAGAAGCCACTAAGCGCACTAAGTATATATCAATACAAGAGCAAAAACTCAAAATAAATACTGTTTAAATGTAATTTATTATAAACTTAAATAAGTGAATAATTGATCTATTAAAAAATAATTAAAATTGAGTGTTTTGATTTACTAATCTCATTTAGAGAGTATTTTTATATTAATTTCGACTAAATTTGGTTATTAAAGTTTCTTTAAAATAGACTGACATGTCCATAATGCCTAGTCATAAGTTTACATAAATGAATTTTTGCAAATTATTATTATTGAATATATATATATATATATATATATATATATATATATATATATATATATATATATATATATATATATAATGTTATCGTTTATTAAAAAACAAAAAATCGAGAATTACCAGTCGTGACCATATATTAATTTTATACTTTGTTACGTCTTACCTTATCACCTTCAGCTACTTGGGCGATAATAGTCTCATCTTGTGGGTTAATAGTAGGGAAAGTCTTCTTGCTCACCGCATCCACCCATTCGTTGTTTATAAACAACTGTTATTGAATATTTATAAAACGGAATTAATTTAAATATTTAAGATTCGTATAGTACGAAGTATGGATAAGAAAGCCAATGTAACATTTTATCTGTGGGTAGGTAGTACAAACAAGCACATATAATAAAATTGTAATCAACGTTGTATGTACATAAGAGATACTCGTATTAATGAAAAACAGATATTAGGGGATTTAATACGTAGAAGAATAATAGAATTCAAAACAATTACTTTTAGAATCTTTGTCAGTTTATCTATATTATGTTTACTTCTTCTGAAGGTTAAACTTAAAATCTGGTGCGTTTTATCTTCATATACCGTCTAGATATGGTTTATTTCTTTGATTTTCCTACTTCGGAAATCCGTGAATAGGAATTTATAAGTAAAATCTAATATTTTAATTAATTTGTAAATTAGTTTTTTTTTATTTTTAATTTTCAAAAAAAAATGTTCAAATTAATAAAAATTTTAATTTAACTTATTTCAGATTTATATTTCTAAAAATAATAAACTACGTATATATTCGTAATATAATTACTGTATCCTTGTGATATCTACATACTCTAAATAATTTAAAATCGTTCATACCCGTATTATTATTTGACTCAAATTCATCATATAATATTTTTTTCCAATTTTAATTTGTTTAAAAAATCTATATAATTTGTGATAGAATTAATTTATAATTTATAACCCAAATATCTATAGATTGGAAAAATCATCATCAAAATCAGCAAAAATGACACGTAATATTAAAAAAGATAATTCAAAACCTCTTCAATTTTAAATAAAAATTAAATAAGTTAATAAAAATGTGGTATAGAAAATATTTCACCTACCTTAGTATATTTAATGTCCACTGCCATCTTTATTTAATTATTGCCTTGCAAATGAACTATCAGATGTCTTTCTCCTCAGTGCACTGAATGTATTATAATCAATTTCATCGAGTCAGTTAAAACGTTAGTTAATATTTCTTGAGGTGGTGGTAGGTCAAGGTATAGGTAATATCTATATTACCCACCTTTAGAAATATTAATAAAACTATAGCAGTATCTATATATTTTAGTTAAAATATTTGATATATTGTCCCAATTTCGGATATGTTAAATATGGGTTATCCATTATATGCAATTTTTTTCATGCAACTTAGAATGGCAAGCAAGCTGGCGGCCCACCTGATGGAAAGTAGTGACCGTCGCCTATATATATAACAGAGTATACTGTTTCGCCCATGATACTCCCCATGCGTTGCTATTCCTGAGAACTCAGGTGTTATTCCTCTGTACTCTGTGAATTCACTGCCATATCCCACCCTTCAAGCCTAAACTCAACTAATTCACAAACCACTTTTGTACAAAGTCTCCATCTAGTATTTTCCACCATTAACAGGGGTATCCAATATATAGATACTGGAGCGGTACCGATATTTCTCATTTATTTAATATCATATATTAGGTCCTTACATATGAAATTTGCGTTTTGTCGTACTGACCACTTTGATCTGAAATATCTTTTCTTTGGTTAAGAATCCCAAATTCAAATTTATAAATTCATTTAGCTGGTACACTTGAGTTTTGAAAACAGTTATTCATTTGTTTTGTTCCTCATTATTTTTTTCTTTGGCTTCGCTTATTACCGCACAATGGAAAACATGAAATATCGGTATATTTACGAGTATGAGTTCTACTGTGGCACCAGTGCTGCAGAAACAGCTCAAAGAATTAATGGTGTCACAAAAGAAAGCATGGTACGTTTTTGGTTTCAACGTTTCCGTTCTGGAAATTTCGACCTTCAGAACTAACCCCGTGGACGGCCAGAGACCAAAGTGGAAAATAAAGAATTAAAGGCTATAGTGGAAGTGGATCCATCACAAAGCACTTCAGAGATAGCTGCAGGCTTCGGGGTAAGTAATAAAACTGTATTAATCCACTTGAAGCAAATCGGGAAAGTAAAAATACTTGAACGATGGGTATCTCATGAATTGAGTGAATCGAACTTGCAAACACGCGTCCACTGCTGTGTTACTTTGCTCAACCAACATTTTAAATCGAATCATTACTTGTAATGAGAAGCGCATACTGTACGATAATCGGAAGCGCTCGTCGCAATTTCTGAACTCTGGAGACCCAGCCAAATCCTGTTCTAAACGAAAATTGATTTAGAAAAAGTGTGAGTGTTTGGTGGACTACCGCCGATGTCGTTCACTACAGCTTTCTAAAATCTGGCCAAACGATTACGGCAGATATCTATTGTCAGCAATTGCAAACCATGAAGGAAGAACTAGCTGCTAAAAAACCGAGATTGGTCAATCGCTCTAGGCCACTGCTGCTTCACGACAACGCAAGACCACACACTGCACAACAAACAAACCACTAAGTTAGATGAGCTACAATTGGAATGTCTGCGACATCCACCGTACTCCCCGGATCTTGCTCCAACAGATTACCATTTTTTCCGGAATTTGGACATATATAATATATTCCATATAGTTACCAAGTGTGTTTATTGATGAAAGAACATTAGAATATTCTTTTTATGATACTTAGACGGGCAAACAAGTTGACGAACTACATGAAGGAAAGTGATAGTTGTCATCTTTAAATATGATATATATTTTGGCCGTCACAGAATACATAGTGAATTACCCCTCATCCGTTACTAATCCTGAGAACTATGGTTTAATGCTTTCATACACTACATAACATCTTAGTCCTTGGGAAAGGAATTTTAAGCAATGGGGTCTAGAAGCCACATTGCTGTGTACTTTGTCAGGTCGAACTCCATGCGTTTCTCCCTGAAAACCATCATGGTAGATTTTTTAATTCATCATGTTTGCCATATATAATATTCATCTTGTTAACCTGCTTTCATTCTCACCTATTATCTCTCACTGATGTCCCGCACAGCATATACCGATAGCGCAGGTGGGGTTATTATTCCATTTTCACACAAAAAAAGTCTTCAAGATTGGCACTCTATTCTATAATATCCACGGTTTTCTTATTTACAGAGAATTTACCACTTTCCATTGAGAGAGCTCTTTATTTGTCTGCGTGAAAAACATGTATTATCTACAATATGTATGTATGTATGTACAAATTACAAAATATATTTATATTTACATCTACTTAATCTATTCTGTTCTTGTATTGTTTACCACACAAGAAACTAACTACAAACTACGAAGCATTTTTATCGTTTAATTAAAAATTATCATTTTTAAATATAATTGAAAGGTCACAAACCTCACATTGAATTGTTACAGATATTATTTCTCCTTGGTGTTATCTATAACACTAGCAAGGCAGAAATAAAAAAAATATGTTTGTATACTTTATATTTTGTATTTAGTGGAATCTTACAATGAAACCTTATAATTTTGGAGATCAATTAAAATTCGAATTTTATAAAATGGGCAATGGTTAGCTAGGCGGTTTGAGAAATTTTGAAGTCGCATAATAATTTTAAAATAATTTCCAATTTTTAAACTCGGTTTGAATAAAGTCAGACATTTTAAATCGCAACCCAGTGTGGTTAAAAAACCTCTTTATGCCATTCATAATATGATTAATTATGCATTTGCATGTAACATGACTGGGTTCAATACCCGTAGATGTCTAAGAAGGTGTAATATCTCAAAATATAGATACAGCTTAAGGAGATAATCAATAAAAAAAAATAGAGCGTGATATTTTTTAATGGATTTTAATGAAATGGTAACCCCTAACGCTACACTTGCTCACGGTTTACGCTGGCCCATCGTGATAAATACACATGCAATTAATGGTTTCCAGGGGTGACCATGTGTAGGTCGATATGACAGGGTATATTGCTAGCAATGGAACTGATAGTCCGCATTACAAACAATCCCTTTCCCCCAGCCTGTGATATGGGTAGCATATATTTATCAGCGGGCTGTAATAAAATTGTACTATGATGTATGAGTATTTATATTGCTTCATAATAATTAAGGGATAACAAAAAAGAACAGTAATATATGTATAATATGTATATTATTATTTTATAATAATTAATATAATAATTGTGTCATAAATGCAGTAGCGATACTTCATATTCCGTGATGTTAGTGAGATTGTTTATTACTGTAGAAACGGCTTCTTTGGCAGACTTATCGTGACAGTCTTGTTTTCTAAATATTGCTGGATACCTTCTTCGCCCCTGTAATAACAAAAATATGAACACCTATATATATCATATGTTTAAAATATTATGACAAATTATAATAGTGCAGGGATAAGGCAAGGGATAAATGTTAGTAATGGGGATTAAGCATCTCTATTGTTAGCAATACACTCTGTCAGTCAACTTTCACACGATTCCTCCTGGAAACTATCATGGATAATTCTTGTACAATTCATCACGATGAGCTAACTTGTTTTCATCCTCTCTCATCTGTCACTGGTGTCAAGATATTTTTTATGTATATATTTTTTATGTAACTTCAAATTTTAAGATTAGAAACTTATAAGAGTTGTTTATATATAAGTTGAATCTTTTAAAATAAATAATTATTCTAAGCTGATGCGATAAAGATAACTTAAGATTATGTCACACAAGAAAAAATAAAATAAATTCAATAATACTCATAAAATCAATGTATAGTCCTTGATATAAGAATAAATCCAATCGATTGCATAATAATTATTAATAATAACAATGAACTCTTTATTGCGCACAAAAGACATTTATATAATAAGTATTTATACAGTTGGTGCATATACAAAAGGTGGCCTTATTGCTCAAAGCAATCTTACAGACCATCTGGCATAAATAATAAATAACTACAGAAAGAAAGGTAGGATCTTTTTGTATTTATTTACATTTTAAATGAACATTCTTTATATTTGTATAGATCTCTTTTATACATAAACATACATATATAATATATATAATAGCACATAAACATAAATATATTAAATAGATCAAGTTGAGTAACACGTAGTAAACATCAAGGCAATTTAGAAAGATGGTAATGAGATTTTACCTGCCTCTTAAACGAAGCAAGAGATTGCGTTGATCTAATGTAATGGGTTAAGGAATTCTTAAGTTGATTATGGAAATCAGAGATGTGGTCATGTTCGCAACGATTAAATATAAACCGTGTACAAATATTTTGAAGTCGCTCTTATTATCATAACAAGAATTGGCGTATTATTCTATTAAACGATTCAAAATAAGTTAGGATATTGCGTTAATGAATAGCTTAAGAATAAATAATCCTATAGTTCTTATTCTTAGAACCATTTTAAAGGTGTAATGTATAACTATCAATTACTAAGATGTTATTGCAATTGATAAGGAGATTGCCATTGGTTAGTCACTGATATTTTATAAGGCTACATAGTTTTACATAATGGTATTCTATTAATTCATATTGAGGTAAAATTATAAAGCTTTTACATTGTCGGGCTTGGTAATGAATATTTTTAATTTGATTATTATGAAAGCTACACGAAACATGTTATTTCTCTTTTCTGTAGGATTTTCTATAGACCCTTTTCATCAAATGTTTACATCAGATATTTTTATACCACTTGCAATGCCACATACGCTGACGGGATATGGTAACTGTTGACTAAAGATTTTACACATATATTTTCGTATATTTTTTTAACGTTTATTTAATATACTTACATTTCACGTCCGAGACCAGATTGTTTGAATCCTCCAAATGGTGTCTGAGCAACAACGTGTTCATATAAGTTAATCCTGTAAAGGAGATAAGATAAATGTAAACAAAAATAGTTACTTTTATTTTAAAATTTGTGTACAAGTAAAACCTATATGAATTTTATGTTTAGAGAACATTCTTTATTTAATAAATTGATTTTATAAATATTATCAGATTTTACATTAATATAAATGTGAAAGTTTGTAATTTTTTTTTGTATGTTTGTTACTTAATCACGCTTAAACGCCTTAAGACTAATAGATTAGAATGATATTTAGTGAACGGGTATATAATTAAGTACAAAGGATACCTTATATACTAATCCACATGGGCAAACCCGGGAAATAGCTAGTAAAATAAAAGATAAATTAATAATGATTCGGATGTTTATATATTACTGTATTTTAATATAAAATGACTAACCAGGTAGAACCAGCTCGCACGTGTTTGACGAATGTAAGGGCAGCCGTGATATCATTGGTGACGATTCCAGCTCCAAGTCCGTAGTCAGTGTCATTAGCACGATCGATCATTTCCTCCAAAGTATCGAATTTCAAAATGCTTTGAACTGGGCCGAAGATCTGAGAGAATTAAATAATATTAAACAATACGTTGCATCCAATAATTAGATGTATTACGATGACGTACCTATTGGTTATAAATAAAGATTCTTATTTTTTATGTAACTTGGAATAGTAAATAAGTTGACGCCCATCTGATGGGAATTGGTAACCATCACTTATAGACATGAAAAGCACCATAGACATCTTTATATGTTAAGTTAGAAAAAAACAGAATTTTTCACTAAGTCTTTCTAAGATAATTCAAAATTGGAGTACAAAAGTATAATGTAGGCAGGTATTAACGTCAATTTTATATGAGTCCTTGCCGTTACCTCTTCCCTAGCGATCTTCATATCGTCTTTTACATCAGCAAAGACAGTTGGCTGGATGTAGTATCCAACTTGACCAATGCGACCACCGCCCACTACGCATTTAGCACCAGCTTTCTTTCCAGCATCAATGTAGCCCATTACTTTGTCGAACATATCTTGATCGATCTAAAAATTATGAAGATGTATTTATATTTAGTGTATGATGTGTATATATACGATAACAAATCTCTTATATTTAATTTATATATAAATTTTTGACATTTATGTACATTATTAATTTTCATTATTAATGGTAAATTTCAGTGTACTATTAGAGCCTCTCTAGATTTTAAATGATAACAATGATAAGGAATTCTAACCTGGGGTCCTTGGTCTACGTTTTCAAAGGGATTTCCAACGCTTCTTTTTCTAGCAATTTCGGCAGCTTTCTCCACAAATTTGTCGTAAATACCAGACTGAACGTATGTTCTTGTACCAGCGACACAGCATTGTCCGCCGTTGGAGAATGCAGCATTGTGAGCAAGTATAGCTGCCTTCTCGACTGAAATTATAGTTAAAGTTTATATTATTATTCTCTTCTTGACATTATTAGGTTATTCTGGTAATGAGAGTAGACAATTTTTATAGTTTATTATTATATATAGTCAGTTATTATTAGCTAATTATCACGATACTATTATGTGACTTTTTTTGTTGAATGAACTTAAGATCTTTTTCAAATCGATCTAAATTTTGGACTTTTTCATTAATGAGATATTAAAGTTTTTTTTTTACATGAAATTTTCTAGGGTTTCTAATATTAGGGGAAGTATATTTACCATCAGCATCATTACAGATGACTAGAGGACTCTTGCCTCCCAGTTCAAGAGTAATGCGTTTCAGGTTAACAGCGGCTGCTGCCGACATGATAATACGACCAACCTGAAACAATAGTTTTCTGTATTTAAAATATATTTTTTACTTGAATTTTATTAAAATTCATAAAAAAAGAATATGCTTAATTTGGTACATTATTACTCTTGAAATGATACTATATTCTGATTTTCACCTCTGTGGAACCAGTAAAGGCGACTTTGTCGACATCCGGGTGGTGGGTAATAGCTGCTCCGGCTGTAGGACCATAACCAGGCACGACATTAACCACGCCTGCTGGTACACCGGCTTCCTTAATCAAGGCGGCCAGAGCTAAAGCCGTTAGAGGACTTTGTTCTGCAGGTTTTATAACTGTTGTGCAACCTGATGGATAAATAGGGATTTTTTATTTAATAGGAATTATACAAGATTTATCATTATCACTGTAACTACCATTTCATTAATGAAGACGGGTCTTCCCTTAAAAGAAGAGAATACTAACTTCTTACCATGCTAGACTGGTGGCTTACTTCAAAGTTTTATATCAAGTTTTTCTTTGCCTAGACATTTTGCGAATAAGAACAAGTAGGGAAACTTTGGTACAATCCTTATTCCATCAAAATATGGAGTATGGACATTTATTTATAAATGATTAGCTGTAAGATCACGGCCTTTATATTAATCTATAATCTGTATGTTCATCAAATTTTAATCAAAAGGATTCTGCTGTTTACGCGTGGCTGTGTAAAAAACATCCGATTTTTTTTGTATATTTATTTACATAATATTAGAAAGATGAGAGAAAAGTAAAAAAAAAAATTGCTCATGACTTGAATCTCTAATAAAGTAGACAGACGCAATGGTCTACTATTGCCATAACACCCAGAAAAAACAACTCTCTTATAAGATTATTTACCTGTGGCCAGTACAGGGGCAACTTTCCATATAAACATTGGGATAGGATAGTTCCATGGCAAGATTTGACCGCAAACACCAACTGGTTCTTTCAAAGTAAAAGTCAATACTTCACCATCTAAAACAATTGATATAGAATTATATTTACAAATAAGAGTTGAAAAATTACATTTTTAATTGTTATTTATTGACATAATAGTTGTAAAATAGATTATAGTTGTATTATATAGAATTAATAACCTTGTAATGAATGTGTAGGTAAATAAAATACTTTGAAACAGCGCTTATTATATAATTACACTGTAACAGCGTTTATAATACCATTTGGAATCTTAACAAATATTTTATTTATCATCTAAAAATATGACGGTATTAGAGTCACAATATTCACATTAGGTACCCTTCATATAATTCTCATATCAATTTCTAATTTTATCCAATTGTATGCATATTATGTTTTTAAGTTGGACTCTAACGTAATTTGTTTGAAACCCATTATAAATTATGAGTGTCAGTGATTTCAATCAAGCTAGTTTTTATCAGTGGCTTAGTTCAATTTACCCTCATTTGAATCTATTTATTTGTATGTCATTTGTGTGAATTTAAGGTATTTCTATATCTATTATATTTTATTAAAGTCAATTTACTAATTTAACTGCAAAGTCATGCAGAGCAAATGTTATATTAATTGATAATATTAGAGTAAAACAATTACCTGCTGGAATTGTATTGCCAAGGATCTTATCCGCTTTACCAGCGTAATATCTAACAACACCAGCCGACCAAAGAATTTCATTCTCAGCATTTTTAACCGGTTTTCCACAATCCAGAGTCTCTAATTGTGCTAGATATTTCACGTCTCTTTCCATAAGATCAGCCAGTTTAAGGAGCAAGCGACCTCTTTGGGAGGCATCGAGGGTACGCCATTCGGAGTATCGGTGGAAAGCTTTTTTAGCGGCACTTACCGCTTTGTCAATGTCCGCCTAGAAAAGTATTAATTTTGAATGATTTGATTATATCGACAGATAAATATAAAAAGTATGTTTCTAGAAAAGTATGACACAAAAATGTATAAAAAAATGCTTTTACGGAATATATAAAACAAACTTGGTGTGGAATTTGAAATATTATAACTAAACTAAAGAATTAAATGATTCTTTTTGAATAATAAATTACTAGTTTAAGGGATATTTTAAAATAGTTTCAAATATGAAGTTGTAATTTGTGTTATATATACGTTACTTGAAAACTTGCTATTGAAAAAAAAATTGCTTGAAAAGTGCGGAATTTTCTATACCTTGTCTCCTTCGGCTACTTGTGTGATCACGGTCTCATCCTGAGGGTTAATGGTCGGAAATGTTTTCTTGCTGACAGCGTCCACCCACTCGTTGTTGATGAACAACTTAAATATAAATACATAATTAATGAGTCTACTGTAGACTAACATTAATTAATATAAGGAAATAACAATTTAATATGACCTTAAATTAATATATGTAGTTTTTGCTGTGTAAACTTGGATATTAATAACTATAAAATGAGTGAGAACAATTTTATTTTAATACATATTTTTATTAGTATTACCACAGATTATACAATATTTTTAAAGAAGTATTGTCTACTAATACAAAGTTATTTCAACATTTGCCATCAGTCTCTTAGTGTAAAAATAATTAAAAAACTTTAAATATTTTACTACTAATTTTGATAGACACAGATCAACATCTTCATAAACGACGACGATTTTTATAAATGAAAACTGTCATCTTTACTGATTATATTATAGATACAGTTATATAGTTGCCATGATATTTATCATACAATGAAATCACTATTTTAAAACGAGATTGAAACAATTTTATATAGGAACTACTAGAAAGATTTTTTTTATTTTAGAAACTAGTAAACAACAGATACAAAGCGATTATCATTTCTTTTTATATTGCGTTTATTTATTTCAGATATTATTATTGCATGAACGTATTATCTTATCTTACTTCTTACTAATATCATAAAATTCTAACTAGATGATGTCTGTACATGGAAGGTGTTTAAGAAAAATTTATATGAATGGTCTTAACAAGAGCGAAAACAATATTATTTAGGAATTTTCTCTGTTTGTCTGGCTTTGTGTTTGTTCCGGCATCACGCATAAAATACTGTAAAAGATTAGATACAATGTTCACTGTTGTATTCCTAAAGGTCTAACTTTACAGCTGATGTTTTCATATACGCTCTCTAGAAGTAGTCTAATTCACGGGTTTTCATACTTCTGAAATCCATGCGTACGAAGTAACGGACAAAAAGTTAGTCCATCTAAGTATTTTTTATTTCATGAGAGTGTACTGCTATTTCTCGAATTAATTGGTTTGATAATGTTGTTTATTCTTGCCAAGTTATTTTTAAATTAAAATTTCCACACGATTCTACATTCAGTTAGTCAAAATAAAGTGAAAAACAAAACATACGTGTAGATAAAAGTTATAATAATACCCAAATCTGATCCTGTCGTATAGGTTTGTCTATATGTTTCGTCTATAGTAATAATAATTTTATTTGCAATGATAATAGGTATAAAACATTTGATTTTATAAATTAAAAGTACCTTACAAATTCTACTTAGATCAAGCGTACATATATTGAAAACAAAAATTACAATAGTATATTTATCTAAATACCTATTTATTGTGGCGTTGTGTAAGCTATCTACAATACTGGTATTTTTCTAATACTGTACATATTTTAGTTGGCTGATTAAAAAAAGTAATAATTGTCACTTATATATGTATAAACAGCATCAAGAATACCATAGATGTGTCTCCATGATGACCTTGACAGTGTTGTCATGGCATGTCATGCGATAATGGAATGGTAACCCCGCCTGCGCTATCGGTATATGTTGGTCGGATACCAGTGAGAGATGATGAGGACGAAATAGGTCAGTTGTTCGATAGTAACAAATTCATAAAGAAGTATCCAAAAAAATTAAAGGGGGGGGGACTGCATGGAAGTCGTCTTGATACAATATATTGCTGACATTCAGGCTATTAAATCTCCTTTACTAACAATCCCTTTCCACCATTCTTCAATCATTACCATTACTGAGGACTATGGTATTGTCTCTGTACCTTGTAATTTTACTGTTAAATCGCACTCTTCAAATTCTTTTTTGTGAGTACATAAAACGAATAAGCGAACATCTTTATCCATTTTAAATATTATGTATAATAAATATATACTAAGAAACAAATTTACTTTCATATATATAACGAAAATAAAGACGTACACAAAGCAACAGTGGGAATTTTGTGATGGTATACAATTTAAATGGCTTGATTGTCCAACTACCAATGATATTGTGCTGCAGCTTGTGGGCATTAATCTATTGTAGCAATTGAAACGAATCAACAATACGCGGGCTTTTATTAGGTACTTTGATACAAGTATGGTCAACCATAGAAATTTTATTTGGTGATCTGTTCATTAGGTGTAACCATCTTATTGTTAAAAGTTTCGAAAGTATACATTATATTTTAATGTAATAAATACCGGTTTAAATTAATTATAATTTGGTCTAGAAAGCTAGACTAGTTACGGGGCCATTTGGGACCCTTAATCTTGAGCGGCGGTGAAGCGAGCACGAAATTATCTGCGTGCCGGTAGTAATATAACCAGTAATTATTACATTAAAATATAGGTGTAACCAATTTCTAGGTCCAAGTCAACATGAATAACATCTTAGAAAATACAGTAGCTCTCATAATTTGCTGTTCTTCTGATGAGTAAAGTACGAATACAAGTAATGCATCGGCTATTTTACCATATATAATATAATATCAATATGTTGCATTCACATAAGGAATTCTATTTACATAATATGCATAATAACTTGACAAATCATCGTCTAACTATGTAAAATGGTGGCCAATCAAATGCTTTATACAGAAGTCTACTGCAATCTGAATAACAGTCATTAGTATAGGTATCATGTCCATAGCATTAATTTATGTACGGAAGTTGAAATGTCACTCTGCATGGTCTGATTACAGCGTAACATATGTACCTCATTTAAGTGTTACTTGTTCTGAACAATGGTGTTGATATGATGTTGATATTGTGTTGGATTATATGGTTAACGATTTTTCTTTATAGGTATTACGAGTATATATTTATAAAAGCTAATACAATAAGGAAAATAATGTATTAATTATAAAAATATACCTTTTCAAGAATACCTAATTGCGAAGTGCGTATAGTTTCATATACCTATTTTAATATTATTTCTTTGGATTTATTAATATAAATATTAAGCGCATTTGAAGGTCAATACCTACCTATAATATTTATATAAAAAAATATCAAGTAAATACTTATCTATTTACATTATTTTGTATTTCTTATTTAAAAAAAATAATAGTATATTGAGTTTTGTTAGTGAAAAAGGAGTTTTAATTAATACTGTATATTTATTTAAAGTTAAACGACATTTAAAAATAAATGTAGTAAATACATTTGAGAATGACTAGAAATTGTTAAAAAATGGTCAATAACAATCAATAAAATATTTCATCGTGATATAGATTTTATGTCGTATCGACAAACTATCATTTATCAAGAGTGATAAACGATAATTAAGAAGTTAAATAAGATTTTGCGTAATATATTTATTTATTACGAAATATTTATTGATAAGAAATTTATACATACATATAATATATACACATTACTAGCTTTTCTCAGCAACTTATACGCTAGGTTTTAAACTAACCAAATATGAGTAGATGGTATATTAAGATAAAACGTACTCCAGACTAAATCACTAGTTTTACACTTGAATTTAATATTCTTATCAATCCGATCTATTTTCCATAACAATTTTATACTATACTCATGAAACAACAATTAGGAATTAGGTTAGAATTGGGATTGGTTTACAATAGTTTGTATTGGCAAGTTATACTAATATGCATCTCTCAAAATAATATGGAACTATTATGTAGCACTTCGAGAGTGCGAAATGTGTTGCGAAATTCCAATATTCTATTGCAATCTATTTTAAAAGCATCCCCACAAACATTTAATTTGGATCAGTAGTAAAAAATTATACTAAAAAAATTCTAAAAGTTACTGTTTTGGCTTTTATTGCAGTACATATATTATCTTGTTACAATTTTATTATATGTATATATGTTTTTATTTGTTTATAAAATACAAAAAGGTATATTTGCTTATAGATTTCAGATATGTGCCTACATAATATTTACTTATGTAAATGAATAAATATATTTTATAGGTAACTATAGCAATATTGGTTTTATAGACACATAAATCTTTACATGATTATATAATATAATACCATTTGTTATACGATGTCTGTGATATATGCGGCACCAAAGAGTATAAAAATAAATATCATAATATAAGTAAATGAATTTACAGTGTATGATGGAAAATGTGAATAATATTTTATGATAACTACTGAATTTTTATGTATTACAATACAATACAATACTTATTCTTTTACAAAATAAACATTATAAAAAATGAGAAATGCTCACTCACCTTGGTGTATTTAATTTCAACTCTAGTCATTTTTGCTTGGACTATTCTCGACACGTCTATACCGACTCGATATCTCCCGCCGAGTGTGTGTTTCTCGGCGTTCCATGTTGAGTATATCAAATTTCTACTCTATGGTATAAACACATGTTCTAAAATTGATAATATTTGGGTAACAACAATGATTACATCGCGTCACGTAGACGCGGCGACGTCCGCCGCATTAAGATCAAAAGGTGATATTGTTTTTGCAGAAATTGTTTGATTGGGTATGAAATTTAAATGGTAATTGTCCTATATATTCAGATAGGCGGAATAGGAATATAAATTCAATTTTGACAATAGTTTAAATGACAAACAAGCGACGCTTGGCCGAGCGTGTTTTAATATAAGAACAATGATTTGAATTCAAAACTTCGGAACCAAAAACTACCTTATTATAAAAATATCGTCTACTTGGATAATTTCAGTCGTGTTACTATCGTGACGATGTCGTATTTGCGTAGCTATGTTCTTTTGAAGGGTGATATCATATGGCGGTGAAATCGGCGTCACAGTATATTTTTTTTGATGGATGAAAATGGTATGGTAACCCCGCCTGCGTTAACGGGATACGCTGGCGGAGCACCAGTGAAGGGTGATAGATGAGAATAAAAACAGGCCAGTTAGCCCATCATGATGAATTCATCAGGAATTAACCATGATAGTTTCCAGAGAAAACCGCGGGGAGGTCGACCTGGTTGGGTATATTGCTAGCAATAGGATTCTCAGTCTCCATTACTAACAATCCCTTTCCCCCAGTCACAGTATATTCTGTGATGTTCATGTTGCTCTTTATGTCTGTACATGACGATTATCGCTTTCCATCAGGTGGACGTTAATTCGTTTGCTATTCTAAAGTGCATAAAAAATCTTATAACCAGATCTTACAAATTAGATTATATTTCTTAGTATAAGAAAATTTTATATACCATATATATATTTGTACATACTTATATATATCATGATTACTATTTCAAGAATAACAAATTACAGTAATAAAAATAATATCCATATATCTATACATATAACTAGACTTAATTTTATATATCGATCATAAAGAAGTTCCAATAATATATACAAACTAAGAGTTCTGAACTAACAATGTGGTTAATATAGAAGACACGTTTATCATCAATGGTATTTTTTGGGTTGGCGACTGATTTGTGTGTATTTAAAAAAAATATTTTGTTATCTTATCATAACCAAGCGCTAAATGAATAGCAGAAATAACTGAAAGTCATTTTGTCATTTAAAATAATTACACCTATGAGTAGTGGTTACACATACGAATACAAAGTTTGACTAACTGTGTTCGCGGCTTTGTCTGCATAATCAAGATAAAAGTAATCCTTCTTTATAATAAGTACTATATGTATGTAATAAACATTTGTACTCTAATTGTAATGTTAAGAGGCCAAGAAGTAACAAGTGCATAATGTTAGTCGATCATGCACGGACTTTTTTTTTATACAACTTAGAATGGCAAACATGTTGACGGCCCACCTAATGGAAAGTGGTAACCGTCGCCTATAGACATGAGCAGTACCATGGACATAACAGAGTATATTGTTTCGCCCATGATACCCCCTATGCGTAGGAACAGCATTCCTGAGGTCTCAGGTGTTATTCCTCTGTACCCAGTAAATTCACGTCATATCCCACCCTTCAAACCGAAACACAGCCATGCAACACAACTGCTTCACGGTTGAAACACGAATGGGACAGAGGTACCCAAGCAATCGACTTTTGTGCAAAGTTTTGTGCAAAGGTAAATTAAATTAATTAATCCCTCTGGTTAATTTTAGACGTAGCATATTTTAATGTCCTACCATATCAGCCGTTCACTATCTACTGGTTAACATAGGCCTCCCCCTTGGGAAGTTTTGCCAATAGTTACTACGCTTGGCACACAGTTTGCCAACCGCAATTAGGTTTTGATGGTGTTTTCAAAGGGGCAGTGCTGCTAATTTCCTTAGTGACCTCTTACGACACCTTACACTTAATGTTAACAGACATTTAAAAGATTAGCTGTCGATTTTTTTGCGAGTTCTTCTTAGCAAATACTTTTTTACATGCAAAAGAACTGTTTACTTGCACCCATAGCAGTTCGTGTGGAATTCCAAAAGATCAATATTTTATTCATATTTTAAATTCACGATCGGGACATAACGCGACGCGATTACAGGTAAATAGTATCTACCTTGTTTTTATATATTTTTGTAAGGCCGCCTTTTGTATCATTTCTCATTAATATTTACTGTATTTGTTATTGAACTAGCCGTTTCCCGTGGCGTTGCTCGCTTCTAACTATGTAGTTCCCGTATATCATTCCCAGTGGAACTTTTCATGAATCCGCTCTTATATTGTATTACACACCTAATACCTTCATAAAGTTTCAGCCAATTCAACTGATTGGTTATTTTATAGCATTTTATATCTGTTTCTTTTGATTAATATAACTTTTTTATTTATGAACCGATTGAAATAAAACATGTTAAATGAAGTAAACCACAACGCATTAGTGAAATCGGTTAAGCTGTTTCTGAGAATAGCGCGCAAAAACTTACAGACAAACAGACAAAAATTCTAAAAATCGTTGTTTCGGGTTCTATTGCGTTTATAAAGCCCCCTACAATAGTTTTTTTTTATATATTTCTATGTACAGACAGCGACCAGTTACGATTTTATTATTTGTATTGATTGATGATGTGTAAACAAGGCGAAAGTTTATAATTAATGATTATGTCTCACAAAAAAAAGCAACTTCAATTGTGACAAAACAAATTATTTTGATCTAGAAACTAAACTACTGAATCTATTTTTATAAAATTTCTATGGAACCAATCTATAAGGATATATATATATATATATCCTATCAGAAAATAAAAGAATTTTCGAAATCGGTTTAGAACCGACAGAGTTATGAGGTACAGAGGAATAACACCTGAGTCCTCAGGAATGGCAACGTATCATGGGCGAAATAGTATACTCTGTTATGTCCATGGTACTGCTCATGTCTATAGGCGACGGCTACCACTTTCCATCAGGTGGGCCGTCAGCTTGTTTGCCATTCTAAGATGTATAAAAAAAGGCCTGTAAATAAAAAGGGTATACGGTGTTTTCGGAGAAAGTATTATGCGAAAATAAAATTCATCTCCAACATTCAATGTTATTTGGAGTATTATCTATTTTTATACGATGATTCCAGACATTATTTTCGTCTAATTTTATCTGTTTTCTATTTTTGTGATTAGTTTTTTAAACACATGTTATGAAGGTAAAAAGTGAAGTAAATACATTCACATAATAAGTATAAGATAAAAGAACTGTCTCGTCATTATTTACGGATAAAAACATTCGATGTTTGTTTCATTACTTGTTGATAATTGTTAAAGATAACCTTAAAGTTGTGCGGGGTATCAATGTGAAGTTAAATTTAGTTATAACTGTAGTGCCGTTATAATTTATTGGTTGCTGTCTATTATAGCTATAGACATTTATTTATATTTATACATTATATATAATAATGTAGATAGTAAATATCCTGATAGGTAGACACGATGTGCTGATTCTACTAATATTACTAACTAACTTAAAGCCTAGTAATTTATTTAGTTATATTTTTGCACAGATTAGAAAGTGTCTACAGGGCGGACTTAATGCCGAATGGCATTCTCTACTACTCAAACATTACGATAAACAGGGAGAGTAAATGGCGGTGCATAAATAAAAAAAAAATTTACTATTTATTTTACTATTTATACTTAACAAGTTTCTGTACATTCTACACTTGGATATTTAATTTTTTATCATAGAAAGAGTTCTGAGTCTTGATTCAACATATGTTTTAATAGTAGGTGGTTAGAAATGAATGTCATGACAGACTAATTTTTATTATGATTATTAAAATTGGGTCAGATTTTGTAAAGAAAAATAAAGGAAATGAAACCCCCCTCCTTTCGAGAGTTGCATAAAAAGTTATGTAGTATATTTAAAAGTTACCATCAAGCTCTTGCTTGTTTACTTTTTCCCTATAGAACCTGAGGTGGAGACAACACAATTTTAACTTTTTTTTATTAGGTCTTGATCCAGCCCGTCCTCTCATCAATGCGTACGGTTCCAAACTGTTCCGTCTGGGGAGAGACGATGCTCACGTTGTTCAAGTATTACATACAAATGCTGGATTCCTAGGAGAAAGCGGTCAAGTAGGCCATGCTGACTTTTGCTTTAACGGAGGCAGATTACAGCCAGGTTGTAAAGGACATTTGATGCGTAAGTAATTTTTTAAATTCTTTTTAGTCCAACTATTTCCCTATTGATAAAAAAAAATAACAAATCATATTATTTCTAAAAACGGTCATGGCATCATCCTCTGTTACTATTTATTCAAATATGCTCGGCAGCTTATTTGCCACGCCAAATGTGGTAAGAAAGGTTTTTTGATGAGAGAAAATGGAATGGTAACCCCGCCTGCGCTAACAGGATTCGCTGGTGGGGCACCAGTGAAGGGTGATAGATGGAAATGAAAATAGGCTAGTTAGCCTATCATGATGAATTCATTAGGAATTAACCATTATAGTTTCCAGGAGGAACCGCGAGGAGGTCGACCTGGTTAGGTATATTGTTAGCAATAGGATTCTCAGTCTCCATTACTAACAATCCCTTTCCCCCCGGTAAGAAAGGTACAACCAGTGTGATAAGAAATGAATTATGTACGTGAATAAGTGCGAGGAAGACCTAGAAAGAAATGAATTGATTAGCAAGGGAGTGACTAGTTAATTGACTAAAATAGTTGACAATGGAAAAAGTAAACATGTTATGCTGACCCAAATTGATATGAGATAAGTGCAGGAAGAAGAAGAAATTAACGGCTTACCTGATGAAAGTGGTAATTGTCGCCTATAAACATGAACAGTATCTGCCTTTGAATCCTGTAATTGTTGTTTTATTTTCTATTTATATTTTGTAAGTTTTATTGACGACCTCCTTACCTTATTATTTTAGGTATATCCCGTTGTAGTCACTTCAAGAGCTCTTGCTACTTCGCGGCGAGTATTCGACGGCGCCTTCGTATGGTGGCAGTGCCTTGTGACACCACATGTCCAAAAGAGAGTGGCCGTTGGGGTATCAAGTTCGATAGACGAGCGGTGCGAATAGGTGAAGATACACCAGAGTCGTGAGTATTCAATATCATCATTATCATTCCACCCCATCATTGCCAATCCTAAATATGAAATTCCATAAAATGACATAAATAATGGTAATGGGATTTAAAAAAGTTAGTATAATATTACTAACTTTTACCTGCGGCTTCGTACGTATTACCGAGATATGTTCATAGAGCAGGAGTAAAGTAGCCTATAATCGTATTCAGAGTTCCATCTATTTCTGTATCAAAAGTAATTATTATCGGTCAAGCGGTTTAGACGTGAAAGCGTAATAAACAAACTCACTTTCGCGTTTATAATATCAGTCAAGGGTTATAAAATAATAAATATTTTCAAATAATATCAGTTTTCCGGTCAAACAAAACAAACATTTGTATGATGACCAACGTAAATTATATCTATATATAACATTTGAAATATTTTTACCTCTAACGTATGGAAACCTTGGTTTTAAGTATCTTATAGTACCTTTTTAGTACCTTATTTGGCTTTGGTAATAAAGTCACATTTAAGTCTTTGATCTTGGTTTAAATCTTGACTAATAATGATTGTATATATGTAATGTGTATGTTTTATGAAAAATAATGTTTTTCTTTTTTTATTAGATACATTTCTTGCGTCAAACAGGTACCGTAATTTTTCTTGGGTAGACCCGAAGTTTGTCTGCAAGAGATTGCTTAAGCGATAAGATTGCCTTTTGTACTCTATTAATGTAAATATTTATCTTTGTATTATTTTTAAAGTGGTGCAATAAAGTGTAAATAAATAAATGAACTGGTCCTGAATTAGACAGAAAATCAAATTGATCTTTTGTGAAAATAATGCGGGTTTAATAGGTACTTCGTCAGTGGTAACACAGAATTTATACCATATTTTAAGGTTCAGTAGATTTACATAATCATAGCATAATACACTAAATAGATTTTTTGTTTCAGTTCCCGAGGGATGTACTGCGTGAGCGTAGACCAGGAGGAAGACTGTCCTTTTGATTAATACAAATAAAATAATTATTTAATTATGATTAATTTTTTTAAGATAAATTATTGTTTTACGAGTATCTAAATTAAATTAAAATAGTGTCATTTGTAATATATTTTTAATAAAAGCTTTAATCTTAAATTTTTTGTTCAGTAACTGCATAATAAATCCAGATAGAACTCTTTTTTCCCCTTTAATGGAATTTATGTGTCGTATTGAAACTATAAATTATTAATATCATTTCAAATAGCATTGTAAATATAAATAAATAAGAATCAGAATTATGGAATTATTAAATTTCAATTAATTAGCTCTTACAATAAATTTTTGGTGACTTCGATTTTAAATAGGTTTGACCAGAAGAATGTATGCGAGTCAACAAATATACGGGTTTGTAATATTTACTTAACAATAGATTTATACCACTATATACATTAAGTACTTGTTGTGTTTTTTGGGTAAAATTTCATGTGAAAGACACCACAGAACAAATTACAATTGTTGTTGTTAAAAGCTGATTTGAATGTCAAATTTCCGTATAAGAATGACCCCCCATAGTAATTTTGAGCAGCTTTTTCAATATCCACTTCAAATGCGTAGTGTCCCTGAAAAATTAAAAATTGTTGTTAGTAATGTAATTAAAAAGGACTGGTTTTATATGTTAAAAAAAAAAAAACTATTTTTTTCTTAAACAGATACTGGCACTCTGAGTATGACTTTTAGTGTAAAGAATTAGATGAAGTAATTAATGATTTTGCTGCACTGCGGATTCGATTTAAAAGTTATGAAAGTTAAATCTTTTAAAGCAGGTATCATAAAATTTTATTTTGAAAATCCCTCTTCATTGAGCCAATTGTAAATATATGTATTTATTATGTATACATGTATGTGTATGTAGGAGTGTATATATGTATGTGTATGTATGTATATATATATATATGTATATGTATGTGTGTATATGTGTATATATGTATGTGTATGTGAAAAAATAATTATTATAATCGATTTAAAAGTTATGAAATACTTTACCTAGCGATTTTACCTGCGATTTCGTCTGCGTGACTGACCTATGTTCACTGACCGGAATAAATATGGGGATAAATAATAGCTTATATCTTTCTCAATCCCTTATAGTACATATATACTGTATTTCATAGTGATTGATTAAGCCATTAAGACGCTAACAGGTAACAAACAAACCAATTCATATTTATAATTAATTAGGAAATAAGGATATTGTGTAATACACATATTTAAAGACGCAGAAAATACGTAATGAGAATATTCTTCTTATTGATATTGCTTAAAAATTATAATTTGTGGTAAAAATATAACCTTATGTTGATTAAAGATAGAAAGAGAGTTCATAAAGAATTTGCAAGTAATACATTTATTCACTTTTACCTTCATAATAACGCAATTGGTTGTAAAATTTAAAAATGTCTTAACCATCGGCCCCACAAAAAGATGGTCGCATAGCTTATTCATTTGTAATCTGAAAAGTTCTTTACCATTCATAGATACTACGACTTTACCCTGAAATAAAAGTAATATCAAATATGTGGAAGTAATTAGTTGCTATATTTTATTGCATTTAAAAATCTTATTTCTATCAAAGGATGATTTTTGTCCCATCATTTGATATGAGGTTATGACTATATAGTCATAATTAAATTATAATTTCAATCAAATAAGTTTATCATTTATCTAAACATAGATTTATAACAATTTTATATACGGTTATTGTAAAATATTATATATGCATGCAGCACTATGTTTTGTTGTCTTCTGGCGTTAAAATATTATTACATTATTATTTATGCATGATACAATATTTATTATATAATAAATAGATATTTTATACTAGTTATCCGGCTCAAATTCCCATGGTTAGATAAAATTTTCGAAAATAATATATACCTACCCTATATGTTACTTGTTAATAATGTAGCTCTTTATAGCTGAATGAATTATTAAAATCGGTTTTGTAGTTTTTAACAATAAAAGTTGTTCTCTTTACAATATTAGTATACAGTAGATATATTCAAAGCTTTACTTACTTTCACAGATGGCATATTTTCTTTTAAATCCGCTTCAAAAAAGAAAACACGTTCATTTTCTGAACGATACACCCATGTGCAACAATCTTTAGATTTAGGTCCATTACATATATGAAAGTCAGTAACAGCTATATTGAATTTTCCCTAGAAATTGTTGTGTAAGATACTAGTAGATATGTAAAACAGCTTGATCCTTAAGAGTGTATATAAGTTTCAAAAATAATTAAACATTTTTCAATGATTCTGACTGATGATTCAAAAAGAGGTACTAAAATGCTAATCAGATAATACATTATCTATAAATGTACAATTAAATTAATTATGCATCTACTTTTTGTTTTTCTAATTTTTCATATAGGCTTTTGCCGTCAAAATTAAAATTTTCGATGACTGCTTAATTTTTGCGTAATTAATATTTTTGTTCGATAATCAAGCACTTTAAACAATCAATCAGAAACATTGAAAATTTTTCAATTGTTTATTAAAATTGACAGATAATTGCCACGTAGCTGTATTTTCTTATGAACACTTTTAAGACATAAAACTATGATACTGATTGCCGTATGTTCCCGCCATAGATAGGCCACCCCATCCTTTTTCGTGGGTGTCGTGGGCGACAGAGGGAACTTAGTGGTCGAGAGATAGGGAACAGCGTTTCTCTTAAAACGTTAACAAGGTAACTGCGGTTGCCAATTCGCCTGCCTAGCGTGGCAACTACTAACAACATCCCCCCCCCCCCCCCCTCAAATAGGAGAAGGCCTATGTTCAGCAGTGGAGAGATAACGGCTGATATGATGATGTTAATGATTATCATACTTTATTGTAGAAGTGTAAAATATCTGGAGATATAATTCAGAAGACATGAAGCAGATCAGTTTCTGAATTGTTTTGATTGAAAATTAAAGTTAATATCACTTTACACAAAGCAACGTACACATGTCGTCGAAATGATAAAAAGAAATTATTTACAAGACCATTCCAATATTTATTTATAGAGATATTTAATGACTAATTCAAAATCAACTTACATAATCTTTTTGTGGTGATGAAATAATATTCGTCAATAAAATTAAGCCACAAAATATGCTAAATTTGGTAAACATACTTGGCAGCCACGGCTCCAAATTGGAGAACTTTTGAAAAATACAAAAGAAAAAAAACTAATAGTTTTGAACGTTATGGATCGTTACTTTAAAATATTTACAATTATGTATTTTACTTAATCGGTTATATTTATTTGAACGAGTAGATAAATAGACGATTTATTAGATGTACAGATAAAATAATAATTGGTATACTTATATATATAATGGCAAAGTAGTGATATGCCGATTATACACATATATACTAGTAGTGTGTTTTATATTTAACAGCCAACACAGTGATGTTGTTTAAGTAGCATATTCTTATATTTTCCCATAGAGGAGTGAGACATGTCTCCATATTAAAAAGAATCTTATTCAATAGATTCAGGTATGCTATCATTTAATTATTAAATTTCATCAAATTTCAGTAGTACCTAATATTTAATAATATTATCATAGAGATGCAAAAATTCTCTACAGGTAGTAATGAAAAACAATTATAAAGTAAATATTTAATAGGTGACAAATTTCAAGAGGTTACACAGCATTATAACACCATACTTGTTAAGTACTTTTTCTTTTTTCTGGAAGAAAATTCAAATAAGAGAGACCACAGAAAAAGTTGCAGTTATTGTTGCTGAACATTGTTCTGAATGTTAAATTTCCGTATATGAATGAGCCTCCATAATAATTTTGCATGATTTTCTCGAAATCCGCCTTGAAACCATAGAGTCCCTGAAATATTTTTTGATAGCTCATTAATATGTTACTTGAAATACCAAGCAAGTAAACGGGCCACCTAATAGAAAAATATGAACAGAGTTATAAAGATCACGGCAGTACATCGTTATATTCATGTTATCTCTCGTGCGTTGTATTCCTGAGGACTAGATTTATGCCTTTCTATCTTGTAATTTCACTTGCATATTGGGATACCTTTCACCCAAAACACATTTATTTTGAAAACTTATATTCTTTTCTTATACATTTATATATAACTGGATAATGGGAGTATAATAAACGTATTCAGTTTTTTGTATTCACAATTGTTTCGACTTAATCTAGCAGTCTCCTTTAGATTCGGTTTGCTCAGGTGATTGCAGTAGTGAAGACGAGAATCCTTCACAGACAACTATCACGACACCAGAAACAATTATTTATCTCTAACAACAATATTGTCGTCTACTGCTACCACTGTTACCTCTAATCGTATTTTCGACAACGTCATGACGGTTACTGTAAGCTGCGGAATATGAAGAATGATGTTACGTCGAAAAATCCTATTTTACCACGAAGAAAACATTTAGATGAAACCATAATAATTGTCAGATCCCAGGATTACAAGCGGTATTGTATACCCTTAAGTCTTAGGAGAGATTTTGCCTCACTCGGTGTGTTCTACCGCTTGTACAACGGATTGTGCTCAGAGGAATTGTTCAGTATGATGTCCATAGCTACTTTCTACCATCGTACGGCTCGCCATCGACAGAGAGTTCACCCTCATACCTTACAGCCTAAATGGTCGCGTACAGCGCGGTTTCAGAGATGTTTCCTCCGACGCACACTCAAGTTATGGAATGGGGAGATCACCGAAGTTTTACCAAGAGACTACAGCATAGGGTTCTTCAAAAGGGGGGTAAACACTACTACTACGGTAACCACTTACCATCAGGTGGGCTGTATGCTTGTTTGCCACCTCAGTAGTATAAAAAAAAGACAAACAAAGTAAGTACATTGAAATTCCTCTTATTAAATATAAAGTACAGTTAAGCAAACACCTACTTAACAAACTTTTAAATATGATTTTTATTACCAAAAAAGAACTCTTATGATACGACTGCTGCCATTAGTTCGTTTATTACAGTGTTATAATTCAGCTACTAAAAACTAAAATTGAATTTTTTAAGATTTTCTTCTACAAAAAAAGCCGACTTCAAAGTGGCAAAACTAACTTATAAATTAAGCTACTGAACTAATTTTGATAAAAATTCTATAAAATAAATCTAAAAGTATAGACTTTCAGATAATAAAAAGAAAACAAATCGGTTTATTAAAGAACAACAATATACAATGGACATGAGATGTTCTTCTTTTTTAAAGTCAGTTGAAAAATACGTAATTTTTTTTTGTAAGAGGTTTTAAACATATATCTTTATTAATGATTAACAATTCTACGATCCATAATTATTTGGGATAAGGATATTAAAACTCATAATATAATAGGCACCTTTACCTTCTGAATAACGCAATTTTTTGACAGATTAAAAAAATTTTTGACCAAAGGTTCCACAAACAGATGATCGCAAAGTTTGTTCATCTGTAATCTGATTGTCTCTTTCCCATGCATAGACACTAAAACTTTACCCTGAAATTCAAATCTTTATATAGGTATATAATAAATTTGTAAACTTTAAAAGAAAATATGAGAGAGGGAACTTAATAAGATTGTTCCTATTAAGATCTCTCTCACAAAATTTTCCTTTGAGAATTTAAAACTTCTATTGAGAAGAAAAAATAATAATCTTTAGAATTTTATCTGTAAAACAAATATACATTTTAGCATCAAGCAAAAATGCAATCAAATTGGATGTAATTTTTACAGAATTAATATCGAAGATCAAACTTAAATTGTGGCGTACGTTACATCTTGATATGCCATCTAAAAATTGTCCGTTTCATCGGTTTTTTCTACTTTCAAAATCTAGTAATCTAAGTAGAAATTGTGGGCAAAATCTAGTATTAAAGGTGCCTCAAATATAGTTGATCTTTGGCTGTAAGGGCGTGGGTTTACGTTTTTTCAGAGCTACCCGCTAATAATTATCATGATGACAAAGAGTAGTGCAGAGTGAGTAGTTTTTGTTAAAATTATTAGTAATTAATGTTAAAAATGTATGGTAGTTGATTAATGAACTAATAAATATTCTTGCTAGTATTATAAACATGGCAATAAGTTTGTTTGTAACATTTTGGCATCTTACCAATTTAACCAATCATTATAACATTTGGTTTACAAGTATATGTCGTGATGGAGTAGGCCACAATGAATACTTCATTGTTAGAAAAGGTAAGGCTTTTTTTCTTATTTTTTAGTCAACAAGTTTTAAAAGCCTAGTTATAATTTTAATAACAATAAATAAATAAAATAATATTATTTATAATTCTATTTTATTGTATATTGAGTTATATATTATTTTAATATTTCTTTTTACTTTTAAATTTACTTATTTTATTTTAAGTAAGTATACATATATATATATATATATATATATATATATATATATATATATATATATATATATATATATATATATATATATATATATATATATATATATATATATATAACTTTTAAAACAGTAATAAATTGTATTTACTTAATATATTTTATATTTAATGCAAATAGGTTAATTTCATACACACATATTGTAGTTAGGGGATAAAATTTTATTATAATATATATATTAATGAATAATATTTTGTTAATAATTATACTTAAATTTAAGTAAATTGTGGAAGATACATATATACATACATACATATATAAATTATTATTAAGAAATTTATTTGCGGCATGTAATTGATAAATATGAACTTTGACTACCACGGTGTTTGACCACAAAATACAAAATAATAATAAAAAAAAATATGTAATTAAAAGTACTTACTTTTACAGACGGAATACTTTCATTTATATGCACTTCAAAGACTACGGAATTATTATTTTCTAAGTGATATTTCCAGGTGCAACACTCTTTGGTTTTAGGTCCTTTACATATCTCAAATTTATTTATGGTTACACCAAATTTTCCCTAGAAATTTTGCCAAACCTTGAGATATTTCGCAGACATACATAGTACGACTATGTTACGTGTATATATTCTTAATTTAGAACCGATTTTAAAATTTATTTTACTGTCAGAACGCTATATATATATATATATATATATATATATATATATATATATATATATATATATATATATATATATATATATATATATATATATATATATATTTGTTTTTTCTTTTTTTATACAACTTAGAATGGCAAACAAGCTGATGGCCTACCTGATGGAAAGTGGTAACCGTCGCCTATAGACATGAGCAGTACCATGAACATAACAGAGTATACTGTTACGCCCATGATAACCCCCATGCGTTGCCATTCTTGAGGACTCAGGTGTTATTCCTCTGTACCCAGTAAATTCACGCCATATCCCACCCCTCAAACCGAAACACAGCCACGCAAACACAACTGCTTCACGGTTGAAATACGAATTAAATAAAAATGTGACCCACACTGGAATAAAATATTCTGACAGTAAAATAAGCTTCGTAAATCGATTCTGAATTGAGAACCTCCTCGCGTAACATAGTCGTAATTAATCTATAAATAAAAAAAAAAAAAAACACGCAGATCACGGCAAAACCATCTATTTTAATTTAAAACCCAAACTACTGAACTGATTTTGATGAAATGTGTATGGGACGAATTTGAAAGTATAACAATGAATTTTCCAAATCGGTTATAAATACAAAAAGACGGAGATATAAGATAACAAATATAAAAAAGCAACTGTATTGGGAACCATTGTTTTTGAAATCAGTTGAAAAAAATAAATAAGACGAACTGAGAACTTTCTTTTGGATATTACTTAAAAAACCACTTACGTAATTGTTTTTCGGCGCCGTAATTGAAGTTATCACAAATATTAATCCATAAAATAAAGCGAGTTTGCCAAACATGACTGCCAGTTAAGTCTCTTGTAAAGGGTTCATAAAATATACAAAGTTATACAAATCAACTAATAATTTTGTCTATTTTGTTGGTCAAGGGTCGTTACTCTAAAATGTTTAGAATTACACTCGTATGTACATATGTACCATATACATATTTGTAATAATTTGAATATAATTGATATTGTATCATGTATTGTTATAATTATATATAAATATATCGTTAAGTACGTACGTATGTAAAAACTATAACTTTATTACACATCATCATCATCATCATCATCATCTCCCTGCTCTTATCCCAATTATTTGAGGTCGGCGTTGTATGTTTTTATCAATGTTATCCAAGATTTTGGCTTTTAGTTTTACGACCGGCTGCCAGTTTGATGACAAACTTCCTTAGGAAAGCATTTGTTGGTGGTATCCGCTGCTTACGATATAGAGGAAAGCATGGAGGAAAAAAAGAGAGGTCCAGAAGTCCACTCTTTTTGTTAGTAGTGTGTAAAGAAAGTTGGTAAAAAAGGAAACGAAGCATTTATGGGGAGAATGGAAAGGGGAATACAGGTCAGAAACTGCAGTGGCTCCAGAGATCTGGGTCGCATATCCAGGTGACGTTACTCTAGAACTGTACAGGTCACTAGAAGAGAATATCCTTAGCATATAACTTTACTAGACTTGGATGATATATGCGCGCCTTTTTACAAATCTCCGTATGAATGTGGAGTCATTTCACATTCATTACTTACACGCCATTCTCCCACATTTATTATTGATGAGTAGAAGAGAGGGATTGTTATTAATAGGGGATCTACTTTGTCAGGTCGACTGCTCCGCGGTTCCACCCTGTAAACCTACATTAGTTCCTATCGTAATTGCCACGATGGGCTTGATTTCATTTGTACTGTTAGCATAGGTGGGTGCAACACTGGTATATTGCACTCACCTATGCTAACGATGAAGATATTTCTTCATTTTTTTTTTAAATAAAAAGCAGAGAACGAGTACGGCTTGTGGCTCGAAGTAGGCTCGCAACGAGCTACGCGGTTACGCACCGTTTGCGTGGGAATCACCTAATCAGAGATTTGTCGTCAAACCTGTGACTACCGCAATGTACGTTAATTCATATCGTAGTACTATTATAAATGCGAAGGTTTGTTAGATGATATGGATGGATACAGATGGATGTTTATTATTCTTTGATATAAAAATGACTGAACTATTTGAATTAAGTTTAGTTCACGGATAAATAATACACACGCAAGCACACGTAGACGGAACTTATTTGATGTTCCGTTAAGAAAAATAGAGTTGGCTAAGCAAGCTGCCCTATCTCTTGCATTGAAATTACTCAATGATATTTTGAGCCGGTATCCACAAATAGACGTGTTTGCCTCCAGCTTGCTGGAGTTTCGTCGGATGACCACGGAGTGTTTGTGTTCAGGAATAAAAAACCTAATGTTATTTTAATTATTGTTAAATCATATTAATTTTATTACATTTAATTATAAAGTATGTAATATTGTACTGCTGAATGTAAAGTTGATGAGATAAATAAATAAATAATGCACATATTGAAAAATTTACATACATTAAAAATACATAGGCAGCGGTTCTTATAATTTATTGTATGTACATTAATATATTATAGTTTTAAGGATAGATTTAGGTTTAGTTTAAACTTCTGTATTGTGCGATGATTTCTCGGAGTGATGACTACACTCCATGTTCTTAGAGGACAGATTGTTCGAGCATGTTTTTTGCACTCCTTGTTGTGAAGGGAGGCGTTGCCATCTCAGTAAATGTAGAACCACCCAATTGTGTCTAAATAAAAATCAGTCTGTTTAAAAACATTTTAAAAAATAAGCTTTTATAATATTATCCTTCATTAGGGCAAAAACCATATTGCATTTAATATACTATCAATAAAAATATCATTTACTTTAAGTCTTTTTATTGGTTTAATTAGATGAATTGAGAAAATGGATATAATCTGCCATCTTGAAACGGCAGCCATTTTAAAATTATTACTATGTTCAGTATTGCTTTGCACTGTCATCAGAATTAAAGGTGTGTGTATACAAAAATTTCAGCTCAATCGGACGTCAAGAAGTGATTCTAATTCAGCTTGCGAGATTTGGCCTAAACAAACTATCATACATTCTAAGTTGTAAAAATACCTTTTCACAAGATTCTATAAATAAAGAAGAGTATACCATAAGAAATACCAGACTCACATTTGGACTGCTGATTTGATCTGGGTGTCATAGCACACTGAGAAAGCTAGAGTAAAAAGAGATTCTCCCGAAGCTTCTATCTGCGTTCTCCTCATGAGCAGGAGAAGAGCCGTCTTCGTCTCGTTCAGTGTTTTTAATATGCGATATTCTGTTGAATTTTATGTTGTAATTGTTAAATATATATTTTAAATATTCTTGTTGTTTTTCTTACAATAATACCAGTGCAAGAAAAGTCGAAATAAAGTTTCATACTAAACCATCTTGCTAGAGTAGTATAATAGAGTATATTTTCTTTGAGAGAAATCGGTACCAAGAAATAAGATATTAAATGGGTGTTAAAGTAAGGTAAGGTTAAATGTCTAACTGATTCTAACCGTCCAGCTTCCTTAGACTATTGGCAAATTAGCATATCCATAAACAAGAATAAGATGTTGGATGTTGTTGTTTCGTTTTACATCATACAGTAGTAGCGATAACGTATCTACTATTTCATTGGTATATTTTTTTAAACAACTTAGAAGGGTAAACAAGTTGATGGCCCACCTGATAAAAAGTGGTAACCGTCGCAATCATGAGCAGTACCATGGACATAACAGAGTATACTATTTCATTCATGATCCCCCCCATGCGTTGCCATTCCTGAGGACTCAGGTGTTATTCCTCTGTACCCAATCAATTCACGCCAGATCCCCCCCTTCAAACCGAAACACAGCCATGCGAACATAACTGCTTCACGGTTGAAACACGAATAGGACAGAGGTACCCAAGTAATCGACTTTTGTACAAAGTCTCCCTCTGGTCGTATCTACTATTTCATTGGTATATAAACAAGTTCTGTTAATTTATAGATATATATTGAGTTTTCAATTAACTTCAAAAAGAAGAAGATTCTCAATTCGATTGTATTTTTTTAGTGTGTTACCTCATAACTTCGTCCGTTGTAAATTGGTTTGGAGTTAATTATTTATCTATGTAAAAATATTTCATTAACTACTAGCATATAATATAGGTATATATAGAATAGCGGAAAATAGCATTCTTTCAAGTTTATTTATATTCTATTTTTATTTCAATAATTACGTATTTGTGTACATAAAATGTGTTTGTAAATCATAAATTTCTAATGTATAGTGTAAGATCACACCTAAATAAATAGAATATTGTAATATCTCCATAATTTATATGACTTAAATTACTACAAGCAGGTATATTATGAATACATATTCATGGCCTATTTACACTGATAATTACGACTTACTTTATAAAGATTTGACAAGATATGGAATAGAATAAATAGGTCGTATTATAAGAGAGCAAAATTGTATTTTATAGAATTTTAATAGAATAAAGCTTTTCGGGTTAACTAGAGACAAATATGTATGTGAAATCGTTTACTAACCAGTTACATATTAAATTATATTTATACATAATGTAAATTATAGTGGATTAGTATTATCACAGAATTATTTATTAAGAAACAATAAACTTTAGCAATATATTAATCGATTTTTTTTATTAATTTCAGTTAAAATAAATTTACTATGTTTACACACATATACACATAAATTTTCTACACCTTATTAGTATTAAAACAAATATTATAAAGAAAATAAAGGTTTGATTCTTTGTAAATATAAAAAAAAAAACTTAATCGATTTTAAAAATAAAAAGAAGGATCCGGGACAAGTCGCTAGTAAATTAAAACGTAACTGTAATAAGTATTTTATATTTTGCTTTATTTATAATTTTTTTGGATATAAATTTACATGAATGATGGCACAGGATAAATTGCACACATTGTTATTAAAAACTGATTTGAATGTTAAATTTCCGTATATAAACGACCCTCCGTAGTAATTCTGCGCAATTTTTTCAATATCCGCTGCAAAGAAGTAACGACCCTATAATAAAAATAAAATAAAGTAAGTAATTTAAATCATAAGTTTTTAAATATTATTTCTTTTAGCCTTCAGCAGTAAACAGATAAATGGCTGAAATAATAATGATTAATTTTTAAAATTTAAATATTTCATAGTATTTTAATTTAAGCCTTTTATCATCACCAACTTAGACCCGGAGGTGTTTGTATGAGAGACTTAAATTTTTTATCCTTTTTTTTTCTTGGAAATAGTACATTACTGCAGCGGCCAGCAACTGATGCATTGATGGACGAACGTGCAAATGTGGGCCGAGGTGTAGCTGAGGCACACATACGTGAGTCCATCAATGCCTAGTTGTCGCCAAGGCTTGTATAGTACTTTTCTGAAACAATGCACGGAAATCAAAAACACAATTTTACTTTTTAAGTTCAATGACGAATAACGAACAATAATAATTTTTCATGCGCCATAATGTTCCTTTGTTTTTTTTTTTAATTAAACAGCTTTCTTGCAAGCATTCTATTTGCAGTTCGAAATTTAAATAAAACCTTTTATTAGTTACTAGTGATGATGGTGTTGTAATTATTTGCTACACTTTTAAGTTTACTAATATTTACTACTATTTTTACTAATCATCATCGTCATCATATCAGCTTTTAACTGTCCACTGCTAAACGTAAGCCTCCCCTAGGGGAGTTTTGCCAGTAGCTGCCACGCTTGGCAGGTGAATTGGCAACCCCAGTTAGGCTTTAGAGATGTTTTAAAAAGGTTGCTGCTGCCTATCCCTCGCCTTCCCTTAGTCGCCTCTTACGACTCCCACATGAAAGGAAAGAGTAGCCTATTCCAATTTTTACTTATTGGTACTTATCACATGGTGAAAGATGACTGCAGGTACAAGTGTTATCTATAACCTATTTTACATACCTTCTGAATGATACATTCACGTGTAACATTGAAAAATGATTCCAAGAGAGGCCTCAGATAGAGATGTTCGCACATTTTATTTGTTTGCAGTCTGAACATCACCTTATCATTCGATGACATTATGATTTTAACCTGAAATTGTATTTGTTAAAATTAAAAAAATTGTTTAAATTTATTTGTTAGAAATATATTGTTCTTAGGGGATAGACACACTGTTAAATAAAGGTAGCCAACTATTAGAGTAAATGTTATTCCTTAATCATACAAGATATAATATTAGAATAGTAAGTCGTTATTCTTTTTTACAGTAATATAATTTAGCGAAAGAGTTTATTTCTTTGAATAATAATTATTTTTGAGGGTATTTTGATAAAATATTTTTTTTTATACCACGAAAGTAGCAAACAAGTATACAGCCTGTCTGATGGTAAACGGTTACTGTAGCCTATGGACGACTGCAACACTAGGGATGTCACGTGCGTGCGTTAGTTCGGAGAGATTTCGAGAAATTTTTACGTTGTGACGGCTGCTATGAAGATACAATCAAGGTAGAAAATTTTCTATGTATAAATAGATGTACATATAGCGCAAGAGGTATGATTTATCAACATTATATGACAAAATTTTACTGAACTAGGTATTATTTTGTGAAAGTCTATAATTGGGTATTTGATTAGAATTATTTTAATTCTGCTACCATTAGTACGCTCGCGCCAACGCTCGAAGATTGACTACTATTCTTATTACCAAGAGTTCTACAACCTGCCATATGAGCCTTTGATTTTCGACTGCCATTTTGTCCATGCACGTTTTGCAATAATTGTTTTACCTCTAAACGAGGTATTTTCAGGGAAATAAATTATATGAAAATTTCAACCAACCATTAAGTCTGATTGTGTAACAAATATGTAAATCTTCAGACAACTTTACAAATTTACGAAGAAACTAATTCGACTTCTGCAGCTTTGTGTTTATGTCAAGGTTCCAGGTTCGACTTCTAAACAGGTTACTTGACTAGTTTCTCATAAATATAGAGTTGTAGCTTCAGGATCAGGTAATTGGTATGATAGTGTTACATTTACAAACCTTTGTAAATGTAACACTATCATTACCTACATTTGTAAATAGTAAATTATTAGACTATAGATTTAGAACTAAAAAATAAATAAATATTACGATGTCTACTTACTTTCAGAGATGGTACACTTTCCGTTATATTTGATTCGAAAGTCAAATATGTTTCGTTTACTAAACGATAACTCCATACGCTACAATTTTTACTTTTAGGACCTTTACACATGTTAAATTTGGTTATAGCTATGCCAAATTTTCCCTAAAAATAAAGAATTAGGTTAAACCTTTGCAATACAATAAACTGTTAACTGTATTCTTTGAGAATCTTAAATTTCTTATAATATAATATTATTATATTGTTAAACAAATTTTCTTTGTTTCAGAAAAATAATCCCGTTTTGTTTTTGTTTGCTTTTTTGCGTGTTTCAAAAATTTATAACCAGAAAAATGCCTATATTTTCATAATATTCCATAAACTTACATAATTATTTTCAGAAGTCGAAATATTATTAATTATAAAAATGAAGACACAAAAAATAGCAATTCTATAGAACATGTTTAAGAATATGTGTTTTGAGTATAACACAAAACTATTTTGAATATTATTTTCCAAACGTTTTGAAGTAAGTACCTATATCCGCCAATTAAAAGGTTATGGGTTATTACCCGAATATAAATACGATCATTTATTATAAATAATTGAGTATGTTTATTTTGATAGATGGAATTAAATATATTACCTAAATACAGACAATAAAGTTTGTGCTGAATTTTTTTAAATACTATATAGCTATCACTATATGTTTCCTATAGTACACTACTGTAGCGGCCAGCAACTGAGGCATTGATGGACGAACGTGCAAATGTGGGCCGAGGCGTAGCCGAGGCACACATACGTGAGTCCATCAATGCCTAGTTGTGGCCAAGGCTTGTATAGTACTTTTCTCAAACAATGCGCGGAAATCAAAAACACAATTTTACTTTTTAAGTTTAATAACGAACAAAAATAATTTTTCACGCGCCATAATGTTCCTTTGTTTTTTTTTTCAATAGATAGCTTTCTGTTTGCAAGCCAGTTCGAAATTGAAATAAAACCTTTTATTAGTTATCTTCTTGGTAGTCATGTTTCGAAGTAAAAGGTCATTCCATTTTTAAATTACAGGACAGATTTGAGTTTACATAGTAATTTATCTGGCTGCAAAACATGACAGATATGGATTTTCATACAACATTTGCCGGCCTCTGCCCGTATGTATCTGGCCATTACGGCAATTTTGATTTATCTTGAAGAAGATTGTCAAAATAATGCTCACATTTCCAAGCATGTTTGAGAAAAAAACATTAAATTGTAAGTTAATAACAAATAAAAAATAAGCTTACAGGCGTATATTGTGACGGTCTTTAACTACAACCTTAAACTCGATTAGTTCTGTTTATTCTTAATCTATGTGCAATATTATAGTAGTTCTGTAGATAAGGAATAAGTATAATTGATCTTTGTTGATCTTTATACCCACTATATTTTGTTATCTGTTACATCTAACCTACAATATTGTTTATAAATATTTTATTATGAAATTTTTACATTCAAATTGTCCAAACGAGACTTAAATACATTAAATACTTGGATTATAAATACAAATGATCAAAAGATACGTTAGTATAGTATTAAAGTTATTTGGTTTAGGAATGGTGATAGGGACTGGTGGTCTTTGGGCAGGGGCGGCAGTGAAAACCAGATCTAAATACAGAGACGAGCAAACTTTAGTTGGAGGTGCTATATGGAGTCAAACAATTATACCTATTGGATTTATGATATCTAAGATAGCTAAAGAGGAATTGGATAAGTTCGTCCAAGCTTACTTTTTGGTGTCGGGCGTAATTATTTTAGTATCTACAGGAGCATTTTTGGTAAGTATATTCATTTGTAGGTATTTGTGGACTATAAGTGTGTTTTGTTTCATTAGTCTCCTCTTACGACATCTTGAGCATGATGAAGTAGTGACATATTGTATTCGTCACTCTACGGAATTAAGCCTGCCTGCCAAGAGGGTTTTGCTAGTAGTTGCCACAACTACTAGCAAAACCCCCCTAAGGGGGAGGCTTATGTTCAGCAGTGGACAGTTAAAGGCTGATATGGTGATGATGATGATGATGATGAGGTTGGTATAATTGTTTTTAGTTGATAATGTATTTTGCAGGATCGATTCATTGAAGATACTTGTAAGAATAAAAATAACATAGATATAATTTTATCAGTTGTTAAGTGTCTACATAGGAGCGAGGAGGGGGGTTTCCCGTAATTGCCACGCTTGACAGGCGGGTTGGCAACCGCAGTTAGGTTTTGGTAACATTTTAAGATGGACTGTGCTGCCCATTTCTCCGCCATTAGATTTTCACTTCTCATGGCACATTTTCTATGAATAGACAACTGACATGAGAAAGAATAACAACTGGGGGCAATCGAAATTACTAGCATATACTTCTTTAAAGAACATATATTTTTTAATGAGTACCGAATTATTTAAATTTTAAGAAAAACTAACTCAGAACACCAATATCCCGTCTAAACTTGATAATATGTCTTATTAGTCAATTTTAGAGGCCCAAAATGTTTTGTAGACTTGTTTTGTAGACTTTTAAACTACGTCCCTTTTGAAAAAAAATCGGATTCACTATCATACTCTTTTAATAGGATGGTTATGTATATATAATAATGTCATAACCATACCTTTTCAGATTTACGGCGAATGTAAAACAATGAAAACATGCGTACGGAGAGAAATAGAATTATCTATAACACAGTTACGAGTTATTGAAACATACGACAGAATATATCTTAGCATAGGAATTTTATGCTTGCTAGCTGGATTGTTGGCTCTGGCAGATTTAGTTATTCTACTTTGTTGACAACATATACACACAGTTATCTAAAATTGATGATATTTTTTCGAATAGGTAATAATCCTTGCTTTAGTTTCAGATGTTTTTAATCGGTAATCAATGTAATAACAATATATATATATATATAATATATATATATATATATATATATATATATATATATATATATATATATATATATATATATATATATATATATATATATATATATATATATATATATATATATATATATTACAAGCATTAATATATAAGTAGGTACTTTTATATGCAATCGACAACAGATTTTTTTTTATACCACGATGGTGGCTAAGAAGCATACAACCCTTCTGATGGTAAATGGTTACTGTAACCTATGGACGCCTGCATAGGTTAGACTAGGGGTGTCACGTGGGCCCCCGGGATCCCAACACTAAGGCACGGTAAGTGTGGTGGTTTTTAGCCGGTAGGAGGGCTCCCCCGGATGTGTGGGTCTGCATGGCATCCCAAAAAAAAGGGGTGTCACGTGCGCATTAATTACCCTGAAGAAACCTTAATATACCTTTTTTGAAAACCCCCATACCTTAATTTAAAATTCTTCAACCCACTATTGACGGTTAGTTAGGAATCTTCTAACTAACATGGATATAATTTTACAGAAGTCACAGAAAACTTCCTATTACTGAATTGATTTTTAATACAATGATACCAAAATATAAAGTAGTAATGGTTTAATGTAAATTTTTACATCAACACACTTAATATAATGATGTAAATATTAGTTATCCATTTAGGAGATAGGCAAGTTAGCAAAAATTGCATTTTTTTTTAATGTTTTTAATTCTATTCATATAACCACAATGTCTTAGTTTGTTAACTAAGACATATTGTGGTTATATGAAAATGCATTTCTATATGCTGCCTAAACGCATTTTTTTTTTATTGGAAAACATACATCCTTATTAATATTATAAATGTGAAAGTGAGTTTTTGTTTACTTGTTATTTCTTGGCTCCTTAACGGTTTAACCGATTACTATGTTTGGTATATGGTTGCCACGAGATGGAGAACGATATAGGTTAGTTTTTATCCCGATTAGTTAACATATTTCGGTCACAGGTAAATGTTAGCTGATATATTCATTTGAACCATTTATAAAAGGTTTAATATTTGATTTTTTAATCAATCTATTTTTAAATTGTAGCTACTATGTGAAGTTTGATGATAGGAATTAATATTTTGATACTTTTAGTATGCATCCACATGATAATATGAAGTCAAAGTTACTACTTTCCATCACGCTGGCCGTCAGCTTGTTTACTAAGTATAATAAAAAAGTCTATATAACAAAACTTTTGCTTGACATTATTTTGAATAGCAGAGTGAGATATTATTTTATAACAATCCATTTTGGGGGGAAAGGGATTGTTAGTAATGGAGACTGAGAATCCCATTGCTAGCAATATACCCAACCAGGTCGACCTCCTCGCGGTTCTCCCTAGAAACTATCATGGTTAATTTCTGATGAATTCATCATGATGGGCTAACTGGCCTGTTTTCATTCTCATCGATCACCGTTCACTGTTGCTCCGCCAGCGTATCCCGTTAGCGCAGACGGGGTTACCATACTATTTTCATCGATAAAAAAAAAACAATCCATTTTGTCTTATAGATATATATTATAATTATTATCAACTCAGAGATATTATGATTTATTGCTGTATATTTATATTTTCAGACATTTGATGCTACGAATAATATTTGTTCAACACCGAGTACTGTTGGGTCGGCCATAAATAAAGAGTGGTACTCATGAATGCATTTATCAATATATTGTTTCACTCAATTATCACTAATCGAAAATCAATTTTCAATAGATTTTAAAAAAATAAGGTTCTCAAGTTCGTTGTATTTTTTTACGTTTGTTGTCTCATAACTCTGTCGGTTGTAAACCGATTTGGATTTTTTTTTGTCTGAAAAGATATACTTACAGATTGGTCTCATAATTTTTTTATCAAAATTGGTTCTTCAGTAATTTAATTATATAACTGGTTTTATCATGATTGAAGACGATTTTTTTTTGGGAACATAACCTTAAATTATAATAATTCTTTTTACAATATAGGGTTTTATATTTGTGTCATCGTCGTCATCATTATCATGATCTTGACACAAATGGTTTTACATCTGTGTACCCAATATTAATTTTGTCCTTAATAATATAATTATGAAATTGATTCTTTTTTTTATGAATTGTTTTACTAATAATTATAATCTTACTACTAATATATTGTAAATTGTAACTAGAAGATGTCTGTACATAGGAAATATTTAAGAATAATTAGTATAAATGGTCTCAATAAGACTAATGGATATCAAAACAATAATTTATAAAAAAAATTGTTTGTCTAACTGTGTGTAACGTTTGTTGAAGCATCATACAAAAACTGCTGCACCAAATTGGACGCGGTTTTCACAGTTGTATTTCTAAAGGTCAAACCTAAAAATGTGTTTTATCTAAATACACTATTTAGAAGTGGTCTATTTAATTGATTTTCATACTTCTAAAAATTACGCATATGATGTAGTGGACAGAAAATTAGTCTAAACTGATATAATAAAGCAAAATTGTTTGTTTGATGGAGTCAATCTATGAAACTGTCAATTGGCTTTCAAAAAATATTTCTGCATTGAATAGATCATTTCTTCTTATATAACTTATATAGATGATTCAATATTATGATACAATTATGGACGAAATCGCGAGGTATAGCTAGTTTTAGTCTATTAATTAATATCTTTATTTATTTTATATTTCTATCCATTTATTTATATAGAGGATATAATGAATTAATAACGTTCCATTACTAGATATAGATCTTCCCCATGTATAAGCAGGATTTTACCTTTATATTTAACTATAGTTAAATAATAAACATGTACCTGATACTTTGTAGGGTAGGGTGGAGTCTATATTTAGAAATCCGGGACAAAACTGACTACACTAGGCTTACATGACCAATAACTTACATTATATTGATATATGCTGATAAAAATTTGAAAACGTATTTCAAATAATATTTTTACATATGAACGTATTTAAAATATGAATAACATTGTTTGCTATTACAGGTTTATGATTGGTTTATAATGGGTTCATGGACCATTTATATCAGAAATATAGTTATGCGTTTATGAATATAGATTTTTATAAACACGTCATTTCCTTGTCGTAGAAGGCTTGTATTGGGTTGATAATTTTTATGAGTAAAACAATTTTTTTTATACCAATGAGGTGACAAACAAGCATACGGCCCACCTGATAATAAGCGGTTACCGAAGCGTATAAAAGTCTGCAATACTTCCTGCCCCTGCCCCTGCCCCTCGGGCATTATTCGCGTGTTGCCGACCCTAAATAAACTATTTCTATTTTTAAAAAACTCCATACTGTAGTTTCTTGAAAAAGCCTCGTCAGGAAAAAAGACTCGACCTCATTTCATAACTTGAGCGTTCGTGAGAAAGACTAATCTAAAAGTTATTTATATAAATAAACCCATTTTTAAAAAGTAAAAGTAAAATATTTGTTCTAAATTTAAAATGTAGGTAGAAGAATTTTGTTCCATTGCCTTTTTACAACATTATAGTAGATATACACTCCTCGCAAAAATTAAGGGAATATAAAAATTTTTGAAATTTTTGGGTGATTTTCAACAGGCTGTATTTCAGTGAAAAATAATCGTACAGGAAATTTAAAAAAAGGGTTTTGAAGCTTGAAAACTCTAGTTTTCAGATTTTTTGGTGAAAAAATTTTTTGAGCTCCGGTTTCCATGCAATTCTTAAACAAAGCTGAAAATATTTTTTTTAAAAATTTTCTAGGTTTCGTTTTTCACTCTATGGGCATGGAAAAATTTTTTCGAACTCCATTGTATAGGTCTCTTAGCGTGTTTATTCAGCTTCAAAAATCGCTTTGGATGGCTCAATTACGACCATTTGTCTCCGAGATATCGAACTTTGAATGCAAAAGCATCCTTTTCCATTCAACTGCTAATATCTCTGGAACTACTGGTCGCACAGCAAGCGGGCGCCGAGTTTCTTTATTTGCATAAAATTTCCAATTAAGCACAGTCAAGAGTTAGTGAAGAAAAAAATTTTTTCCACCTCTAACATTGAATTGAAAAAAGTGGAAAAAAGTGACTTTTTCTCCTTTTTTGGTTACTTGGCTGTATCTTCGCTAATATGGGCGGGAAAGCTAAGGTTTGAGGAAAATTTTACAGTCTATTGTTCCTTAAAGAACCCCTAAATGGAGCGATCGGTTCAACGGTTTTCCCGGACCAATTGATTGAAATTTTGGAAAAAATAAGGGAACAAGGTTTTTGTCCCTTAAACTCACCCTAATCCATTAAAAAATCAATAATTTCATTTGTTTTTCACTTTTTACTCATTTTTTTGTTTTTTAAAAATTCATTATCAAAAAAAAAATCGAAAAAAATCAAGAAAATTTTTAAGAAAAATTTTTTTTTGAAAAGTCGAAAAAAGTTTACAAAAAAATTTTTTTTTCGTTTTTAAGGAAATCAAAGTTTTTGACAAAAACTTTGATTGATGATCGATTTACCGCCGGCATTAGTGTTACCCAAAGCATACCACGTGGAGAAACACACACACACACACACTTTAGAAAATGAGTTTGGAGTCATTAAATACTGCGGAGCTGACGAACCACGGGGTCTCATTTCTTCTAAAAATTACTTACACAACACTAACACACACACTCTTCAGAAAATGAGTTTGGAGTCACGAAATACTGCGGAGCTGACGAACCACAGGGTCTCATTTTTTCTGAAGAATCCCATATCATAAACACGTGCGTAAGCACAAAAGAAGCGTAAATCCGACCGTGCAACCTCCACGTGGTATGCTTTGGGTAACGCTAATGCCGGCGGTAAATCGATCATCAATCAAAGTTTTTGTCAAAAACTTTGATTTCCTTAAAAACGAAAAAAAAATTTTTTGTAAACTTTTTTCGACTTTTGAAAAAAAAAATTTTCTTAAAAATTTTCTTGATTTTTTTCGATTTTTTTTTTGATAATGAATTTTTAAAAAACAAAAAATTGAGTAAAAAGTGAAAAACAAATGAAATTATTTATTTTTGAATGGATTAGGTTGAGTTTAAGGGACAAAAACCTTGTTCCCTTATTTTTTCCAAAATTTCAATCAATTGGTCCGGGAAAAACCGTTGAACCAATCGCTCCAGGGATTTAGGGGGTTCTTTAAGGAACAATAGACTGTAAAATTTTCCTCAAACCTTAGCTTTCCCGCCCATATTAGCGAAGATACAGCCAATAACCAAAAAAGGAGAAAAAGTCACTTTTTTCCACTTTTTTCAATTCAATGTTAGAGGTGGAAAAAAATTTTTTCTTCACTAACTCTTGACTGTGCTTAATTGGAAATTTTATGCAGATAAAGAAACTCGGCGCCCGCTTGCTGTGCGACCAGTAGTTCCAGAGATATTAGCAGTTGAATGGAAAAGGATGCTTTTGCATTCAAAGTTCGATATCTCGGAGACAAATGGTCGTAATTGAGCCATCCAAAGCGATTTTTGAAGCTGAATAAACACGCTAAGAGACCTATACAATGGAGTAGCTCGAAAAAATTTTTCCATGCCCATAGAGTGAAAAACGAAACCTAGAAAATTTAGAAAAAAATTATTTTCAGCTTTGTTTAAGAATTGCATGGAAACCGGAGCTCAAAAAATTTTTTCACCAAAAAATCTGAAAACTAGAGTTTTCAAGCTTCAAAACTCTTTTTTTAAATTTCCTGTACGATTATTTTTCACTGAAATGCAGCCTGTTGAAAATCACCCAAAAATTTCAAAAATTTTTATGTTCCCTTAATTTTTGCGAGGAGTGTAGAAAATTTAAAATATAACTTTTACAAAGTTATTATACAAATATTAAACGTATTATTTATAATTTAAAATGTAAGGTCTTTTAATTGTAAAGTCATTTACATTTGTTTATTTATAAAACAAATTTCAAATTACGTGTTTCGTCTTCAGTGAGTACTAGGCTTAATTTTGGTATTCTTTAAATAAAATTTCATTGTAATGCCATACTATTTCAATAGTACGATTGTTGATGACCAAGTGACTTCTTTTTCGGTTATAGTTCTAACAAATAAAAAGTAAAAAAATGGCTCTTGGATTGTAAGTACTCTTTCAACATATTAATACAAGAAAAATTAAACAATTAAATAGATAAATTTCTTTTATATTCACATGGCAATGACAAACAAGTTTTATAGAAAATGAGGGTAGGTGCCCTCAAAAATTACATCGTAAATAAAGTACTGCCTATAGCATTATTTACAATGTAATTTTTGAGAAAAACATAAGAGAAAATATTGCAATTTCGCGGTGTCGTACGCGCAATAATTTTTTATATTCACTCTGTGGAATAAAATATTTTACCAGAATAAAAATATTCAAATTTGCAGCAAATTTTGTCAAAATCTTTCCAGTAGTTTTCATGTTATTCATTATGATCTCTTAAGTTATATTAGACTATATGTGCAGTCAAATATAACTTTAAAAAATCTGACTTTATTTTCTTGATTAATTCAGGATTGAACCAATAAGAGAAGTAAACCATTTCGATTAAAAATAGAATTCTCAAATCGGTTCATAAGTGATAAAAATATAGTGAACCTCTTTCTTTTTTATTCTTGCTACCCTTATCCGAATTATTATTTGTGGTTGGCGTAATATGTTTTTATCCATATTACAAAAAGATTTGGCTTAGTTTGACGACCGGCCGCTTGCCTGACGTCAACCTTCTTTGGGAGTGCATTTGTTGGTGGTTTCCGCCACCTACGGTATGGCGGAAAGGATTGAGGAAAAAAGGAAGGGAACGTTGGAAATGCGTAAAGGAAATTGGTAAATAAGAGGAATAAGAGATTTATGTGGGAAAGGAAATGGAGGGGCACTGCAGTCGTGGAAAGGACTGAGACACTCTAGTGGCTTGGGAGGCTGGGGTTGCATACCCGTATCTGATTGATTCTAGAATAAGGGCTTAATCTAAAATCAGTCAGATTTCTAGAGAAGGATACCCCTGATACTAGTGAACCTGTTGCTTTATTAGTTGCAAATTAGAGCATATTAATAAAATTTATTTTCTTTCAGCATACTTATTACTGGATTGTTAGCTTTTGGTGCTTATTGGACGACAAAGTACCTAATGAATATGCCTGAAGCAACTATACTTGTTACAAATTCAACCAGTACGATGATGCCGGCAAAATTGTAGCGATATTGACTTCATAAATGACGTTATAACGTGCATAGCTACTATAAAGTTTGTATGAGACAAAGGACAATGTAGGTAACTTAAGTATTGTAAAAATGTTGGAACCATTTATTATATGACTTCAACCACTTCAAATGTAATTATTTTGTATTTTAGCCCTATAAAATGGTTGTGAAAAAGTTGTAAAATAATAAATTTGTATAAAGAAATTATAATATTATTAACATAAATTATTAATATGCATTTTTTTAAGATAAAATAATTATAATTTTGATAAATACTGGTATTTTTCTTTACTCGGAAATTGCAATACTATACTCTCTTCATTTGGAGACACTTGTATTATGACAAGTTAAAATACAACTTAACCGTGTATCAAATTTCTTGCAAATTCGTTCAGTAGTTTTTGCTTTCATCCATTCATTATTACTTAACTAACTTGAACTTTGATGGGGGAAAGGAATTACTAGTAAAGTCGAGGTTAGTCTCCATTGCTATTAATGTACCCTATCAGATCCATTTCCACTAGGTTCTCCCTGGAAACTATTGAGTTTAATTTATCATTGAACTTGTCACGATGGGCTAACCGACCTGCCTTTTCATCCTCACTGGTGTCTCATTCTTCACTGGTGCCCCGTTAGTGTATATCCATAGTGCAGGGGAGTTACCATGTCATTATCATCCAATAAAAAAACAAACTTTAACTTTCGTATTTATTTTATTAATAGGATTATACCTGTAGATAGATAGGTAGTTACCTAAGGTACACAAACACACAATGTTGCTATAACGTCACCCGACGATAACATTTACTTTCTGAGGTCATTCGCAATGCAAATTTATTTTGTTACCAATTGGCAAATTACGGAATTTTTTATTTCGAATAGTTACTTTAGTTTTACCGCCGCCTTTAGACATTAATAGCACTACAAACAGCACGTTTTGATGCCCATGGTGTCACTCACGCGTTGCTATTTCTGAGAAATATGGTATTATGGCTATATATTTTGTAATTTTATTGGCATCAAACTGAAATACAGTCATACAAACGCATATGGTCGCGTGGTGCCCGGCATATAATAGGCCGTCCCTTCCTCTCCCGTGGGCGTCGTAGGAGGAGAATAAGGGAGGAAGAGGGATGAGCAACAGCGTCCCTCTTAAAACATCTCCTAAACCTAACTGTGAATGCCAATCCGCCTGCCAAACGTGGCAACTAAACAGTTAAAGGCTGATATGATGATGAGACACATAACTGATTGGCGATAGGTTTAACCTATAATAATATTTTTATTATTGTTTTTTTATTAACTGTTTCGGTTTGAAGGGTGGAATATGGTAGTGAATTTACAGAGTATAGAGGACCACCTGAGTCCTCAGGAATGGCAACGCATGGGGGTATCATAGGCGAAACAGTATACTCTGTTATGTCCATGGTATTGCTCATGTCTATAGGCGACGGTTGCCACTTTCTATCAGGTGAGTCGTCAGCTTGTTTGCAATTCTTAGTAGCATAAAAATGTGTTTAATTGGGACACACAAAGGTTTTATTACTAACTAAATACAAATTCAAAAACTTGTGGCTGTCAACGTTCTAAATTTATTAATGTGTGGACAAGTTTTTAGAATACTTATTGTACTACTTGTATCTCAATTAAATCCATCCATTAAGATGTTTGCATTGAAACAGATTATGTTGTTTTATAACTTTATATTCGTTATAGCTTCATGTTAATTGAAAAAGTATAGTAAATATTTTTATAATACGTGTCCTTTTAAAAATGGCATTTGGAATGTAAGTAAATGTTTTAAAACTTTACTTTTAAATATCCATAATATCCGTAATTTTCACCATCGTACAACTAATCACAAACTAAGGTTCCATCCCAACCATTTGAATGAACAGCAGTCTTCCACCGTGTGTTTTTCAAGACAGTTTCTTCCATGTATTCAACCACGCTTTGAAATCAACTTCCAACAGCAGTATTTCCGAACTGATTCGACATCGTAATCTTTAAAGAAAAGAACTTATTCTTTTTGAGGTGCTTGAGAATGGCGGTAGTCTTTTACCATCAGGTTAGTCGCATGTTCGTTTGAATATCTGATTAGACATCGTAAACATTATTTATTTAATTATTTGATCAACTATCGCTTAGTTACAATCTCACAATACGGACACCCAGGAAAGAATCAGTACAATAACAAATACTGTATAACTATAAATAACAATAAGAAAAAATACTATGTAACAAACAAACATAGAATAAGTAAGCAATTAAGTTTATAAAAGTGACAAACGACTATATATTTGGCATAGAGAAGAATAAAAATAGAAGAAATGAGAATTTTAAGATTTTATGTTATTATTATTTGTGTATTTGGGCATTTTATTTTATTCAGACTGGTATGGCAAACACGTTAACTAAGAAAGCTTATTTAGTGGAAAGTAGTAACCATAGCCTATAGACATAAAAAGTATACCCTAAATATCGGAATATAATGTGACACTCATGATACTCCTCAGAGGTTGCTATCCCTAGGGACTAAGTACCCTGTGATTTCACTGTATAGATTCGTCTTAATTGTAAGATTTTTATAGGTATAAAAATTAATATATCACTATCAACTGTCAAACTAATAAAATATTTTAGATGTGGTAAAGGCATATAAATTGCGAACCAATTTTATCTGACCAAGTACGAAAAGCCTTATTTCTGTCTAGCTGAATATAAACTCGAAATTCTAAAATATTTATGTGGTAAAAAGTTTATAAAGGACAGTGTTAACAATTCTATTTTTGAATGGGTCTAGCGCGGTAGGAGTTTGTTATCAAAAATAGCAGTAAGTATTTTAGTAGAAACATAAATTATTGTGTGATGTTTGCGTCTTTCTATTTGTTAGTATGGTATCTAGTGTGTACTATATATGTTTATGTGTCTAGGTATAGTTGTGATTAAAAATGTACGGAATACAACAGGTACATTTTTTGTGAGTTTGTTACAGTCATTTATAGGTAGGTATACACACATTTTGATAAGCCATTCTTAATAAATGTAAATTATCTATCATATGGAAGCATCTCCCAGATGGTAATGCTCTCGAATGTTTGTTGATTGATACATAGAAAATCTAATTCTAGTTTGACCAGCCAATTAGTGTGACTGTATGGCACTTATTATTATTTGTATTATGTTTCTTTTTGTGTAATAATTGAATACCACGTCTATTTTCTATCATGAAGCAGCTGTGCTTGTATGGCTATATTTCGGTTTGGAGGGTAGGTTATGATAGTGGGGAGGCCTAACACTTTAGTCTTGATGATTAGTAGCACATGATGGGTATCATGGACAATACAGTATACTTGCTCTTTGTGACGTCCATGTTGCTATATAGTATGTTTATAGACGACGGTCACCGCTTTCTACCAGGTAGGCTATCAGCTTGAAATTTAGAATGGCAAACCATTCTAAATTTCATAAAGAAAAATGCCATATTACACAGTATGGGTTGCACCCCGTAAGTGAAGGGAAACAATATACTCTGTTATATCGATGGTATTGTTCATGTCTATTGGCGACGGTTATTACTTTCCATCAGGTGGACCGTTTACTTGTTTGCCATTTAATGGATGATATATAATGTAATGCTTGCCCCGTCTGCGCCAATGACATACACTGCTGGGGCATTAGTGAAGAATGATAGTTGCGGATGAAATCAGATTAGTTGACTCAGCGTGATGAATTAATTATGATGGATTCCAAGGGGGACCGCGTGAAGGTCCACCTGACAGATTGATTATTAGCAATAGAGACTAATTTTCTCATTGATAATAATTCCTTCCCCCGTTTGCGATATTGTCATTGACCCGGACAAAAAGTAGCCCATGTTTTTCTTCATCTCAAATAATATATTATACAGGTTTTATACAAAATTTCATAACGATTTGTTAAGTTATTAAAATACCAAGAGATAATAATTCATTTTAAACCGACTTCAAAAAAAGGAGATTCTCAATTCGATTGTATTTTGTGTTCATAACCTTCAGTTTTAAATCGATTTGGGAAAATATTTTTTTTTTATCTGAAAGAATAAACTTGCAGATTGATTCCACAGAAATTTTATCAAAATCAGTTCAGTACTTTAGTTTTTAGATCAAAATTACTAGTTTTGTCACAAATCGATTTCATTGTCACAGTATAATATTAGTAATGATATTTTTTTCTTACATCAATCAATTTTTAAATACTTTTATTTCAGATTATTAGTATTCGTCATGTTAGTGTTTGGCGTATATTGGACTACGAAATATATGTTATCATCAAAAGAAGAAACAGAGGTACCGACTACAGTAAAGGGCGAAGAAATACCCACTCCTAAGGGCGATGAGAAACTGCCACCAAAATCTGAATCATCTAGTGACGAAGATGAAAAATCGACAAATATGGAAAGTGGTAACCGTCGCCTATAGACATGAGCAGTACCATGGACATAACAGAGTATACTGTTTCGCCCATGATACTCCCCATGCGTTGCCATTCCTGAGGACTTAGGTGTTATTTCTCTGTAACCAGTAAATTCACGCCATATTCCACCCTTCAAACCGAAACACAGCCATGCAAACACAACTGCTTCACGGTTGAAATACGAATGGGACAGAGGTACCCAAGCATTCGACTTTTCTCCCTCTGGTACTGAACTGCATTTTCATTCTCAGCTATCATCCCTCACAGGTGCCCCGCCATATATATACCGATAGCGTAGGCAGGGTTACTATTACGTTATCACCCATTCAAAAAAACACCTAATTGATTCCCCGCCAATGTAAACTAATAGGGCTCAGTGATGTACCATTTCAATATTAACCATTCAAAATAGATATACAACTGAGATGAGACAATAGTATAAACAACAACAATAAATACCATTTAGTTGATTGATAAACTTGCATAATCACACAATGCATGTTTATTAACTGTCAGTCACCATTAAGGAGAGTTCTAGATCATTCGTGAGAGTGATTTAAACAATGCCTGGTGGACTTGGCCTGTGAGTATTATTAATTTAATGTTTATTTATTTATCTTTACACCAAACCCCTTGTGAGATAGCCAAAGAGAACTGCGTGCTAAAGGCATTTACATATATCCCTTGCATCATGCACATTCATAATTTTCCTTATTAATTAAGCATTTAATATTATATAAATTAAAAATAAATTATACCTTAACACTCTAGTTTTTATTATAGCAACACAAGATATAAAGGTAGTTATCTTATCTTATATTCGCATATGGGGTCAGCTAAGCTGTTGCACGTCGACCCATTGAGATCTTTTGTGCTTCCCCCTGCCTTATACCATCATTTCATAGATCCTTTGTGTTACCTTGAGGATATCCCGCGGTTTAAGATATCTGTAGTCCCCTGGTTCTGGATAAGCCGTTCCCAGTAGACTCATACGCATACTTGCCAACGAATTGCAGTTGCACATCGAGTGTTCCATGGATTCCGATTTCTCCCCGCACAATCTGCACAGTGTGTCCGAAGATAGACCCATCTTGTGTAGTATATGCCTTATTGGCATATGATATAAAGGTAGTTACAAATGTATGAAGTTTATATGATAAGAATACTACTATACACTACAAATAAGTCTCTTTCCATCAATAATAAGCTACTACTATCTCAGTACTGTATAAGGTTTTTTTTTCCAAAATACTTATTTATTGGTAATGGTAATTCCTATACGACACAAGTAATTAAATGAATAAAAGATATACATATCAAACAATATTACACTAGACTAGCAATTCAATATTACTAGGTGTATTCATTCAAAATGCACATATTAGTAAGCACTTATTAACTAGGCAATATAAAAGTATGTACTTAAATAAATATGTTACAATATACTACCGTTCTTTACAAAAAAAAAAAAATCAAGAAAAAATACTGTAAGGATTTATTGGAAGCTTTTTGTTAACGTCGCTTTATGTTCACGCATTACAGAGCATTAGTATTGGGTGCATTCGCATTTTCTGTATTTTGGACGACCAAGTTTATACAGAAAGTTTACTACACTACCGATAATAAAACTTCGAAATTCAATGAAGGCAAAATATTATTTACATTACCTGTAGAATATGTTGAGTATAAAGACTGATGCTTTGTCTACACGATTCTATATAATGTACGTATGCGCTTATCTACAATGTAATTAGTAAAATTTGTATATAATTTCTTTACAGTAACGTGACATTTTTATTTCCTGTTATGTATTAACCATTTCTTTCTTTACATTCCTTTCATTTACACCTTCATCATCAACATCATATCAGTCATTATCTGCCCACTGCTGAAGGACCTTCCCCATAGCTAGTATAGTATTATATTATCTGTGCCCATAGACTGCCATAAGGAACATTCCTGAGCCGCTTGCACTGACTTCCTACAATGCATTTGAAGTCGTAATTCCATTTAGTGAGGTGTCGTCCTACACCGCGTTTGCTTTTGCCTTTCTCGATCTAATTACACGTAAATTAAACCGGTAGTTATTACATTAAAATATAATGTGTGCTTACGAAATTTTTAACCTCTAGTAGAACAAACTCTCATATTTCATTAATTTTAACTAAATTATTCTGGCGTTTCTATATATTATATGTATTTATATAAAAAAATATTTATATATCTCACTTATTTAATACCTACAGTAAAAACTTTACTTAATTTAGATACTGATCCGCAACAATAATAAATTCACGGCTATTTTTTTTATTATTATTAACTTATATTTATTTTATACGTGAAATTATTAATTTATATTTATATTTTCAGGGTACTCTTGACTGGAACAATATTATTTACCCAATATATGGTAACACAAGATAAAAAATTATTAAGTAATGTAAGGTTCCTATTAACTGATGATTATTATGCAGAACCGTTCCAAATTAGTGATGGAAGGTTTACAAACAACAATAAAAGTATAATGCTTTGAATGTTGCTCGAGATTTTTTTATCTTTAAAGATTATTTTATAACTAAATTAGTAAAGTTACAAAACTTTTAAGATAATTAAGGATGTTCAAATAAAATAAAACAAAGTTATAAATATTGACATATCATTTAATTTTATTAAAATGTTCTTACAAATTTCGTCATTACTTTAAATACATATATTTACAGACGCAAGTGTAATATTATGTATATATTACTAGGCATTATTATAAGATATGTATAAAATAAATAAAAACAATCTTTATAATAATATAAAACATATTAAATATCTTTTTTAATTTATACTGTACATTATTATTTACTAATTGTTCAACAAAAAATTACATCATAATATAAAATAAAATTCAATAAAAACAATAAATATATTAGTTTCAGATACATTAGAAATTGCGTCTGTGTAGTTGCATTAAATATGATTGTTAACAATATATTTTGACTAAAATATCACTAAATTATTTATTTTCCATTTAATGGGGATATAATTAGTTTTTGCTCCCTTAAGTACCGTTGAACACTGTAAACTCGATTGATTCATTCAGACCAACCACACTATAACTAACACTATTGATCTATTTACCTGACGTAAACACTAGCAGGTACGTGTTGACAAGGAGGAATTTTTTGATGTAACACATTAGTGGCAAGGCGTAAAGGCATTAACAATAGGTATAGTATAATTTTTACTGTACAAAATAAGTAATATTAAAAAAAAATGCATGTCTTTAAAAAAAACAAACACTTTCACAGCAAGATAAATCGTTGAGAATTTTAAATTAATTAATTAAAAAAAAAGTCAATTGATATTAAAAATATTGTTAGAGCTCTTAAATTAAATGTTTTGATATTATTTTTACACATTAATACTCATAATAAATTTATAAATTTAAAAATATTTAAACAGTAAATATACAGCTATATTATTAGCTAAATATTGCGAAATCTTGGTAAATATTGACAAACATCTAAACCAATTTAGAATAATTGAGAAATGTTTAACACAAAAAGAATTCTAGAAATTAGGAATTCTATATTAGGGTGACAAGGCTGTGGTCCTGTGGTTTGCCTAAAATTAAACAGTATAATTATGTACGTTTATTCTAATCTAATTAGTATATATATATATATATATATATATATATATATATATATATATATATATATATATATATATATATATATATATATATATATATATTAAGCCAAAAGTGTTTTTAAAGTTCATTTTATGAATAATTTCTTTTTATTATCGTTAGTACCCATTTTTTTCAAAGGGTTACATTTAGGTTGTTAATGAAAGATACAGTCACTAAACAGAATCAAGCAAAGGATGTTCCTTCATTTATTTATAATAACTTGAGCAACAAATTGTTGTTGTAATTACCTGTTATATTATTGATGCATTTCTCAATTATGTATAATGCATTAATACGTACATTTATGAAAGCTTGTGATACTTATGTAGTTACCTACTATTACCATACCTAAAATTGTATTATATACATTAATATAAAATTGTGCGTTTTACAATCTAATTGTGCTATTTTTATTTATAATCATACTTCAAGTTAATAATGATTTATAGACATCTAAATTTCAAGTAAATAAATAAATATTACAAACTAGGGACAGGCTTATGTGATTTGTTTAAGTAAATACCACCATCTATTTCTGTTATCAAGTAACAATGAGGGAATTACAATATATTGGTAAAATGGTGACTATAATCTTTAATACAAAAACCATAAACTTTAGTCTTAATAATATAAACAAAAATGTGTATTTTGTGATGTCTTAGTGTAGTACGAGTATGATTATAGGTAGCGGTTACCAAATTTGGCTTGATGTGAATATAAATATCACAAAGTAAGTCTGAGGTAGCAAATATATATAGCATTTGTTGCCTATTTGTGGTCATTTAATAATACTAAAGAAACATTTATCAATAAAATCTAAGGAAACATGACGTGTATCTGTAAATAAGTACCTATTTTAGAAATAACGTGATTAAAAGATTACATTATTAGAATAATTATATTAGTTCTAAAAACATGGTAAACAAATATTGGGCATAGAATGTTTTGTTAATTATAGTCTAGGGAAATTAAATATGATTTTGATTTACATATAGATATAGTCATGTACTATATATTATATTTATTATAATTATTTGTATTTTGATTCGTAAATTGAGAGATATCAACAAAATTTTTGCTTTTTTTTTAAATGAAAAAGCAAAATATATATAAAAATGAGAAATTAACTGAGGCTATCAAATATATATTTTATTTTAAGATTAATGGAGACTTATTGGAGTTTGGAGACGTATGCGGACGATTGACTTTAAAACACAATAATAAATTAGAAAATAGAATGGAGGTTAATATGCTAATTATTAGTTAGATAATTGTTTTATATTTAATGCCAACACGAAATTATCATATAATCAGAAATATAAATCTATTTATCATTCTATCATCTTCTGTTGAAATTTTTATTTCTACTTACGTCCACAATAATTTTCAGTATTTATATTCACATAAGAAAATAATATCGTATTCTGTTAACACTTTATAAATTTGACACTATATTTTAATATTATGACCATACCTACTCTCTATTAGTTAATGGAGAGTATGGATGGCCACAATTTTTAACATAATAGTTGCACGGATAATTAACAACTATACGAATGGTTAAATTACATGTGAGGAAGCCATGATAATTTCTTTCACTAGTAGGTAATTAATATCTTAGAATATTGATATAACTGTTTACACAATATCACTTGTCGATTACATTGAAAACAAAATCTGTTATTTTTATTGTCTTTAACAATAGAAATCAAACATCTGCAGGCATTACATGATGCTTACAAAATCAGAGTGTATAATAATAATATTAGTATCTGCTACTAAACGTCCTAATTAATTAGTACTATAACCATAAAATATTAGCACGCTAAGTTTATTTCTGCAATAGTATCAGAAATATACAATAGTGCGCTTAGATTAATCGTCAAGAAACAAAACAATGTTAAAAGTAATTATTTAGTTGTCATGTTCGTCAGATCGTATTCCAAAATCATATAAATCATTTTACTATGCCACTAACGGTAATTACTACCTACTAGAGATGTGATAATTGGACTTTTCTTAATAACTAAATGTGCAGGCACATTACTTGGAATTCTTCACAACATTCTTCTTGCCTTTCGGGTATAGACCATCGACGCCTTTACCGAACGGCGGTTTTGAATTCGTTGTCAGGTAGTATGAACCTCGGGCACTGGAACATAAGAAAGAATTATGTGAAGGTAACATAAGTTTATAAATTAATTATTAATTAATGCAGGATATAAAACAGTAATAGAAGAAAACCAGCCCGAAAATAATGTATAGGTAAATCATTTACGGATACTTAAAAAATATGTCCTGTATGCAAAGTAAGAGGTCGAAAGGATATGAATAGTTAATTATGGATATTTACTTTCATTTAATATTCCTAGAAATGACAAACAAACTCTCCTAATGGAAAATGGAATCGTTTATACAAACGATAAATATCATATAGCTTAGAGATTTTAGTATAATATGAGATGTTATGCATTAAATTTATGTCAACAAGTCTTGAGTAGTAATGGATAAGATCTGGGCAGATAATAGATAATCCTCTGCATAAGTACTTTTTCATCTGTCATAACAAAATAAATTTACTTGTATTTTAAAATGACTGTCATATGCGCAGACCTTTATATCTGTTACATCATGATTGCAATAGCAATCAAATATTTACGCATAGTTCTTAATAATATTTTTAGATAACACTTACCTAGTATCACAGTTAATTCCCATGTAAATCATTCCAACCTCCGGCGTAGGATTTTCCCTAAATTTCTGGTACGAACTCGCAGGAGACGCTGGAAACGCCTCAGGGTTTCGTACTGATTCCGCGTAGAATCGCCACGATCTCCAATGACTACATAAATCTGGAATTATAAAAATGCATTATATTTCATATCCGTAAGTAGTTTACATTTATCAATATGTCAATATTCAGAGAGCTTTCTAGTTTATATTTGTCGAGAGACTACAGCATGGGGTTCTTCAAAAGGGGGATAAAGAGGTTTCTTCAGGGTCTTTATTGCAGGCGTTTCTACTGCTTACCATCAGGTGGGCCGTATGCTTGTTTGCCACCTCAGTGGTATAAAAAAAATGTATTCTTTATTGCATTTGTGAATTACAAAGGTAGGACAGTTATAAATATTGTGGGCAAGGCGGACTTTTCTCTGAAAGAGATCTCTGTACGAATAACATAGATACTAATACATACGGTACAAATAAATAGATAAATAGAATATTATCTACCTACATACACAATCCCTTTAAGGGATAAGTCCGCCTGTGTACATTTCTGTTATAATCTAATATCTATAAGTTTTTAAAATGAATGTACAAAAGCACATATTATATATATATATATATATATATATATATATATATATATATATATATATATATATATATATATATATTAATGAACCAAATTTGACTTTCATTTTGTAATATTAGTAAGGATTATACTAGTTTCACCCACGATTTCTCCCACATACATTTATTAGGATACTTGTCAACCTTACAAGTAAAGACCTCTAACTTCCAAGTAATTTAAATAAATATAATTTTACATATACTTCTTTACTTTTTATATAAATTTTTGCTACTTATTTTTACTCTTAATATAAGATACTAATGTGCAAAATATTATGCTTTTATGTTCAATTTAGTAAAGATTATTTTTATTAAGTTAATAATAACTTACTGTCATCTGTAAGCGGTATAGGCGCAAATCTTGGACATCCTGGTTGTACGCTCTTGCCACCATTAGGCCAGAAGTCCACGGTGCCCGTCCTTACAGGCGCACCGTAGCCACCAGCATCTGTATGGATGACGTCGACAAACTCGGCGTCCTTCTCATTTATGTGTTCCATCACAACTCCATCGGGGTAGAACGCTGGAAAAGCAGGGTCGAGTGCTGTTACTCTGAAACGCATAATTATAGGAAGATTTGTAGAAATAGATGCAAGGAGGACTTTCAGATGTCCTTTAATAATTACATAAAAATGGTTAAGACTACGAAAGTTGTGTCAAACAGTTTGAATGAGAAAAAAATGGTTTCTGCAAGCAGAATTCATTCTTGAGGATGATTATTTAATAATTAGATACATAGAATTAATTTGCATGATTTACAGCACACAAATAATAATACAAACATACACATAATACAGACATATACAGTAAAAAGAGATAAAAGAATGCATATACAAAAAAAAAATCAAAATATATAAAGCAATCATTTTCTTCTTTCAAGCGTGTGCTATAGTAACACAAAATGGCCACAACACAGTTTATTGTTTTGCTTTCAAAAGACACTGATATTCTGTTGTGGCCAAAAGCTAGTCGCGAAATTCTTTAATAAAAATAGTAATAAAAACAAAAGAAATATGAATAAAATACATTGTGTGCGTACGTTGAAATCAGTGATGATAAGTGAAGATGAATGCAGGTCAGTTGATCCATCGTAGCAAATTCTTTAAGAATTAATTACGATAGTTTCCAGGGGGACCGCGTGGAGGCCGACCATGGTATTGTTAGTAATAGACATTAGATTATTTTACTGGTCTAAGTATTTAACTTGTGAAAGCCCATATCACTGAATATTTGATTAAAATTATTTTGTTTCAATGGTAGCGGAATTAAACAAAATAAATGTAATAAAATAACCAGTGATAAAGATTAGAGTCTCTATTACTAACAAGTTCTTTTACTCTTAATAAATTAATATATCTATTTTATTTATATATGATTAAAAGAAACAAAAGATACAATAGATATATAATTATGTTTAACCTAAGAAACTTACACTATAAGTTAATTTCACTTCAATGAGGCAGTTACTTATAAAAGCAATGATAACAAATAGAGATAGTAGTAAATAGGAGGTTATTGTAATTTATAATAGGATAATAAATAAAGAATGCTATTTTAATCAATTGCACGTTACCATTTTATAAATTCCTCATTAAGAGAATCTACGAGTATATTGTTGAAAATCTATCTACAAGCAAATATTATATAAGCTAATAAAAAAATTATAGTAAACTAACTAACTTTTGTCCGTAGTTTAGTACGCGTGGATTTTGGAAGTAGGAAACCACTTCTAGACAGCGCATAACAAAATAAAATATACGCTAGATTTTAAGTTAGTCCTCGAAAAACATAGTTGTGAAAACATTTGATATGCTGGAACAAACATACAGACAGACATTATTGTTTTGATTGCTCTTACTATGATATAAGGGATAACAATTTCTTATATATCTCTATGTACATATATTGTCTAGATACCAGTTAATTTTATTATATTAGTAATTATTTTTTATGCAAATTAAAGAAAATCAATAGAACAATGACATGTCTATGTGTTATACGAACCTTTTAATAATTTTATTATATTTATTTTTCAGTTCTCTAGCAGTATATCCCGCCACATGGCTGCCAAGAGAGTGTCCTATAAGGTGAAGTTTATCCAAAAGTAGTCCGCTATCTAACAAAGTTTTAAGATGTTCTGCTGTCGTGATTCCTACCTAAAAATAAAAGAGAACATTTTTAACTTCTCATTACTATAATAATAAAAACATTTAAATCTATTATATCAGAAAGAAAAGTATTTTTTTCCATCGTCACATTCATGTAATATCAATTACAATATATAATCGCCTTTATTAATAGGGAACAAAGTCGAATATATGTATGATGTACTAACAAAAATTTTTATTTTGTTAATAGAAGCAGATACATAGTCTATAGCAGAATGATTTTCCTCATAGATATATGTAGACAAGAATGGTTTCGAGCCACTTGCAAGTACTGATTTCCTGCATTACATTTGAAAATATAACTCCATTTATTGGGAGGTTTGAAGTGTAAACACTCCATATGCCTACAAGGAGTCATCATACTAAAAATTATTCCCATGATTTGTTTTAAGTTATTTAAACAATATGATAAGTAAAACATGATATTCAAGTATCAACATATACAAACACACAATCTATCAATATATAATATAAATCCATTATATATCTAAAAAGCGTCTATTTTTAGAAAAAACAAAAAGCTGCCTTAAGCAACAAAAAACAATAATAAATTATTCATTAAATTTATTTATATATTTGATGTTATCGGCTCTAATCGATTATCGAATAAAATAATATTATAATTTGACTGGTTATAAGCAAAACAATGTTTTAAAAATACGGTTCGGTTATCCAACAACATCATAAAATAATTTCTTGTTTTAAGATGAATGGAGGTAATTTGTATGTGTTAAACGAATACAAATCACCTCCATTCTGTGTCTATTAGAAAACAATATTGTGGTTTCAAAATGGAATAAGTGCTTAATTTGAGTGGAAGATTATACTTGTATATATATATACTTACTCGTATATATATATAGTACTTGTTAAAACTTTGGTAAAAGTAGTCACACATAAATTTAAAATATCTGATACTTTAAAAAAAATTATATCACAATAGCACAAGCAAATCATTATTGCACACATATATCATAACACTAATACTGAAAACAATATCATCAATATAATCATTATCATCATCGTATCAACAGATATCTATTTACTGCTGAACGTAAGCCTCCCCGATTGACTGTCATAAGGAATGGATCTGAGCCCCGTGCCTCTACTGACTCCCTGTAATGCATTTGAGATCGTCACTCCATCTGATAGGGGGTCGTCCTATACTACGTTTGCCGTAGGAGATCACCACTCTAAAAGCTTTCTTCCCAATGGGTCGCTGGTTATTCTTCGTGCTATGTCACGTGTATGTGCTCTGTGGTTGTTCTGCGGATATACTTATTTTGTATTCCATCACGCAATGAAACTCCGAGCATAGTGCTCACCATAGCTCACTAAATATTATGAAGTTTTGCATACGAGCAACTTTGTATGACCATGTTTCGGTTTCCTAGGTCATTATTAGCAACATGTACTGGTTAAAGACTTTCGTCTACAAACTTTGAGGTGCTTTAAAATTCAATAGTTAAAAAAAAGTTTAAAAAGTTAATATTACATATTTGATAAGTGATCCCCCTGTGTTGTAAAAAAAGTAAAATAACTCCATAAGTACACGTTTGTTATTTTGTTGAGGTAGTAATTAGTAGAATTGGGGCTCAACTCGTAAAGTTTTATACAAGTATGTTACATAAATAGACAATTATTCGTTGAGAAATGACACGAATGTGATCAATAAAGAACAAATAATTAAATCATGAAAAACAACATTGTTCGTTTGAATAAGATATCGTTCCACTAAAAAAAACACCAATTTCAATTAAAGTAAAACCAGTTACTTTGATTAAAAAACGAAACTACTGATTTTGATAAAATTTCTATGAAACCATTGTGAAAATATTTCCTTTCCTGTTAAAAAAAGAATTTTCAAATAATGGAGTTATGAGGCATTCATTATTATAATAATTAAGGCAAAAATATAAAACAACTAAACGGTTGAAATACTGGCAGTTGATATTCAAAGAGTTTCATAGTTTAATCTTGTTAAGATTATTAATAATATTATATCTTCTAGTCTTCTAATACTAAAAGTATACGGCGTTAACTATCCGTTTCAAATTATTATTATGTATAGTTTTCAGAAATAATTTTCTTTTTATGTAAGTACCGTGGCTCGTAAAAGATTGGTGATCATCATGGGGAAAAATAATTTTACATTACGTATATTAGTTGCACCGACAAGAGGAAAATCTTAAATGAAAAAAAAATATTAAAGGACAGATTTATTATATTATTTATATTTATTATTTATAATTAATAAGACATTATTTAATAAGAAGATAATATGATAATGAATATATATTTTTTATTCACGTAAACTATTGTGAAAATGAGCATTTTTGAATAGTCATTTTTATGATCGTACCACCTATTCGAAATGCAGTTGAAAAGAACGGATACGAAACTCAACTGTTGTATACAACAACAAAATAGTATAATAAACTTTCCGCAGTATCTAAACTATTTTTATTTGACCATAAATAGTTTTTTTTTTTAATATAGAGACCTAGCTAAGAAAAATAAACTGTTAGGTAATACGTACTTATTAGCATTTATAATTATTTTACGATCTTTCTATTTTTCCTTTTCAAAATTTTACTATTCTTAATATGAAAATTGTAATGAACATTACGAGCCAATTCACCGCCTTATATGGTCAAATTGCGACCAGCTAAGCTGTCTAAAAAGACATTTGAGTTCGACAGTTGGTCGACGACGCAATTGACGTCATTATGTGCCTATATTGTTTGTTACGTAACAATTGTCTGATATAAATTTATTTGTATCTGTGTTATTTTTGGACATTAAATCCAATTAATTATACAGGATATAGTATTTTCTTCTTAAATTGATAAACCATACAATAAAACAGTACATATACAGTAAAACTGTACAAGATGTTGATTCGGACTTACGCTGCAGAAATTTAGAATTATTTGAAATTTAAAAAATTCAGAGCTGTTTAAATACGATTGAACAATAGACATAAAATAGCTTCACAAACTTTCAAGTCTATAAAATTAGGTAGGTAGTTTGAATGCATAATAGAGAGAATGCATAAATAGAGAGCACGACTCACTATATGTGATTATCTTTTATTAGCGCTTAAATATAAATGTAGATGTTAGCTATTACACGTGCATCATTGTTACAGTATTGTGCACAATAGACAATTTGTATGATTTCATTTCTCTGTCTGACTCACTATATGCAAAATATATATTCTTGATTATCTTTATATCTAGTTTCGCAACATACTATAATATATTATTATAATACAAGTTTTACTAATATTATGTGCGAAAACATCATCGAAAGTCAAACAAAGTTAACGATTACCATTTCTATTGAATTAGATATAGGTCAGCTTTCTGGTCTTAGTAGTTCCTAGCAGCCAGTGTTACTATCCGACATTATTACGGCGTTAGGTCCCCACGGGCCTAGAGTCTCAATTTCAAACGCGGCTGATATTATGTATATCCATTCCCAAGAGTTAAATACTTGCGGCGCTTGATAGCCTTCTCTGTCGTGCTGAGCAATTCTAATCATAATTATATTATAAAATTGTCTCCAGATTCAGTTGCAATTAAAAAATAGTATTTAACAAAATTAGGTAATATTTAACAAGTTTAATGGGCGAGGGATGGGCAGCAGCCTTCCTTTGAAAACATCATCGAAAGTCAAACAACGATTACCATTTCGCGTGCCAAGCGTGGTGCTGGTAAAATTCCTCCAATTGTAAAATGCTATAAGGAATGGTCCCGTTCCTTATGGCAGTCTATGGAGGACATTTACGTTCAAGAGTGGACATGATAACGATTGAGATAGATGATGATTTAACAAAATATTTGACTTAGTATCTGTTAATTAATAAATCAAGTTGTAGATTTTTCTTGCCATGTGGGAAGACAAATATATTCTGTAATTTTCCGTTATAAAATAAAATACATATAGCTGTATAGAAATATGTATGTGCTTTTAAATATTTCTGTTATATGCATATAAGATATTTAAAAAGCATTTATTTAAATATCAATTCCATTATTCCATGTTAACTTACTCTCTCTTCGTAGCAACATGTCAGTAATTTTATTACGAAGCACGTCGACGGATGGACAGTGGAATTTTTACGAGAAACGCAATTGCTAATACTAGTCACATTATGTGCTTATATGGCTTTGGTAATTTATGTTGTATTTATAGTGATTCTTTCCATTGGCTATAAACACCATGAACATACTTTATTTGTTCCATTATATTAATTCTTAGTTTTACACTGTGACAAGCTTCCTACTGTTTATCTTATTTGTGTAGAGGTAAGAACTATATAGGAATCAGTAGCAAAAGTGCCCAGTTTTAAGCTGAAAATAACAGTTCCAAATCCTTCTAGAAAAGCTTTAGAGTAGCATAAGTTGTTAATGAAGTGAAGTGTGCTGATTTAAAAAAAAATATCTTTATTTGTTATTTAATGCATAATTAAAAATTTATCAATGATATTTAATATAACATTAATACCTACATATATAAACAATAGATTATAAAAATCTGTAGATTCAAAGACTTCTAATGAGGGCTGTACCTAGTTCTTTAGAGGTACATCTGATATGTGTCTGAAGGAAATGCGAATGCTTCGAAACCGTAACGTTACTCGTGTATAATCAGTGGAGTTATGACCGTGACTTGTTACCGTTGTGGATTTCAAGGTCTGTCGACATTAAACAAAACCATTATCTTTTTTTTTTTATACAACTAAGAATGGCAAATAAGCTGACGGCCCATCTGATGGAAAGTGGTAACCGTCACGTATAGACATGGGCAGTACCATGGACATAATAGAGTATACTGTTTCGCCCATGATACCTCCCATGCGTTGCCATTCCTGAGGACTCAGATGTTATTCCTCTGTACCCTTTAAATTCACGCCATATCCCATTCTTCAAACCAAAACACAGCCATGCAAACATGCAAACACAAACACAACTGCTTTACGGTTGAAACACGAATGGGACAGAGGTACCAAGCAAACGACTTTTGTACAAAGTCTCCCTCTGGTCTTCTATATTTCTTCTATCTTTTATAAATTGTAAAATAAGATTCGCGTATGTATTGCGACAATATAAGTACATTAGGAATTTATTATTTTCACAACATATCTTTATGTACTATAGTTCATAGTTACCAACTTTTGACTGTGTACTAACTTATATCTATCCGTATATGTCTTGTATCTCCTTATTATTAATTTCTCTCACCTATTGAGGGAGAAAGAATGACTGTTAGTAAAGAACATGATTGTCCCCATTGATAGCAATGTACCCTGTCAAGTCAACCTCCACGTGGGGAAAAGGGATTGTTAGTAATGCGGATTACCAGCCCCATTACTAGCAATATACACTGTCAGGTCGACCTCCACGTGGTCCCCACTTGAAACTATTGTGCTGAATTCTAGATGTATTCATTATGATGGCTGACCTGCCTTTTCATTCTCATCTATTATCCCACATTGGTCCCCCGCCACCGTCTACGTATATATAATAAATGTTATATATAATATTGTATCAATTTTATTTTTCAAATTAACCAGAAAATATAAATTTCTCCCATATACTTAGTACTAAGAAGAAAGTACACTCTGGTATCCCGATTACGCATGCACACACGGAAAAAAGTTGACCTATATTTGACGAAGCATTTGTATGAAGGCACTCCATTTATAAAATCTAAGACTACCATGAAGTTGTTTACGAACAGAATGAATATCAAAACGTAAGATCCGTCTAAACCTTGTATGGAGGTATTTTAAAATATGCAATTGCTCAATAATATTATATGACTTCTTGGTAAGACAGACAATTAGTCACCTTTAGGATAAGTGCAACATAACTAAATGGTTAAATAGCGTCTAGTTGAGAAATTAATCATGAATTGTTGTTTAGAAAGTAGATTTAACTAGAGACACACTTGGTGAAAACATATCTCCATACATCATCTTTTTTTTTATATTTGAAAAAATTTAAATAATCTGATTGTATAAACTTATTTGTTAATTTACGTGTGTCATAAATAACTCAAATAAAGTGTTTATCTATCTATATATCTATCTAGATTATGTTCTCAGCGAAATCCGAGGCAGTCATATTATATAATATATATGTACTTATAATCACTGTGTTGTTCCGGCTCGCAAATGGGTCACCTTTTTCCTTTCCTGTAAGTGTCGTAAGAGACGACAAAGAGAATTTAATGGTCGAGAGATAGCCAGCAGCGTCCGTATTAAAAACATCACCAAAGCCTCGTTGCGATTGCCAACCTGCCTGCCAGGCGTGGCAACTATTGGTGAAACTCTCCCAATGGGAAGACCTATGTTCAGCAGCGAACAATCAACAGCTGATATGATGATGATACTTATAATAAATTATTGTGTTACCTTTTTCGTATTTCCAACAGCGTTGACCAAGTAAGATCCATGCGACATGTTTGACCAGTCAAGTAGGACGACGTTTGTGTCTGGTTTCGCTTCTAGATATGCATTTGCTACGACCTATAACAAAATATAATAGTAGGATAACGTAATAAAATAAGAGGGCTGACAAACCTCACTTAACCACCCCAGATAGGTGGGAAAGGATTGTTAGTAATGCGAACTACCAGTCCCAGTCAGCAATATACCCTGTCAGATCGATCTCAACAATTGTCCCCCTTGAAACCATCGTGCTGAATTTCAGAAGTATTCATCATGATGGGCTAACTGATCTGCCTTTTCATTCTCACCTATCATCCTTCACTGATGTCCTGCTAGTGTATATTGTTAGTGCAAGTGGGGTTACCATTCCATTATCATTCATTAAAAAAAAACATCCCAGATAAATGGCAAACAAATCTGTCGATAGATAAGTTTTTGTTACCGAATGTTTTAGATAGAATGAGTCAATAAGTTCCGATGTTATGTTTTTTATGCGTGTAGATAACCGACAGGTTTGTTTGCAATTTAGGACAAACGTTAGACATACAAAACTCTACCGAAATGTATAGTAAGTGTTAAAAGTCGTTGAACATATCCATATCTTTAAAATTACTACGTAGTTATATACATAAATAACTCCTTAATTAATATTAGTACCAGAATCTGAGCATTATAAAATGTACAAGTTAGTTAAATATATGTTATATATGTATACAATTGCGTTTTGAAAGTCTGGATATGTTTATCGAGTTTTGGTTGTAACTATATCACTTGTACCAATACATACATTCTTTTTTTAAATTTGTATGGGAGCTTCAAAATTGTTTAATTTTTCACTAACCGGAAATATTATAAATAAATTTAAATCATTCATTGATATAAAAAGTAATCAATAATTGTTCGTTCACAAATTATAAGAGATTAGGTTTAAATAGATACATTTAAGCTCTAATCTCTAAGTCATTTTCTGTTAATATTATAAAAAATATATATTAAATTATATATTATTTAGTAATTAATATAACATAGAATGTACGAAGATATTTATTGTAAATTTAAAAATAATTATTGATATAAAAGTTTATTATATTTAATCTCTATTTTATTAAATTAATCTATTATATATACCTGGACACTTTCCTGCTGTGCCGTTTCGATAAATCCATGAAAGTACAGAACGGTGGGGTTGTTTTTGTTGAAACCTTTTGTGTCCAGAATTTGGGATGCTTGAGATAGCGGGATGTCCACATATTCGGTGGCAGAATTTCTGTAATAATATAATATAGAAATATTACCATTCTGATGTTATACCTAACACCCATAGGAAAGGAAGAGGTGGACCATTCTATGCTGGGACCACACGACTATGACATATAAATTTAAATTGGACTCTATCTCTCATTTGGGCCGTTGTGCGTATGAATCATGACTAGCACAGCCAGCCTATCTCCGCACAGAAGCACGGAAGCTTCTTGGGATCTTCACAGGCCTCACGGAGCAATCTGTCTGTTCCGAGGATTTCTAAACATTCCCCTCAGGACATAGCTTCACAGAGTGCAGTCTGTGGCTCCTATTGTGTATAAATGTTTGTTTAATGGGCAATAGTCCGTTATTGTCACTATCATTATGTTAAGGTTTTAAAATAATAGACGTTTTGATAGGATAATATCAAAACTCTATGACATATATATACATATATCTATTGTAAAAAATACATTTCACGGAATTCAGCAATGTTCTATATTTAGAATCCACCCGATGTGATTTTGCTCAGTGTTGTGATCTTTCTAGACGAATGAAGCCCACAAGATACGTATCTAGATATATATAATGAGACATTAATAACATTTTTTCTTAACGGTCTTATTAATAAAAAAGTTAATGAGTCTTAAATAAAACTACATAAACATCCGTATAATTCCTACAATTAAGACTACTACTTACAATAAATTATATTTTATTGATATTTATATAAAATCTATACGTCAGTCGTTCTAGTTTATTAAAAATGTAATATTATGGATTAACGGGTCACAATGGGTACTTAATAGTTGGTACTTAATATTTTTTTAAAGCATCTTTTTTTAAAAGCTATTCAATCGTTCATATACTTATGTTTAGTATGTTACAGTATATCTTTTATATATATGTTAAATAGAATTAAATTGATATTTGTCAAAATTAATACGAGACTTACACGAGACGGGGATGTTCTGTATATATTATTTGTATATTGTCTATAGTTCCATGTTAATTCGGTCACGATTGACTGGATAATAAATGTATATATAATAAACGAAATAATATATAAACGATGTTTAGTCAGCATAGTAATGCAGACACTTTTTGTCCAGGTAAAAAATAAAGGAAATAAAACCAAGGCATATGGGTAGTGTGGGAATAGTGAGCAGAAAGACAGGTAGTTTTTTTTTAATGGGAGAAAATGGACTGGTAACCCCGCCTGCGCTAATGGAATACGCTGGCGGAGCACCAGTGAAGGGTGATCGATGAGAATGAAAACAGGCCAGTTAGTCCATCATGATGAATTCATCAGGAATTAACCATGATAGTTTCCAGGGAGAACCGCGAGGAGGTCGACCTGGTTGAGTATATTGCTAGCAATGGGATTCTAAGTCTCCATTACTAACAATCCCTTTCCCCCCAAGAGAGACAGGTAGTAATAGTAGTGAGATTTATGCCAAGCAGTAGGACATTACTCTGTCGTCAAGGTAAGGTGGCGAAGGAATAAAAATATATAACCTGATTTATGTATACTAGCTCCGATTCATTCACAACATGAGACGTTCGTATCATTTCATATTGGCATAAAAAAAAAAAAATATATATATATATATATATATATATATATATATATATATATATATATATATATATATATATATATATAAAATAAATTTGTCTGTCTCTGTCTATCTCGACATTTGTTCCGGCATCATGACTACTAAACCTAATTAGATTCGGTTTTCACAATTGTGTTTCTAAATCTGATATATGTTTCATCTTGATCTACTCTATTGGTTTTTCTACCTCTAAAATCCACACATACGAAGTAGCGGGCAAAAAGCTACTGAAAAGTTAAAAAAATCTTATTTTGTTTTTGACTCATTGGCAAAGTTTATCATTGTTAGCTCGTAACCGCGGATGTTAAGATAACCTTAGGTAAATGATTATATTTTACCTAAATGATGGAGTTAATGAAATTCTCATCTCTTTTAAACCGTTTATGCAACTAGAGTCTTAAAGGGAACTACTAACTAAATGAACACTTGATATAATACCTTATTTATATTAACATATTATTATATATATATTATTATATAACTTAGAGTCAGTTTCTATTGAATTAAATATAAAGGTAGATAACCAAAATTTGTTGAAATTATTAATTTTAAAAGTAGTAATAAAATAATAATTAATATAGTTACTAGATTACAGATCGGATTCGTTAAAATTTTATTATTGTATCTTTCATCATAATGAGTTTAGTAGTTATCCGTATAGACGGATATAATTTTACAGTTTTATTGTGGAAAACTTTATATACAAACAAATTATCCTAATGATATTATAAATGAGTAAACTTTTAAAAGGTTTTAAAAGACAAACATGTTTGTTACTCAGTTATGCTCAAAAGATTGGAAATTTAAATGATATTTGGTTTACGGTTAGGGTATATTCTTATAACTTAATAAGATACTTTTTATGCTGATGCACGCGGACAAGACCGTGGGAAATAGCTAGTTGAAAATAATGGGCGTAAGTAGTGTAACAACGTGTCTTAAATTCGTCAACGTTAAGAAATACTGACCTGGTTTATTTGGTCAGATCTATGGTCGTGTTACGAACAAGGTCAAATTAAATTATGCTATACTTTTACTTTCATTCCAACAAACAAAACAATAGTGAGCTGATATACAAAAAGCAAATTAATATGTATACATATTGCAATAAGTGTTTATACAATTTTGAACTAGATGATATCATAGACTATACTGTGGCACCCGTGGTACTCTTTACGCATTGTTATTCTTGAGGATTTGATTGTATGCTATTATACCATCTCAATTTATTGCTTAATCTTACCCTTGAATATTCAAGTACAGCTACTTTGAGGAAGAAGCACCCATGAGGAAAATTTTTGATTAAATTCTTTATCTAGTGTTTACGTTATGTTAAAAAATACATATAACCGGAATCAATATATACACATAATTACACCTTTGTTCGATAGTATAGAAAGCCTATGGGATTGGAAACATTTTTTTTTATGCTGTAGGTATCGAACATTCGTGAAAGATTTTCCAAACAAAGATTTTTCGGATCAAAAGTTTGTGCAAAAATCTGCAAATAATAACTGGGAATTACAAAACATTAATATATTAAAAATTATATTAAGTTATCTTAAAAATATGTTTATGACTGTACTAACTGTCAAGTTTTACCACAATGATAATGAATATATTGCCAAGCATATGAGTATCCAATGTTCGCATCCGGATTAATTAGATTTTTTTAGTAATTGATTGTATTGCCGAGCTGATATTTCAGAATTTCTTAGTAAGAATACAGTATGAATACAGAAAAAAAGAGATTGCTTTTATATACTCTTACTATCAAAGTTAGTCACGCATGTTCATTTAACAAAAACATTTAAATAAATAAATAAATAATAAATAATAAATAATAAATTTATTTCTTTATACAAAGGTAATTAGTTACATTACAGGGTTTGGTATCTCCTGTTAAGCAAAGATTGCTTGTGTTAGAAGAAACCGCTTTTTCATAACAATAATTACATTTCATAATCATTACAATTTACTTTTTTTTTTAATCAGCAATAAAAATTTTACTTTGTTTTACTTTTATACAATAATACTAAAAAAAATTACATATCATAAAAAAGAAAAATTTATGATAATAAATATGCTCGTGTATATGTGCTTGTTCTTTTGTGTATGTGTGTGTCTTTAATGTGTGTATTTAAAAAAAAAACCTTTGAACGTGTTCACTATTCACTGTCCAGCCAATTTGTTTCCTTGATCAATAGGGAAAAACTCTTTTGTTTGGAAGTCTTAGGAAGCTTAATGCTTTGTGACTTTAAATTATCTCTACAGTTGACCATCGAGTATCGAAACTGTTGCTTCTAAGTTCGTGTGCACGAGCATAGGTTTCGACACTTCAACATTTTCATACCAAATAAGAAGGAGATTTCTTAACTTATCTCAAACGGTATTTAGAATCAAAATGTAAGAGGTGTTTTGATGTGGTACAAGGCGAACCATACTGCTGTCAACGGTACATCGCTATTATATACCGTTTGTAGTTGAAATAATAATGGAAAATTAACTTTACTTACCCATTATAAAATCGTAGGTAAATATCCTCGACCCTGTTGCTTCTATCTGGCAGTATACCTGTAACAAAATATTATATCAATATTATTCATTATGTCTTTATGATTATGTTAAAAATTTGTTATCCAGTAATATTCCTTTGTAGACCAATTGCGAAAAAACTAGGTCGGAATATAATTGCGTTTTTTTCAGTGGATAATAAAGGTAAAATAAATAAATCGTAAAATCGCTTGCGCTATTAGTTTACGCTCAGTCGTATCATGAACACCGCATTGTCTTTCAATTTTAAAAGAGAAAAAGTTTTGAAGTTCTATCTTATCCTTCTAATTATATAAGTTTTATATTTAAATATCTAATATAATTATAAAGTTTTAAAAAAATATTATGCTCAGGTATATAGCAGAGCTTAATAACTTACGAATTACCCTGGTAGCGCCCAACTCATACATTCGTGTGGTAGTCGTAGATGAGGACGAAGACAGGTGATCAACTCACATGTGACAAATTTATGTTTTTGGGAGAACCATGTAGGGGTCAACATGGCAGGGTATATGACTAGCAATGGAATCATTAATTGCCATTACTTACAATCCCTTAGCCCCAAAAGATGCAGGTTCGAATCCTTCCGGATCAAGTGGTCAAGAAGTTAATTGTTCAACCTATAACATCTAACACGAGTATTACTATATCTTAAAGGTGCTGATAGTCTTAAGTATGTAAATAAATAGTGTAATAACCTATATTATCTGTAACTAACTGGATAATTGAACTAACATCGATTTATTAACAAACAACCTTTGGCCTTTGTATTGAATTTATATCTGAGTTATTTATTTAATTAATTATATTGTTGCATACGGATACATATATTTGATTTTTAAACATTGTTTTATGCTAATCAAAATTTGTTTATATTACCATATATAAAAAAAATTATGTTTGGATATTTATTAATCGACCGCGCTTGAATGAAGTTTGGTATATAGATAGCCTATATAATCCTAGACGAGCGACCAGCCTCGGCTTCGCACGGTTTTTTTTTTAAATAAAATACAACCAATGTTATTTATTTGTTGATAATTTATTTTTCAATACGTGTAACATGTATTTAAAATCGGTTAAATTGTTTTTGAATTTATCTATTACAAAAAAATCTTTCTTCTTTATAATTAGTATCATCATTATGATTTATATCTACCATTAACTGTCCACTGCTAAACAAAGACCTCCCTTTAGGGAGGTTTTGTTTTTAGTTGCCAAGCTTGGCAGGCGGATTGGAAACAGTGATAAAGCTTTGGTGATGTTTGAAGAGAAACGCTTTATAATATTACGTTAAATTAATACATTATGACTTTCAAATAATTCAAGTGATTTAAGCTGTCTCCAATGTCTCCATCTGTTAAATATTATGAATCTAGGTGATATATTTTGAGGTATAAATAATAATTGTTTTCAAATTATAAGATTATGTAGATGATGTAGACTAAAATGTTTACTACATAAGTTTATAGTTCTCTAAAATTCTATTAATATAATTAATGCGAAAGTTTGTAATGATAGATGAATGTACAGATTGATGGATATTTGTTTCTTTCACGCAAAAAAACTATTAATCGAATAAAATTAGTATATGGATAGTTTATATCCTAACTTAGTACATAGGATACTTTATTTATCGATTTACGCAGACAGATACAGCTAGTGAAAAAATAAAAAAAGATGAAAAATGTACGAAATGTTTACGAATACAAATTTTTAAATCAAACATATAACACAAATTTATATAAAGCAAATCATTCAATTACCGAAGTCAGATCCTGTCTCAGGATACGCAGAGGTATATTCGGCTACGTACGAGTTGTAAAGAGTTATCAGATGTAGGAAAAATAAGTAAACTAACCACGACATTGTGAACTGTACAAAGCACTGCTCATTACTAATGTAATGAGCCCATCAGTTCTACTGGAAAACTGTTACCACTATGCGTCATAATATGGTCATTTATCTTATATTATTTTGATTCAATCTTGAGAATTACATTTGAATTATACAATTTTCTTCGGGTACTTTACATACACAATAAGAAAAAAAGTAATGTGTGTCCCCACTCAGGTATCGCTGCAATCTTCTCGATATCAAATACTCATGATGATGCAATTTAGCCATTAAGATACTAAGAGTTGAGAACGTCACGTGAAAGATGTCGTGAGTAAAAGTTAGTAATCAATAAAACAGAATACAGTAATTATGTGTTCAAACAAATTTTCAGAATTATTTTAGGCATAGAAATTGTTTACTGCCGTATTAGTCCTATTTTAATTTAGTAACGAATGCAGTTGGCATTTCTTTGTACAAAAAAACTATTTGTCACGAAGCAAAATATATTTTTGTAGACATGCGACTCTACATTATTCGAGTATTTTATTTCAATCAAACATGTCTACCAAACATCTCGTTTATCTGTGTGTTATACATTTTTTTATGTTACTTAAGGGCAAATTGAAGGCGTTATTGTTTGGAAGACTTGTTTGTTTATGCTCCGATTCTGGTGTACCATTATTTTGATACCTATTGTGATTATCAAGCAATTCTAACACGTAAATATCAACCTGTTACCCTTGTGACAGCTTCATAAATAATTCACAGACAGTCTCTTGGTTAGCTGTCAAAGTTTTGTTTAGAGGCACAAGCGGAAGACGTCTGGGATGAATTTTTAATCACTCAATCCGGGTCAACCTCTTGTCTCGTCGAGGTCAACCACGTTATGTTCACCATCACATGGTATTTAGTAGGCGTATTAACTTATTCAAATTATATTTAATGACTTTAAATCGAACAATCAAAGTAACATTAAATACTACATTAATAACATGTTGTTACGAAAATTTTATAACAAGTATTTGCCATGGACAAGTGTATGGTGAGTCAATTAAAAAACTCCCCTTGTTATTTGTATGCATACAAAATTACCCTCTTTGATAAGATATGTAGGTACTTATTTATTTACATACTTATATTAGTATAGGTTATACTAGTATAGGTAGAGGTAGAAATCCAAAAAAAATTATTTGCACTGCACGTGTGCGTTGCATTCGCGTCATGCAATCATAGGGGTTTTATTAATTAATGGACTAATATTTACAACGAAGATTATATTTTATCGGACTTAAAGGCATAGAAATTCGAGGCAAACATAAAGGAAACTGTAAGTGACTAAATTTCCTTCGTCTGTGCAGTTTATAATATTTGAATCACAGTTCGTGTTTGGATTATTTACATATATTATTACGAGTAACACTTAGTTACAGTATCACTCTAGAGAAGACATAAAGTCCTTATCCATTAATATACATTAGAGGATTTTGTGTACGATAAAGTAGCGAAAGTCTGGAATCTTTGTTATTCGGGGACTTTACCGTCATTACTAAAGATACAGACTAAAGTACTATAAATAAAAAACCTAAGATAGACTGGCTTTTATTTTAATTTTATACTTGAGAACGTGAAGCAGATTAAAATTAAAGTTGGTTTATAATAAATAGGAACAAAAAAAGGCCTATTTAAGTAGATTTTTTAATTGAATGTCAATTCTTGAGTTGATTCCATATTAATATTTTTAATATATGTATGTATATTATTTTTTAAGTAATATCTTAATTTCAAATATATAAGTTATTCTGTTTAATTGATTAATATCATAGGCAAGTCACATTCGTATTAACATTGAACTGTCAGTACTTATCTAATGACAAGTTCGTGACTAGATTCATAATAGAGATAAAATATAACTCACATTAATTGTTTGTTGTTATTTTGGTTATTTTACTTACTTCAAATACTTTGTTTATGGAAATAAACAAAATAATAAAATAACTTTGAAGAATATTGCGAACATAAAAATATGATAAACATTTGAAGTTTATTATTTATATATATAGAAATAGTCATAATGTGTATATTGAACAGAAACCCAACGGTAGTGAGGTATAATAGGACCAAGGATCATAGATTAGATAGATGGCGGTAGACTCGCCTCTTAACACGTTGGATTCTAACATGCATCTACAATAACTACAGCCTTCAAATGCATTTAATTACATTAGAGATTATATTCGTGGGCATATTTATTTAATGTTTCATCTGAAATGGAACATGTAAATAAATTATATACTTATATGGGGTTTTTTTTTATGCAACTTAGAATGGCAAACGTCGCCTATAGACATGAGCAATACCATGGACATATAACAGAGTATACTGTTTCGCCCATGATACCCTCCATGCGTTGCCATTCCTGAGGACTCAGGTGTTATTCCTCTGTACCCTGTAAATTCACGCCATATCCCACCCTTCAAACCGAAACACAGCCATGCAAATACAACTGCTTCACGGTTGAAACACGAATGGGACAGAGGTACCCAAGCAATCGACTTTTGTACAAAGTCTCCCTCTGGAAATGAATTGTCAATAATAGGGTATCAAGTCGACCCCCTCGCGGTTCGGTCTGCAAACCATCGTAATTGAAATATTATTTGTTTTATCTTCATCTATTATCTCTCACTGGTGCTCCGCCAGTGTATACGCAGGTGGAGTTACTGTTTCATTATCACGCATTAAAAATATAAATACTCATATATATATATATATATATATATATATATATATATATATATATATATATATATATATATATATATATATATATATATATATATAAAGTAGAGATGTATATGAGTTAATATTAATTGTGAAGGTCAAAGCACGATACAAGGTGTGGCGATAACAATTGTATATGATAGCGAAGATAACAAAACAAATAATGTTGAACGATATTTACGCGCACACATATTTGCACAAGACTGACAGGGTTAGGATATAACAGTCTAAAACACAGCAATATTATTTACTAGCTGTATCCCATAGCTTCGCTCGTGATTAATAAATAAAATATCCTATGTGCTAAGTTAAAATTAACCTGCCCCATTTGCCAAATTTAAATTCATTAAGCAGTTTTTGCATGAGAGAGTAACAAACATACTAGATGTATGTTTGTTATTCATCATGACAAATTTTTGCATTTATTATATTAATAACAATAGGATGATTAATTATTTTCTCTCTTTCAGAGAGATAAGCCCTTCCTTGCTAACAAGTTGTTAAACTAATCACTATATGTATTGTTCAAGTGCAATAAAGAATATATATACGATATATTTTTATCAAAGAAATAAAAAGTTGAAATTTTACTAATATTGTAATTATATATCTTACTATATATTTTCCATCTTTTTAGATTATTTAGATGGAAATAAAAATCGTTAACCATATGTAAAATTAAGAATTTACCCGTGATATGGAACATATTAAGACAGAAATTCCTGAATCAATAAATTAAAAAACGATGAGTTCCTCTCAAGAACAGTGTCCTAACCCAATTGTTGTAAGCGCCGTGTTAGTATGGACGGTTCAAAATTTTTTGTTACTTTTCCACCCATATTTCTTGGGAGGGAAGGGCTTATTGGTAATGCGACTACCAGTCCCATTGCTAGTAATATACCATTTTGCTTTTTTTAATGGATTTTCATTCTTAATGGCATGGTACGATGGAAATCCCTAGACATTAACAGTACCTTAGACATTAGAATATACAGTGATATTTACAGCATTGTTATTTCTGAGGATTCAGTTTTTATTTAAAACGAAGTACAGCTATGCAAGCAAGTTGCTTACACAGTTGCTGAAATACGAACAGTAAAAAGCTAAAGAAGCCAAGAGTATATATAAAATAAATCTATAATATCCACCATGGATTTCAGGAAACCTTATAATGCGAATTAAAATTTAACGTAAACTGATAAGAGGAATGTATTTGTAAATATTGGTGAATAGACGAAGAAGTCGATAATTTTTTTTTATAATATACAAGATCATAAAGTACGAAGTTTAATTTGCTACTGGCGGATACGTAAGATAAGGCCATTGAAGTAACACGTTTTAAAACCAAATGATCGTCTATCGATTTTGAAGGAAACCTATTGTTAGAATTTGTAATGACGCACTTACAGAACATGAGTTCGTGCCGATTTTCATTTCATATCATGTTTATTCATTCCGTAGAGCTAGGTTTATGGTAAATGATAAATAATAAGATTCATGCGTATAAATTATTGCACAAATATTAAGTGTAGATTGTTTTAAGACTCGAAGATATTCAAGTTATTGTTAAAGAGAACAACCCTTACTAATATTGTAAATGTGAAAGTAAGTTTGTTTTTTACCTCATAGTGCCTTACACAGGGCTTTTCAAACTAGTAAGTACAAGATAATGGATAGAAATATTTAGTTTATTTTTAAAATGCATACATACTATATATGGATGCAGATGTAATATTTGAATGCACAATATGACTGAAGAAATTTATAAAATATACAAAACTTATCTTTAATAATTTTCTTAAAATAAATTATAATAATTAATTAAATGAATAATAAAATAAATAATTAAATTCTATTTAAATGTGTGTAATGAGATTGCACCGAATTAGGTTAATGTGTTAAATTAATTAATTTGTAAACTCAATTTGCTGTTAACTGTACGTACTATATACAGTAAGGAGATTGTTTTCACTTGAGAAAATATGCATGTACCTTAAATTTGAGATAGGTAGTCAATAATTAATATTCATAATAGAAGCTAATTAATTAGTGGGTTTTGTGGTACATAATTACCCCCGCCCCCCCTTCTCCTGAAGTACACAGTACATGCGGTGTGGCATAGGAAAAAGGTGGCACTACACGAGCTCAGAACATTTAGATCTCATTCGTGGCGTGTGAACGTGCCCTTTGAGTTGTGTGCTTTAGAGTTCAGCTATTAATACTCTCTAATTGATTACAGCCATTAATAAAATATATAAACATAACAGGTTTGTATCATGCTC